TCTCTCTTTCTCTTTCTTTTTCTTCCTCTTTCTCTCTCTCTCTCTCTCTCTCTCTCTGACTCTCTGTTTCTGTCTTTGTGTCTGACTGTCTCACTCTATCACTGCCAGATGCTCCAATAACTTCTGCTTTCCATTCTCTTGACTAGATTGTCAATTTGGCTGATACCAAACTGCGCTTGATTATTTATATGAAGCTCCGATTTTGATTTCAGCAGGGCCTTCACATCACTGACCTTGGTGTTTTCTAACCCCACCTCACCCCACACCACTGTCGTGCCCCCTTGTAGCCTCCTCACTTCCCTATTGGTATCAGTACCAAGGATGGTCTGTGGCTCACTACTTGGAAAATTCTGCGGATCCTGAACTGCAACTGGGCAAATAATTTCACCTCTTATTCCATTGGCGCACTGGAATTGGAAGAATTTTTCTGAATATCAGTAATTCATAACCAGTAGAAAAATATTATATGTAACTTTTTTTTGCTAAGTTCTAAAGGTTAGCTGTTTGCAAAAAAAAACTACAATGGATTCTAGAAACTTGTCAACTTCATTCTGCTGTATCTAACTAACCAAACATGTGTCAGCTTGGATTTCTATCCTGTATTTATGCTCAATCCTGAATATCTATGATCCAGCTTTTGCTTTGAAATTGCTCTCAATGAGTTTGTAGACTTGCTTGCCGAGCAGGTGTGTTTGATTGCAGACATTTCATCATCCTGCTAGGTAACATCGTCAGTGTGCCTCGTCCACAGCCCGAGCTACAAATCTTCTCAAACTTTAAATCGTTCTCAGTGCTTTACATAAGTGCGAAATGGCTCCTATTAAAGTCATCAGATGACTGCTCCTGTTCCAATACAACAGGAGACAGTTAACTCCTGTTCTTTCGGAATTAATTTGTTCATTTTTGAAATCTTTACTTATTAGTAGTTCCTGAAAGCATGTTATGCTTGGTCAGATTCACAGGGTGTAGCATTGCCAATTGATATCTCAGCTTGCAGACTGTAGTGTAAATGTCATTCCCTATATGTTTACAGTCCTTGCAGCTGTTGTGTATGATGAATACTGGCAGCTGCTGGAACTGCAAGGCAAGCTTAAAATAGCTGCACCATGTAAAATGTTACAGAAAACCTACCTCAACTTAATATACCCCTTCAAAAGCCCTCTGAATAGAGGTCAAATTGCAGCTGCTTCTGACATTCGAGTGGTTAAAAAATAGTTCAAAGGATCAGTCACCAGGAGTCCATCTATAGTAAACTGATTTGAAGTATGATTGATTTAATTAGTAAGCAATAGATGGCTCAGACTATACTTCAGCTGTCAACATCATCATTTTCTGTGTTTATGTGAAACTTGTATTAATGAATGAGGTGGAGCTGATCCATTATTATATATGTGACATACACAAATGGATCATTTCATTTTGGTTCAGGAATAGGATTTTTAAAATAATAAACAACAATGGGATTTAACTAAAATGATGGGACCATGAATTGAATATCATTCAACTGGGTGTAGAGACCACGGTGCTGAATTGCTTTGTGCCTGTGGCTTCCAATATTTGTGTTTGGGCAGTGTGACTCAGAATTTTGACAAATATGAACTGATGAGAAAAGGCCAGTATAGATTTGTAAAGAATAAAAGCCATATATAAAAAAATCTAGTTAAGTCTTTGAGACAAATAACACAGCTTGGTAAATAAAATTTACCTGTGTTTTTTTTTCCCCGAGTGTGATCCCGTGAGCATTTTAAACATTTCCCTTTGGTATTGTTTCAATCACAATTTTCTTAAGATTAGGATGGAACTTGTAAGGAAGTTAATTACAGTATCCAATGCCAAAAATATTCACTTTCAGTTTTAAAACTAAATATGACAGTTTAAAATAATGTAGCTCTCCATGTAGTTACTGAATCTTGCAGCAGCGTTCCTGAGATAAAATGAGTCAATCAGAATTTAAAGCCCTGCAAATATTTGCCTTTTTTGTTTTTTATATTTGTTCTTGTAGTGTCTATCATTCCTGGAAGGTTTATTTAATCATAGAGATTTCCCTCAAGATGATAGGTCCAATATCTGCTAAACTTAACAGATCTGGGAATTTGTTATCCATTATGTTAAACAGTTAGGTGGCGTGCTACAGTAATCCACACACGTTGTGTAAGCTGTGGAGTTATGTTGATACTTTGAAATCACAAAAGACAGGTCTGTCCGAAATAAGTGTTTGTTGAATTGAACTGCTGTTTCAGTCCCTTCCTACCAGAACTACATGTGTGCAGCTACACCATCTCTGATGTAATCCATCAGAAAGGAGCTCACTACCAACCACCAACTTCTCAAGGCAATTAAGGATGAATATCCACACATGATAGGTGTACTATCTGGTAAAATTAACAGATCTGGGAACTTGTAAGTCGTTACGTGAAAGTGTTAGGATACATGCTTTAGTAAACCACATATCATGTAAACTGTGCAGTTGTGGTGATACTTTGAAATCATGATGTAGATAGTCGAAAGAAACTTATTGCAGTCTGTGAAAATGACTTTGTCATTGATGACATCAGCCTTTGCCACTGCTAATGCAAATCTATAGGGATTGCAAATCTGAAATTGCTGACATTGTAATTTTGGAGATTATAGTATCAAGCAAGGAAAGATTTTGCTTTTCTGTAGAAAATGCTGTTTTAATATGTAAACTTTCTGAAAAAGATAGAATTTCCTATGTATTTAAATGTAGTCATATTTATGAAGATCTTGTTACTTTCTGCTAAAGGTACACTACAGGAGCTGATCTCTCATACAGTAGTGCATTGGGCCCAAGAAGCCTACATCCAGAACCCAGAACTTGTGCGTTTGATGTTCAGCTTGCTCCACAGACAGTATGATGGTGTTGGTGAGCTTATCCGTGCTATGCCTAAGGCATACGTCATTAATGCTACATCTGTGGAGGACACAATGAATTTGCTAGAATGCCTGGGCCAGATCCGTTCACTGCTTATTGTCCAAATGGGTCCAGAGGAAGAGAGGCTCATGATTCAGAGCATTGGGTATGTGGTAAGAAATTGGTACATCAAATTATATCGATCTATTTCTGTGCAGCATATTCATTCAGCCCAAGCAGTCCTTGCATCTCATTCTCTTCTAATGGATATAGGTTTGCCATTTTTGTGTCGTCCTTGTAAATCGCTTCTGCAAACTCTGCATTGCCTTTTTTTATAAAGTGATATGGTGAAAGTAACTGCATACAGTACTCCAAGTGTTATTGCCAAGGTCCAAATTTAGCATTTTTGTACTCAATTTTGGATAGAAATAAACTCCATGATATGATTGGCTTTCTTATGGCTTCATTAACCATTATCACTATCTTCAGCAATTTTCATATTGTACTCCCAGATCTCTTTGCTCCTGTATTCTGTTTATTTGACTATTACTAAGTAATATGTAAACTATTTCTCCTCCCAAACTGTGGTACCTTACATTTACCCATGTGGAAATTCTTTTGCCAATTATAGGTCTGTTGGAAAAATTTGTTACTGTCCTCTTGCAAATTGTTGCAGATGTTTCCATTCCCAATTACTTACTTCAGAGTTTAAATCGTTAATAAAAGCTGTGAACAACAGTGGATCCAACACCGATCTCTATGGAACACCATTTCCCATAGTGGCTACTCTTCACCTCTGTTCTGGTGTCTGCCTTGCTACATAGTCATGCTGTTGGTTCCCTGGCTGAGCATTCACTGACTTTATTTATTAGCTTACTGTGTGGTGTACCTCAAGTCTTTTGAAAATTTAGATATAGTCCAATATATCTTTATCCTTGTACGCTCTCTGGAACTTTTGAAAAAAATTCAAATGAGGTTGGTCAATCAAGACTTTTTCTTTCAAAATCTGTTCTGAATGTTCATTCTTAAATTTTTGGTTTCTAAATTTTATATTCTGTTTTCTTCTTTAATAGGGATCCCTTTATCTTTCTTACAGCTGATATTAAATTTGCTGGACTGCCTGTGTTCCAGCACTGTGCCATGTACTAATGAATTATTAAATACATATAATAATGCTTATGGTATTCCTTCCCAAATTCTTTTATTTTGTTATTACTAAATGCATTAATTAAATTTACATCTGAGCCTTGAGTATTTATCTGAGAATGTAATAGGGACAATTTTAGTTTCCAAAGCAGGTGTATTGTGGAAAGGTGTAAAGTTAAGCATTATAAATATTAAAATCAGAACCCTGTTTGCCCACATTGAGTTTTAACGCAGAGCAGATTCCACTTAAGAGGTGCTTGATCGTAAAATCTTTTCAAAGGCTATGTGTCTCCATTTTATGTGCGTTTATTTTTCTTCCTACCTAGGCTGGGTTTCTTGGATATTGAGAAATATGGCTGGTAATAGAAAATAAATAAAACAATAAAATTAGGTCATAAAATAACATAGCATAGAGGGAGATCATTTCGTCTATTGAGTCTGCATGACTCTTTCATAAAGCTATCTAGTTCTCCATTCTGTCTTGCTCTTTCCATGTATTCCTGCAGTTTGTTCTTCAAATATTGCCCAACTTCTTTGTGAAAGTGCATTCCAAACCCTAATCATTTGCATAGAAAAGTTGTCATCTCACCATGGATCCGTGCTGTACCACATGAGCCACCCCAACCAGTTCTCTACAGTCCTGGCCCGAACGATCCACAATAATATCCATCTGGTCTGGGACCTGATTCACTTTTCCCAGAGGACTGATCTATCGCATGCCTTTCTGACCCTTGATCAGAAGAAGGCAGTCATTAGACTTGATCATGAGTATCTATCAGAACTCTGCAAGCTTTGTGGTTCAGTGTGCAGTTTGTTGCCTGGATCCAACATCTGTACACTGCTGCAGAGTGTCTGATTTAAAGTTAACTGGTCCCTGATGGTGTCCCTTCACTTTGGGAGGGGGGTGCATTAGGGCTGCCTCTTGCCTGTGTGCAGACCCTTTCCTATGCCTCTTGCTGAGGAGGTTCTCGGGAGTGGCTCTGTGTGACCTGGGCACAGGGTGATTCTTTTAGCCTATACTGATGATGTGCTCCTCATGTTCACTGACCCAGGATGGATATGTGAGTGCCAGGCAGTGTATTTGGCCATGTCTTCCACCAGCATCAACTGGGCCAAATGGTCCAAACTCCTAGTCGGTCTGTGTCAGGTAGATTCCTTGCTGGAGATGTTACGGGGGTTCAGCTGAAACATTACCCATCTCCTCTACGTGGGGGTCTATTTTAGCCCAACTGAGGAATCCTGGCTGGCGAATTGACAGGAACTGGAGGCCAGTCTCACCTTGCTTAGACTCCTGGACAGGACTGCTCCAAGTGCTATCTTAGAGTTGAGTGCTGGTCACAAACTAGCTGGTAGCCTCCATGCTGTGGTACCAGCTGGTCTCTTTGACCTCCTCCTCTCCTGGTTTTGTCACAAAACTCCAAAAGAGGCTGATTCACTTCTGGGACAAGGAGGTGCACTGGGTTGCTGCAGAGTTTCAGAGTCTCCCTGATAAGAATGGCAGTCAGTCTCTCGTGTGCCTCTGCACCCAGGTGGTGATTCTCCGCCTTTGGACCCTGCAGTGATAACTTTCTGTGAGTGTCCTCCCATGTGGCGCACCTTGGCAATGTATCTCTTCCACTTGCTGCCTGACCTGATTTACAACACGTTCATAGCTCCTGTTTGTAGACTGCGAGAGTCTTCGGGTCTCCCACAAGACACTGCCTGTCTTTTACCAGGACCTAATCGATGTCTAGAATGTGGTCAACTCATGCCGTGTCTATCTACTGTCAGGAGTAGCTGCTGCTCAGGAATCCACTCCTGCATCATCACGGGTTCGAGTGGCTGGCAGAGACGAGTTAGGGAATTGCTATATGGCGGAGGCCCGGGCTGGATGTTGCAGCAGGAATTGGCAAATGGTAGCAGTGCTTAACCAGCTTGTGGCCGATGCCATCTGTCGCCTGAAAGCAGCAGTGCTTGGATCTGACATTATGTACGACTTGGAGGATGCTCACCTGTGCAGTGGGAACCTGTCTGCATGTACCTCTGCTCGGATGGTATTTCACATCTGCCCTAGGTTCCTGAATCTCCCTCAGGAGCCCTCACCCCACATCCTGAGCTGTCTCATGGGAATACCCTAAGTATCCTTCCACCCGGCACAGAGATGCCCTTCGTACAGACTGCTGCTGCACACCATTCACTTTGACTCCTTCATCCACCAACCAGACACGCTCTGGTGTGGATCCCCAATGGAGGGCTGTCTATGCAGGAATTCTCCCACTTTCCCTCCGGATATGGGGTCAAGGGCGTTTTCCAAAGCAGGCCATGTAACCATTGATTGCAATGATCCATGGACTTCCAGCACACCTGTTTATTTTGCGGTGCTGTGTGGAGTCCATGGGTCAAGTATATATTGGGTTGTAACCGATTACACTCCCTCTTTAATTATTTTAAAAATCTTCTGTTGTGCTTTTGATTGGCCTTCAGCCCCACCTCCTGATCATTGGGCACGGGGTGTGGAGGGATGTGGGCAAATCAGACGTCGTCCTCATGGGTCTGCTCCTTGGCTTGGCCAAGTTGGCTATTAACAGAGATAGTAAGAACTGCAGATGCTGGAGTCCAAGATAACACAATGTGGAGCTGGAGGAACACAGCAGACCAGGCAGCATCAGAGGAGCAGGAAAGGGTCCCGACCCGAAACATCAACTTTCCTGCTCCTCTGATGCTGCCTGAACTGTTGTTTCTCCAGCTCTACACTTGGCTATTAACAGATCTAGTTTGTGGGCTGTGGAGTTGGTCATATCTGCATATTATATGCCTGTCTTCTGCAGCTAATTTCATGCCAAGGTGTCCTTGGAGATGGAGCACCAGTGTCCACCAGTACTTTTGATGCCTTCAGAGAGAGCCGGGCACCGCAAGGGAATTATTTCCCCTTCAGTGCAATTTTGATTTAGCCACTCCCACCCTATTTCTCCCTCACCTTTTAACGTTTGTATTATTATCAACGGGCTTTGCATGGAAAGTATTCATTTGGAAACACGGGTGATTTACTGGTGGTAATTCATAGAAGGAAAGAAAACACAATGATTTGATGATAGGAAAATAAAATATTTCAGTGAAAAGAATTTCACCTTATTTTAAACAAGAGCAGAAATTGCTGGAGAAATTTAGCAGGTCTGGCAGCTTCTGCAGAGAGAAAGCAAAGTCACCGTTTTGGATCCAGTGACCTTTCTTCAGAACTGTTCTGAAACATTAAGTGTATTTTCTCTCCACAGATGCTGCCAGACCTGCCAAGTTGCTCCAGTAATTTCTGATTTTGTTTCGAATTTCCAGCATCCTCAGTTCTTGTTTATTGTTCACTTCACTTTATTTTACTTCATTTAAACCCTTAATGAATTTAAAGGCCTCTGTGCAATCTTATCTACCCTCCTCCGTTGTTGAAAGAACAACTGAGTTTTTCCAGGCTATCCAGTATTCCCTCAAACCTGGAACCTATTCCAGTAAATTTCTACTGTATGCTCCCTAAAACTATGTAAAGGATAGTGCTGGGAATTGGATTCCAGCTCTTGCTGAATAGTTTTGGAGGTGCAGGAGCTTTTCCCCAAAGTGAATCACCTGGCAACTCTGACCAACATGATCACTGGTTTACAACCTTTTGTCTGCCATGATTTTAGAAATCCACCCACATCTACAGCCATTTTAAAATGTACTGATGCTGTTAGTTATTCATGTAACACAGCAGTTTATTTAATGAAGTTTTATCTTTGTCTTTGCAGAAACATTATGAACAATAAAGTCTTCTATCAACATCCAAACTTAATGCGTGCTTTGGGCATGCATGAAACTGTAATGGAAGTAATGGTGAATGTATTGGGAGGTGGTGATTCAAAGGTATCCACACGTATTAAACTGTAAATTTTAAGTTTTATTCATTCATGTAATATGGGTGTTACCCACTAGGCCAGGACCAGGCAATTAGAGTCATTGATATTGCTGTAGGCCTGGAGTCACATGTAAGCCAGACCAGGTAAGGATGGCAGATTTCCTTCTCTACAGACTGCTGGTGAATTGGATGAGTTTTTACAACATGACATGAAGGTTGGTAGAGTAGTGGACAGTGTGAAGGGTGTTGTAGGTTACAACAGGACATTGACAGGATGCAGAGCTGGGCAAAGAAGTGGCAGATGGAATTCAACCCAGAAAAGTGTGAAGTGATTCATTTTGGAAGGTCGAATTTGAATGCAGAATACAGGGTTAATGGCAGGATTCTCGGCAGTGTGGAGGAACAGAGGGATCTTGGTGTCCACGTCCATAGATCCCTCAAAATTGCTACACAAGTTGATAGGGTTGTAAAAAAGGCATATAGTGTGTTGGCTTTCATTGGCAGGGGAATTGAGTTTAAGAGCTGTGAAGTTATGCTGCAGCTGTATAAAACTCTGGTTAGACCACACTTGGAATATTGTGTTCAGTTCTGGTCACCTCATTATAGGAAAGATGTGAAAGCTTTAGAGAGGGTGCAGAGGAGATTTACCAGAATGCTGCCTGGACTGGCAGGCAGGTCTTATGAGGAAAGGTTAAGGGAGCTAGGGCTTTTTTCATTGGAGCGATGAAGGATGAGAGGTGACTTGATAGAGGTGTACAAGTTGGTGAGAGGCATAGATAGAGTGGATAGTCAGAGACTTCTTCCCAGAGTGGAAATGACTATTACAAGGGCACATAATTTTAAGGTGATTGGAGGAAGGTATAGGGGAGATGTCAGAGTTAGGTTCTTCACACAGAGTGATGGGTGTATGGAATGCGCTGCCGGCAGTGGTAGTGGAGTCAGATACTTTAGAGATTTTTAAGCAACTCTTGGATAGGCACATGGAGGATAGTAAAATGTAGGGTATGCAGGGGAGATTGATCTTAGTAGGATAATAGGTCGACACAACATCATGGGCCAAAGGGCCTGTACGGTGCTGTACTGTTCTATCTACTAACAATTCGTGGTTACATGGCCACCACTTTATTCCAAATTTGCATCTGCTGTATTTTGCTTTTATCATAGCAGTATTTTATATTTGTTTAAAGTATGTTAGACAGAATCTACCACCAGATGCTTATGACTTTCTGGGGCACTGAGTTCATGTTGATCCAAATTAGAAATACATTGCTACATCTTAAATATTGCTGATAGAACTGCTTTCAAAACTTTTTTGTAGACGTGCAACCTTCACAGAACTCTCCCATCCTAGTACTCTTACCTTGCAACAGCATTACTGCTGACAGGTTACTTATTTCAAATAGTTCAAGATCCTCATGAAAACAAATCGGGGGAATTTTGAATGAACACAAAGTGTGGGTGTGTTGGTGTTCTAAGTTAGAATTTTATAATTTTGTGACCAAGAACTATAACCAGCACCTTTAATTCTCTCAGCAGATTTGGGGATGTTATAAAATGGTTTGATATTGCTCACATTTTGCACCTTACACATCCTTCAGAATGCAGTGCAAACTTTTGAAAAGCAATTAGACATTGCTTTTTATTCTTTCTACTTCATTGTCTAATTTTATTGCATGTTCTAATCTCTATAGTCCCTTCTTTAATTTTCCTGCTCACTTTTGATTTCTCTTGGTTTTATTTTAGTCCCTGTCCTGTTTAATGGTTAACCTAATTTTTAGAATATTAATCAGTAAATCACTGTTGCCTTAATTGATGAATTAGAAGATGTTCTAAAATCCCAAATGGATGGTGGTTTTGTGATTCTACTTCTACAGTAACTTTTAAAATGAGAGTACAGGAAGTTCGTTTACAAGTGCTGATAGGACTCTTTTTAAAAAAAAAAAATTGCCACAGTTGAAGTCGCCACTTTTAAATAGCGTATTAATAAAATACGAAAGCTCGCAGGCCTGACAAATAATTTGTATAACATTAGACATTTCCAACTGGCAACTGATAATTCTTCAAATCGGGTGTTTGTGCTGGGTGTTTCCCAAGATTTCCTTCCTGCAGGTGTCACTTTCTTTTGTGAGCACCAGATTGTGGAAATGTCTTTTTTATTTTCTACAGCTGCTCCTTATAGACTGCATAAGTGGCATTAAATGCACTGTATAAAGTACAGCTACATTCTTCTGTTTTGTTTATGGAAAAAGAAAAGAAGAGAAAAATAATTATTCTAATCATCGATATCACAAATTGCTAACAACGTGCAGGTCACTGGTAATGAGTAATGTACATTATGGTCCCACAAATAGCAAATAGGACTAATAACCTAATTATGTATATCTTGGTTGTTGTCAGGTACGGCATAATTGCATTAAGCAGGATAATTTAAAGGTCTTTGCTATTCTTTGAATAGTTCCATGTAATCTTTTGCATTTATACTGACAAAGGGACATCAGTGGCATTGTTGATACATATAACTCCAAAGCTATGATTGTTAAACTCAATTATCCTTCACTTTTTAATGAATGTTTATTATGATAGTAGCATGTGCATGTAAATGACTTTTATAAATATGAAACCTGCTCATTAAGCTTTCACTGAGATACATATACCCTGTTTTTGTAGGAGATACGGTTTCCCAGGATGGTTACAAATTGCTGCCGTTTCCTGTGCTATTTCTGTCGCATCAGTCGCCAGAATCAGAGAGCTATGTTTGACCATTTAAGCTACCTACTAGATAATAGTGGTATTGGGCTCGGTAAGTAACTGGTGCTGAAAGATAATGGCGACTGCTACTGTCACGTGTAGAAAAATGACTGACTTCTACAAAGGCATATTTCATGTCAGAAAATGTTCAATCTGTTTAACTGGCAAATTCAAATTTCAGATGCTACATTTATGATTTGCTTCTTTTTCATAAAATTTAGTGATTTCATACAGCTCCCTTTCATCCTTTGGGAACATTTTGAACTACAAATCAGTGAAACTAATTTTGTTCAAACTATTACTTGGTCGAGGCTGGCTTTTATTTTTGTTGTACCGTATTAGCATTCTGATTTAAGTTTTCAAATTCTTTCAAAAACGAATGCTTTCCAATGACTAATGTGTTGCTTTTTAGCAATGCAATAACTTCTCCAGCATTTACTCAAATGGCCCACTGTAACCTGTTCGTTTTGTAGGGCATTCTGCAATCAAGAATCTTCATCTGATTTTTAGGATTACATGGTTTCTCCAACAAGACCATCTCACTGAACTATATGTAGCATTCTGGAAAAGGAATGGCATAATTACATTGGGGATTACATCTGTTATCAAGTAAACTCTGCACCAGACGTATGTTTTCTGGTGGTTACCTTTCCTGTTGCTGAGATGCCTCCTGATGGCACTGATTATGACTATTCAGCTGGAATTGAAAAACTGTCCTTAACTGAGTCCTCCAGGGGCCTACTGACAACCATTTCTCACCGTCACCCTAACTCCTCAGCACATGAACTCATAAGGCCAGATTTTCACCTTGTAGGTGGGATTCAGGGTGAGATGAGGGATTGGGAATTCTCCTGATTCTACAATCCCACCTCCATCCTAGAAGTGCTCACCAACAAATTTTTCAACCCAAGGAAGTGTAAATTGTCTCCCTACTTCAGAAAGTGCACTGAAGGCGGCAAGGGGGCAAGAAACTTAGAAGGAACATTCAGAGGGCATGGAAGAGGGTGTACATGGAGGGTTGAGAGCTGACCAGAAGTGAACAGAACTAGGCTGATGTTCCAGTAACTGGATTTGGGACTTCTAACCTTACGAACTGACCTGCAGCCTGTCTCTGTTGCAGCGTTGTGTCTGCCTTCCGAGGCAGCAGGCTAAACTCCAATCCATCTCGGTATGAAAACAAAATACACAAGCTCTTTGATGACTAAGATGAGATTGTAGAGTCAGGAAAGTATTCAACTTCTAATACTAATGCCCTTAATGGATGACTGGTTCCTAAGTTACTATATAGACTGCTGTGATCCCAACTCTAATCTTTGCAGTACTCCATTCATTACAATGTGCTGGTTCAAATATGATTTATTTATCACTACTTTCCTCCCTTCTGTCCATTAACTAGACCCCCACAAATCATAGAACATAGAACAGTACAGCACAGCCCACGATGTTGTGCTGACCTATTATCCTACTTTAAGATCAAACTACCCTGCATGCCCTACATTTTACTATCATCCATGTTCCTATCCAAGAGTCGCTTAAATGTCCCTAATGTATCTGACTCCACTACCACCGCTGGTAGAGCATTCCATGCACCCACCACTCTGTGTAAAGAACCTACTTCTGACATCTCCCCTATACCTTCCTCCAGCTGCCTTAAAATTATACCCCCCCGTAATAGTCATTTTCGCTCTGGGAAAAAATCTCTGCCTAAGCTCTCTTTCTATGCTTGTCATCATCTTGTACACCTCTATCAAGTCACGTCTCATCCGTCTTCGCTCCAATGAGTAAAGCCCTATCTCCTTCAACCTTCCTCATAAGGTCTGCCCTCCAGTCCAGGCAGCATTCTGGTAAATCTCCTCTGCACCCTTTCTAAAGCTTCCACATCCTTCCTATAATGAGGCGACAAGAGCTGAACACAATATTCCAAGTGTGTTCTAACCAGGGTTTTATAAAGCTGCAGCATAACCTCACAGCTCTTAAACTCAATTCCCATGCCAATGAAAGCCAACACACCATATGCCTTCTTAACAACCCTATCAACTTGGGTAGCAACTTTGAGGGATCTATGGATGTGGACCCCAAGATCCCTCTGTTCATCCACACTGCCAAGAATCCTGCCATTAACCCTTTATTCTGCATTCAAATTCGACCTTCCAAAATGAATCACTTCACACTTTTCTGGGTTGAATTCCATCTGCCACTTCTTTGCCCAGCTCTGCATCCTGTCAATGTCCTGTTGCAACCTACAACAGCCCTCCACTCTATCCACAACTCCACCAACCATCATGTCATCGGCAAACTTACTAACCCACCCTTCCACTTCCTCATCCAAGTCATTTATAAAGATCACAAAGAGCAGAGGTCCCAGAACAGATCCCTGCAGAACACCACTGGTCACCGAGCTCCAGGCTGAATACTTTCCATCTACTGCCACCCTCTGTCTTCTATTGGACAGCCAATTCCGCATCCAGTTGATATATTGCTCATAACCGTGTTGATATATTGCTCAAAAGTCTATTAACCCTAACTTAGTGCAATAATTATTTACCGTTATAGTTCTCTCCAATGGTTTCTAATACTAATTTAATAGGATATCATACACATTCTCTTAGCTCAATTGGTTAGTCAGCAGGTTTGCAATGCAGAGTGGTGCCAAAGTGTATGTTCAATTCCTAAACCAGCTGATGTTACCATGAAAGACTCTCTTTCTCAGCCTCTAAAGCACCACCAATCATCCCTCTGTAATGTGGGAGCAGCCCAATGGTCTGATAAATCTGGTGACTTTACCTTTTCCTCTCCCTTGCAAAAGACAAGAAAAATACCACACAAGCAAAAGAATTAAAATGACTTGGTCAGATTTATTTACAGGCTAGGTGGTAAATAGAACCAGTTAGATGTACTAAGATATCAAAAAAGCGTACCATTGATATTTTCCTAATCACCCTGTTCAGATATGTTTTTCACACCTCTGGAGCAGGTGGACTTGAACCCAGGCCTTTAGCTCAGAGGTGGAGACACTACCACTGTGCCACAAGAGCCCTAAGAACATACTATAGTAAAACATTAATTGTGTTATCCGTTCACAAAAAGATAATATATCCACTTGAGAGTGCTTTTAAACCCTTGTGAGCAATGGAAATTCTTGAAGTTGAAGTTGTTGACTTAAAGCATGTCATAGCTGGATAGGGAAATTTTGGTTCAGCTCCCTTACGAGAATACAAAGCTAAGAAACAGCATGGCATGTCTTTAACACTACAGTTGTTTCCTGAAATTAAGCAAATAGACTGACAATTGAACAGATTTTGTGCCTTGTGAGCTGAGTTGTTAATGTCTTGAGTATTGTTGCTTCTTCCATTAGCTTCCCTTAAATGGCCAAATCAACATTTAAAGAAGTTATTCCACTGCCTTCGTATATGCAAATTAACACCTCTAATAATCAATTCCAGCCAACAAACCACCTCTTCATCCAATTGAACAAAGATATTAAAACAACCAAAAAAAATCATAGAGTATGTTGGAACAAAACCTGCTGGAAAAACTCGGTAGCTCAAGCAACATCTATGGAAAGAAACGGTTAACACTTAATTTGATGACCTTTCACCAAGTTACATTGGATATGATACTTATGTGATGGTATGCAGTCACCTTTGTGCAGGGCTTATCACAAAGCAATTTCACCACAGAATAATGGGATTTTCCAATTATTCAAACTATCTGACATCAACTGAAATAAATAGGGAAATCTTTATTTTTGCTAGTGTTAATTAATCTCTGTGTTATGCAGTAACTCCTCCAAATGTATGTAATTCATGGTGATGTACTTAATGCGAAATGGAAATAATAGCCATGATTAAGTTCAAAATTTTTGACTAACTGTCTTAAAGATGCGGATAAACACAGATCCTCAGTAGACCCATTATATATTAGTGACTAAAGAAAGGAAAAATAGGAGAGTAGTTTGTTTTTAAACCTTGATGGATTAGCATTCACCCCTCTCCACTAATAGATCATACATTTCCTCTACCCTGTTTGTGGTGGTGCTGGTGGGTGGGGGGCAACGTGGCAGTGGAGAGAATTGCTAGGTGTCCCTGTTTTTACCTGGTAAAAATTATTTTCCTGATGATGCATTTGTGCCAAGTAAGGATGCCACATTTAAAACCTTGGACGTATTACATGTAATTGACTATATACATACTCATTTTAGCCACCTTTAATTTATAAATGAGATATCTAAATAGTGGCAGACTATACTAAAAAAACAGATAGCACAATGTGGAGCTGGAGGAACACAGCAGGCCAGGCAGCATCAGAGGAGCGGGAAAGTTGATGTTTTGGGTTTGGACCCTTCTTCAGCATTTCTGAAGAAGGGTCTCGACCCAAAACGCCAACTTTCCTGTTCCTCTGATGCTGCCTGGCCTGCTGTGTTCCTCCAGCTCCACACTTTGTTATCTTGGACTCCCACATCCGCAGTTCTTGCTATCTGTGTACTAAAAAACACTTGTTTTATTTGCACCATGCTGGCAAACTACTTTTTCCAACAAATGTAACATATGCTTCTGCAGCTGCAAGCTTTGATTTAGTAAGAGAGTTTGTTGATCAAGGATTCTTTGCACCTCTCGATTTGTTTCTTCCACGGCTGCACTGATTTTCTTTTGTTCTTCCAGCATTGATTCCATTAGTCTTATACGCTTCTTATGTAAGTCAGCGTTTGATGTTTTCCTCTTTTTAATTGGTTGTGATTCATATCTGTAATGATAAAATGGAGATGCAAAGTACTTATCTATAAAGTATGCATTAAATTATAGGTTCACTGCTTAATTTATAACTGCTTGTTCATGTATTCCAAGCTGATGCCATCAAAACTAATTTCTAGGGGTTTGGGCATCACTGACTGACTGACTGTGCTAACATTCGTTGCCCATTCCTAATTGCCCTTGAGCTTACTGGCTTGCTAGACTATTTTAGAGGCAGTTGAGATGCAAGAACATTGTAGTGGGGCTGGAGTCACCTTGTAGATAGAGACTAGGCAAGGACAGCAGATTTACTTTCCTAAAGGACTCTCATGAACCTGATTGTAAAGACCAACAATAGATAGTGTTTACATGTTCTCCATTAAACTTACTTTTACTTCCAGGGTTTTTAAAATTTAAGTTTACTTACATTTAAATTTCACCATCTGCCATGGTGAGTTTCCAACCCTAGATAAAAACAACCTCAAAACATTAGATGGGACTCTGTATGGCTAATTCGGTGTGTTACGACCCGGAGAGACAGACAGTGGAATCAAATCCTCCCTACCTCTGTGTTCATAACACAGAAAAACTAAAACCTTCAATAACTCTTTAAAAATTGACCCAATGGTATCTAACCAGACTTTTTGAATAACTAGTACCAGACTTTGTGAATAATCACTACTAGACGCCAGGTTTATAGCATTAACAAGGATTTAACAATTTAATAGTACAGAAGCTTTAGCCGAGCAGTTAAAACGCAGCATAATTAATTATAATGCCTAAATTTCAGACCCTGTTTCTATAATTCTAGCCCCTCTCTCACACAAAGACAGACAGACAAACAAACAAACACAGTTAAGGGATAAATCAAAAGGGAATAATAAATGGGATGTAACTGACCATTTTACTGAAGCAAACTCCATGATCTGTGACATCACTGGCATATGGGATTATATCTTGGTTTCTGACAACACAGATGCATGCAGATAGCTTCTAGTAGGCTCCGAGGAATGTTCATTTAATTCTTATAACTGAGATTCTAGTGTCTCAGAGCGGCACGGTGGCTCAGTGATTAGCACTGCTGCCTCATAGCACCGTGGACTTGGGCTCAATTCCACCCTTGGGCTGTCTATGTGAAGTTTGCACATTCTCTCCATGCCTACGTGGGTTTCCTCCAGGTGCTTCAGTTTCTTCTAACAGTCCAAAGATGTGCAGGTTAGGTGGATTGGCCATGCTAAATTGCCCATAGTGTCCAGGGATGTGCAGGCTAGGTGGATTAGCCGTGGGAGGTACAGGGTTACAGGTGTAGGGTGTGGGGGGTGGGATGCTGTTCAGAGTGTTGGTGTGGATTCGATGGGCTGAATGGCCTGCTTCCACACTCTGAGAATTCTGTGCTTCTCTGAACTTTTAACAAGTTGATTGATGAGAGGACAATCACAGAGCAATCAAAGCTCAATCCTATAGCTTTTGCAGGTTAAATGGATTGTCCATGCTGTCATGTGACAGTTTGGGATCCTTTTAACTTAAGCACAGTTGAAAAACCGTTCCAAACTCTGGTGTCTCCCTGCCAGACTGACCGTATCCTCTCAAGGTCCCAGTTAACCCTCAACATGTGCCAACTGCTTGAGCGTAACTTGCTGGAACCAATTCCCAGGTACTGACCGTGTAATGACCAAACATTTGCAATCTACTTAAGCTTACTGCCACTCTGGAGTCAAAGCATCTCTGGCGAACTTTCTTTTAAAGAAGAAACAACTTTCAATTAACTTTTAGGCCTGGTCTCAAAAACAAATAACAGCTTGTTTGTTCTTTTGGTTTCACAGTCCAAAGGTCACTTTTCAGCTCTTAGCTCATACTTCACAGCTCCAAAACCAAAAATTGATTTAAAAAAATAAAATATTGAAAAGAATCAATGAGAATTGTAACAAGTGACATTAGCGCTATGCCATTGCCTCTCCAATGTAAAAGCAGGACTGTTGGTGATATGTTAAATTGTTGCATAATTGAAATCACTTCAATAGAAAATATGGCAATGGAAGAAAACTTCAGTAAAGATACCTGAACCAATTTTGAACTCTTGGCCACCTGCTATTTGGTGGGCATCATTACAAAATCATTTGCAATTTGCCGGATGAAATGGTGTTTGACTCTGGCCTGGAAACTGATAGATTCAAATCCAGCCCATCCTGGAATAAACATCTTTTCTTTGCTGGCTGGAGAAGAGTTTTGCAGCTGAACTCAAGCTTTCGGTATTTATTTTTTCCTTAACAATGTGCCAGGAATCTCCCACACTATCACATCACAGCAAAGAGAATTAAAAATATACACAGTGAACCTTATTGTCACCGTGCAGATCTGACCAACAAAGGGAGTTGAGGGTTATTGTGGGGGTGGGGGTGCCAAGCAGGGATGGTAGTCAAGGCCTGGATCAGCCATGATCTTATTCAATGATGAAGCAAGTTCAAGGGGCCAAACAACCTGAGTCTGTTGGTAATTCTTCTGATAATGATCTTATCATGATGTACCTTTGCTTGTTGCCATTTTTCTTTCTTTCCCAAAAATATGCTACATTCGAACGTTTTTGCAAATCACTATCAGGGAAAAAAAATAAAAACCAAAAACTTGAGTTCAGCTGCAAACTTCTCCAGCCAGCAAAGCAAAATATTTTGAATAAAATATAATAAAATTAAACTTTCCTTCATAGAGCTTTTCCACTCTACAGTACCTCAATACAATTACAGTACTCCCTCAGTCCAGAGACGTACAAGTTAGGTGGATTGGCAATGCTAAATTACCCATAGTGTTCAGGGATGTGTAGGTTAGTTGTGTTAACCACGCAAAATGCAGGGTTACAGGGATAGGGAAGGTTCATGGATCTCTTCAGAGGGTTGGTGTGGACCTGTTGGGCCAAATAGCCTGTTTCCACACTGTAGGGATTCTGCGGAACTACTCTTGGTATTTACATTGTACACTCCATTTCAAGCATTCAACCCAAGGGCAAAACATTTCAAATTGGCAGTTAGGAAGGCAAATACGATGTTAACATTGATTTCTAAAGGGCTAGAATAACTGTCTGGAGCAGACATGTACTGCTGAGGCTGTAAGGTCTTGGTCAGGCCAACTTTGGAATATTGTGATTGGTTTTGTACCCTGTATCTGAGGAAGGATATGCTAACCTTGGAGGGGTTCCAGAGGATGCCCACAAGAAAGATTCCAGAGGTGTCATATGAGCAGTGGTTGAGAACTCTGGGTCTGTACTTAATTGAGTTTAGAATCAATGGGGGGGGTGATCTCACTGAAATACTGAGGGACCTGGATAGAGTGGACGTGGAGAAGATGTTTCCACTAATAAGAGAGACTAGGACCTGAGGGCACAGCTTCAGAGTGAAGGGTTGATCCTTTAGAACTGAGATGAGGAGGAATTTCGTAAGTCAGAGGGTGGCTAATCTGCAGAACTCATTGCTACAGAGGGCCGTGGAGGCCAAGTCATTGAGTGTGTTTAAGACAGAGATTCTTGATCGGTAAGGGAATCAAAGAGCGCACGAAAATGATATTGCGAAACATCATCCATGATTAAATGGCAGAGCAGACTTGATGGGCTGAATGACCTAATTCTGCTACTATGTTTTGCGCTCTTATGGCCTTGGCCCCATTAACAGTCTGGCAATCTCTTGCGCTACTCAGCAGCAATCCTGCTATGTCATCACAGGCATTTGTGATTAATCATTCAATATAGCCCTATAAATCTGAATGCATATGAAATTAACCTAACTCACCTTCCCATGTTAGGGTACAGTAATAGAAGAAAATAAGGAAAGAGGTCTGGTTTCACTGGACTGACAGTTGTAGACAACAAGGGAGAAATTAGTTTTAAGATTCTTCTTTAATCCATGTGCCTTGCAAATTTGTAATATCAAAATAATCTCATACTCATCCACGAAAAATGGAAAAAGTACCTCAAGCCTTGTGAGGTCGCAGTTTCACTGATTTAAGTGAAAAATGGCTAAGATCCAATTTTAGATCACTTCAAAGAACAGCCATAACACGTATTTCTCTATTCTCTCATCTAAAGTTTAAATGCCTGAATTGTAGTGTGGGTTATAAATATTTTTTTATTAAATCCTTTTATCAAAATAAAATTATAAATAGACTGAGGCTGACAAGACTGAGGTCAGGAAGGGAATTAACCATTTTGTAAAACCAGGGAAAGCAAGATAATGTGACTAAATAATGTTCCACAATCTGTTTAAGAATTGCTTGTTTCCTGTTAGAAATCATGAACTCCTAGGGAAGAGTTAAATGAATACAGACTGGATTAAATATTCAAGAAAGATTTAGAGAAATTGAAAGTTAAACAGTGATTGGATTAAGTGGGTTAGTCCTGAAATGAGAGAGACAGACCCACAAATTGGCCTATCCAGAGTCCATACCATAAATATGAATATCTGATGCAATGGACAAAAATGGCCTTCCATACTCCTGTTTTTATGTTCTAGGTTAAACACTTTTTCACTCAGATATTAATTCAGTTACCAGATTCAGTTTAGTTTTACTTTATCTTGTGTGCGGTAAATAATAATGCTAAATTCGGTAACATCTCATGTTCCATAAAACATTCCTAAAATTATTGGTCAAATTTGCAATGCATTTTCATTTTTGTGAAAAATATTAATGACAACATGAGAACTGTTAAACAGGCATAAATGTAAATTTAGTTAATTGCATTAGGCTTATTATGAATACATGGAGATGAATTGTAAAAATGTGTATGTTCTTTGAGAGAATTTTTGTCAGCTGGCAGTTAGGATTGGGAATTTAGGAATACTGGCATCAAATAACATTAGTTCAAAGAATTTCCATTTAGGAATTAAGTTTAGTCCTCCAGTTTTGACTATTGGATTGTTTTCTACTCAAATTACTTGTCAGCCTGCTTTGCAAAATTCTCCAGAGGAGGAGAGAAACATGGGTGAAGGGAGTGTTAGGGGAAATTAACAATTAGAAAATATATTAGTAGATTTTAAGACTGCTATTTATTCTGCTGAGTACAATTAAATTTTATTACTAGTTTAACCAAATGCAAATAATGTTTGCCAGGCAGAATTCTTTTAGCAACAATTGAAAATGCAAGTGACCAGTTATCTCTAGGGTCCATAGGTATTGGTTGAGAGTAAAGCCTAAGAGACCCAAGTTACCTTACTTTCAATTTAACCTGTAATACACTATATTTGTCTCACCTGAGTTGTGAAGAATGAAAACTGGATGAATTTTCCATGAGCTCAGATTCACAAGAACTTCCCTCGGATATCAAGACATCATCAGATACGTTTGGAAGTGAAGTTTGTTTTTGCGGGGATGAAGGAGCTTCTGATTTGGAAACTGAAGGAATCTGTAGTACACTGTCAGATATATTGACTTCATCCTGTCCAGGGAACTGAGCAAGCATCCTGTGGATAGCTTCATAATATGGCCAATACGAAGATGAGGCAACATTTCCACATGTAGCTTTGAGTTTTCTAATTGAAAGATGAGATATTAATTTGAAACAATTATAACTGAGGAAACAAACAAGTTTAGTACTGTACTTTCACTAATTATAATGGACTGTTGCATCACAGTTACAAGGTGGAAACATTACTGATTCATATGTTGAGAGAAAACCAACCTCTCCCTGAGAAAAAAGGGTTTCAGAATGAGTTGCACAATGGAAATTAACTGTAACTGTTCATGAATTTTAAGTGGAATTTTGTCACTTTATAGCTGTAGACAGTATAAAGAAATAGCCATTTCTGATTCAACGCATATGTTTGACATTTTTTGAAATCTGCATAAATGACTCTGATAAATCAATAACATTTTTTGCATGACATGCAGAGGTAAATAACATATGCTGCAATAAGCACCAGGTCAGAATAATTGATGTGACAATCTGCTTAATATTTTGACCTGTCATAAAAGAAATATCTTTGGTTATATTGCAGAGTCATGCTTGGATAAATTTGATTTCTCAAAATTAGAATTCATGGAGTAAGGAGACCCAACCCTACATCGTGTCAGGAGCAGAAGCCTGACATTAACTCTGGCTGATTGGCTGCTTACTAGCTCTTGGAATGCTTGAAAGCTCAGAAGCTGCCACCTGCAATTACAGGAAAGGGAGTCAGAGATGGTTCTGTGTTATGGTCCCCATGGACACTAAAAACCTTTGAAAAGAAATTAACTTGTCAGCAACCAATAAAAATAGCTAAAGGACAAGATTTTCTATTTTAAGCTTTTTAATCCAACTAACAAACTAAAATCAGCCTTCATTGCATATTGCATTAATTGCCTAACAAACTAAAGAAAACGATCTTTTACATTAACAAACTAACTCAATCAAGATGTGCATTATAATTTCTTGCCTGTACACTGCACGTCTGACAGGTTTGTATTATAAGAGCAAGTCCAGAATAACTCCCAGTTCTTCATTAGGCTTTCTTCACTTTGCCACACTAGGTCGAAACTTCCAGTGCCCTGTGACAGTCTTGGCACTAAGCCTGAATATTTCAGACCTGACTTTAAGCAGCACAGCCCACCTCAGTGTGCCCTTTTTCTTAAATCTCCAAACATCATGTTGATTCTGTCCCCTTTCTTTGGAACAGAAAACATGTCTGCATATTTGCATAGTTATTCTGTTTGGTTTCTGACACAAAACAGTCTTTTTCTGCTTTTCACAACAGTATCTGCTTTGCTTTCCCCACAATAGTATCTACTTTGTCTCTTTTTCTGTGTTTTTAAAAAAAACTATACTGGTTGTGAAAATTGTCACTTGATTTTAACAGGTTTCTGTTTGTTTCTTTCCCATGACAACCAGATCACATAGTTATATCTCTGGGCAGAGGCTTGTAGTATAACCTCACCATCCTCTTTTCCAGAACTTTTGTTTCCCCTTAAGTTAGAGGGGACATTTTAATTCATAACCATTTTCTAAACCCCAACATTCATAACACAATTGTTAGCATTAGTTCACATCCAGTTACTCAGATAATACTGATTTTCTTAATTGATTTCCTGCTGTTATTTTCCCAGCTGGAGTTTTATTACTGGACTAAAATTTGGCTTGATAGATCATATTTTGTTTGTATTCAGGTTTAATAAGGTGATCTTACACTGAACCATAAGCGTGCCATATAGCAGTTTTGTGTTTTATGAGTAAAGCAATTCCATAAAAGAAACAAAAAAACAAAATTAAATAAGCCAAACTATGTACCTGTTTAGAGTGTTTTAAACATATGGTCAAAAATATAATCCAAAAAGAATCATTCTCCAGTACTCTCACCAGAGAGAATCTCCTCATCTAACACCTCTATATGCTTAATTTAACTGTGCCCTCAACTCCCAGTCAGGAGAATCGGATAGCTTCTTTCTGGAGCCATTATTCATTTGAGTTTGTACTTTCTCAAGTTCAACTTACCTCTTTGGGGTTTACCCAAACACTTCTGGTCTGAAACTATTACTACATTTCTCATTCTGGGGTGTTTTTTAAAAATTATATCTAAACTATCTTCATCCTTTCTTGGGAACAACTGCTTTACATATCCATCTTCAGCAAAGAACACTGCAGAGCTGCCTTAACCTAAAACTAAAACTGAAAGGTTTCTCTCTGTTTCCCCTTGAGCTTCAAACAAGGCCAAAATCTTCAACCAGAAAGTCTAATGTTCTACACTGTGCACTTTATTCACTCGTAAACTCTCCCAATGTAAACAAAAAAAACCTTAGTTCTTGGGGACTATCAGTCTCAAACTGTTCTTAAAAGAAAAAAACACTATAACTACAGAAATACTTACAAATTAATCAATAAACCCCTTGAGAGAGAGAGAGACACACACACACAATCTGATATACCACCAGATTAAAATTGTAATATTCAAACTCAAATAAATAATACAAATAAGTATATCATGTACCTTGCATTACACAACTAGAGTACCAAATTGTAAAGGGTAAGTGCATAAACATCTTGAAATTTGTGGATTTCTATTGACTATCTTAGTAAAAGAACAAAAGGAGATGTCATCTAATATTCCAAAGTATGTGGAATTACTATATTAAGACTATAGCCAAAATTTTTTTTTTAAAAATCAGACCCTTATGGAGGAGGTATGCGTCTGTATCTTCATTGTATCAATAACTCAAACAACGGTCATTAAAGCTTTTTTATCTGGTGTATAGGGAACTCTAATGAAAATTTACCTCTAAGAACGAGAGTCTCACCCTAGCCTTGGGACATTACAGAATGATTAAGCACAATCTTAGCACAAAAGGAGGCCACTTTAGTCCATTCTACATAGCAGTGCAAGCTGTATATCAGAGCTGACTTATTGCAATCCCATTTGCCTAGCCAATTCCACAGATGAGTATTCTTCTTCAAATGTTTAGTTCTGTCTTAAATGCTATAACTAACACAGCTTGTATGGCCACTAAGCAATGTACTGGTGAGGGGTATGATGAAATTCTCTCCACTTGTCTGTGTGAGTGCAGTTCCAACAATATTTCAGAAGCTCAGCGTTGTCCAAAACTTTATGTAGAGCAATCTAATCAGTTCCGTTGCACCACTCTATCCCTGTAGACCTGCAGGTTTATTTGCTTCAGGTGCCCATTCAATTTTCTTTTCAATTCACTGATCGTTTCTGTTTTCACCATCCTTGTTGGCAGATGATTCCAGGATACATAGACTAGGCCTAAGGAACCTAATTTAATAGCAAATTGCAGTGAAGTAATTTGCATTGTTTTCTTTTCCCTTCTCGCCTCCTCATCTCAATAAATAGGCAACTCATTTTGGGGAAAAGATTTTTACTGTTTCTGATTCCATTCAATATTTAAACGGTCACATTCCTTGAATTGGCTATTGAGTGCACTGGGCATCCAATTCAAGGCCATTGGACTATCTTTCAAAGCTGGAGCTCCTACAGCTCTGAAAGAGCAGCAGTATGCCATTTTGAGTATGAGAGGATGCTTCCACCATTAGGCACCAACAGCAACTTATAAATTTTTCAATCAAAAATATGACTGCAGCTGCTGGGTTACCATCCTGAAGGATCAGATATGTGGGGAGGACCTCTTAATATTCTGTGGAATGCTGTCCCCGATGCTGCTGGACAACTACCTTAAGGCAGCTGGCCTATTGCCAATTCTGCAAGACTCCTGAAGGGTGATGGAATAATTCTAATTGATCTCTGATAACTGAAATGCCATTGATGTATCCTTAATTGGCACTTGGGTAGCCCTTCAGGTTCTGACCCTGGGAAAATGACCTAGGGTGGGCTGGCTGAATGGACAGATCCTAACACTTGCCTACCTCTAGCTGTACTGCCCTCATGGTGGAGTGAAAAATTCTAACCCAACTATCAAATAGTATCGGAGCTCAAGACACACAATTTTTCCATTTGGTCGTCAAATAATGAGCTGCTTGATTCAACAGATTACCAGTTAAACAATTTGACTAATAAAGTTAGGGAACACAAAGACAGAACCTCTTAATCCAGTGAGTACTGAAGATGAATTCGACCAAAAAATGTGTTTACAGTCTATATATTTAAATCTGCATTGTGGATCCTTGATTTAAGCCACAGTCTGGCTAAATGTCTTCCTAACTCTTGCATTACATGCAAAGTTTTGTAGATGCTTTAATGTAAAAAGGGCACTTATCATTTTGTAGAGAGATTGATTTATTTATAACATTAATGAACATACTGTATTACTACAAAAAATAAGACCATCAAAGAACGAAGAAGTTGAGGTTTAATCATATTTTACAATTCATATGTAGTGCTTACCTGTACTGAAAGGTCAAATTAGTAACTTTGGTTCTGATTTGGTCCTTATCACGACTTATCCCAGTAGCTTCAAAAAATTCTTCAGCTATTTTTTCATATACTTTTGCATTTCTCTTGGCTGTTCGGAGGTCTGATAAATATTCATTCCATATACGTATCAGAGCACTTGTCTCAACCTCGGTCCAGTTGCTTGATCTCTTAGGTTTCTCAATCTGAGCAGCTGAATTGCTGCTGCCACTGTTACAAGCTGCCATTTTGGGAAAACATCAACATATCGTGAGAGGAAGGTTTAAACATCTTATCTCTGAGAGTTCATGACTGATGACTAATTGAAAAGCTTTTAGATTCTGGCAAGCTTTTCTAAAACCTTTTTAGAAAACATTCAAAAGGTTTTAGATAAAAGGGTTGGTGATGAATGACTAACACAAGTTCTTTCAAGTGAAAGCGTTCAGATGAAAGCTTCTAGAATAGTACTGTCTGTCAAGGATGCAGGATTTTGGCATTCTGTACTGTATTTAAATACTTAAAGCTTTTTGAGCTGGTGCCTGTTAGCTCTTGCAGTAAAGTGGCTGTTGCCAAGGTAACATTGTATCAGTAATGGTCTAGCTGATGATGCTACTTTGCCTAAAAGCTTTTAATTGGCTCTCCCTATGTATTGAGGGTTGCTCTTTAATTCTAAAAGCTCTCAGTTGAAACCTCTGAATTAACCATCTGTCGGAAGTGTTAATTAATGTGATTAAGAGCTGAAAGCCTGAAATAGATTTATTCCATGTGACTAGCTACATTGTCCTCCCTTTCAGTCATTGTCAACAGAAAAATACTGTAATTTAGCTTCACAAAATGCTATTCTCATGGACTTCCGTATTTGAAATGTTGATTGAATTTTACAACATATGGTGCCTACATGCAACATGTACTGCAGTTATATCAGATATAACTGATTCATTTTTGATCTTAAATATGACTTATCCTGTTGCTTTTGGGTGTTTCTGACAAATGGGATTTCCTGATGAAAATGATGTAGAAGATCTTTATTCTAACAGTCCATGACACAAGTGTGGCTTGACAAAGCCATGAAACACAGCAAAAGAATTTGAAATCCGCAGTATATAGTGCTAAAAACAACTGCTGTTCTATTTTGGCAGCTAAAATGTGCAGTTATGTTTGCACTTCTAAATTGTTGTAAAGAAAACTTTGCTTTACAATAGTTCAATAAGCATTGGTCTGACTCAGAAGCTTGCTCCTAATCCAAAGTGCTTTTGAAGAAATCTTGTGCGAACGAGATCACCTCGAGGGGGGTATCTTATTGAGCTTGAGCTCGACGCTGCATGGAGAATAGCTCCAATGCAGTGTTAAGCTAATTTAAAGAGTCCATTGAATCTTGTAGGCACTTTAGAAACTAAAAAAGCTTTGAGAAGTTACTTCCTCTGCCTATACTTTCAGTACTCTTAAAAATTGTTCTAATTGAGAGCTGAAAGTTCATACTCGGGTTTCACTTTTAGCTAGGAGAGTGACACTTTATAACTCACCCACTTTGGCTACAGATCAATAATAAGCTACTGATTTCAGTACTACCACAGCTTTAAAAATTCTTGCTGTAACTGCAAGCTTTTTGCAATCATTGATCTTGTGTTATTATAAACAAAGCATAAGATGCAGACGGTTTCATATTGCTGTACCAAGTAAATGTTAATGAATTTGCAACTAGGCTGCCAGTATGATATGAAATAATTTTGGTAATAAATAATGTTGCAACATTTATTACAAATTATAGATTAACAATTATGCAGAGTTATTTAAAGATCGAACATACAAACTTGTAAATTAGTAGTAGGTGCAGGACATTCAGTTCCTTGAGTCTGCTCCACCATTAAATAAAATCATGACTGATCTGACTGTGGCCTAGGCTCCACTTTCCCATCCACCCTCATTACTACTTAACTCCCTGTAGTTAAGAATCTATCTACTTCTGCCCTAAAAGAAATATCAGTCACCCGGTCTCCATTGTTCTGAGGAACAGAATTCCACAGACGCATGATCCTCTGAAAGAAAAGTTTTCTGCTCATCTCCATCTTAAATAGGTGACACCTTATTTATAAACTGCGTTCCCTACTCCTACTTTATCCCATACCGGAAAGCATCCCTTCAGCATCCACCCTGTCAAGTACCGTTAGGCTCTTTTATATGTTTCAATAAGATTATTCTCATTCTTCTAAACTCCAATGGATACAGGTCCAGCTTGTCCAACTTATCTCATAAGATAACCCCCTCATCCCAGAAATCAGTTGTGAACTGTCTCAGAGCTACCTCGAATCCAATTATGTCCTTGAATGAGGAGACCAAAACCATATATAATATATTTATGTTATGATATGATCTAATCAATGCTCTGTCCAACTGCAGCAACAATCCCAATTTTTGTGTTCAATTCCCTTTTCAAACAACAGTATCCTATTTGCCTTTCTAATCACTTGCTGTACATGCATACTAACATTTTGTGATCCATGTACCAGGAGACCATATTCCTCTGAACTTGAGTTCTACAGTCTCTCTCTATTTAAATAATATGCTACTGTCCTGTTCTTCCTGGCAACAGTGGACAAGCTCATATCATCTCACGTAATACTTCATTTCCATATGTTTTGCCTGCTTAACAAATCAATAACCTTATGTCTTTTTTATAACTTATTTTCATAGCAATTTTTGCATAATCATCTCAGTTAGATACCATGCTTTCAATCCCTTGATCCAAAGATATTCAGTCCCTTCATCAAGTCATTTATAAGTAGTTGAGGCCCAAGTACTGATACTTGTGGCACTTCACTTATTACATCTTGCCAACTCAAACATGGCATGTTGAAACCTATTCTTTATTTCCTCTTAGCTAATAAATTTGCTGATTATGCTAATATTTTACCAATAGCTCATGTAGTGGCATCTTGCCAAATGCCTTCAGGAAATCCAAATGCACGACATCCACAGTTTCCCCTTTATACATACTGTTTATTACTCCCTCAAAGAACTCTAATAAATTACTCAAGCATGATTTTCCTTTCACCAAACCATGTTGACTTGATCTGATGGCAGTCAGAAAATCTCAATATACCACAATTGCCTTCTAAAAATAGATTCCAATGTTTTGTCTGTGACAGATGTTAAGCTAACTGGCCTATGGTTTCCTGCTTTCTATCTCCTCTTCTTTTGAATAAAAGTGTTGTATTTGCTATTTTTCAATGTCTTGGGGCCTTTCCAGAGTCTAGGGAATTTTGGAAAATTAAACCAATGCAGCTGCTACCCCAGCAGTCAGTTCCTTGAAAACCAAGAAAGAAGTTTTATGTTACCCAAGTAATTTTCTCGGTACAGTTTCCCTATCATTGTACCTGTTTTAAGTTCCTTTTTTACTTCTCGATTTACAAGTTTCTCTGATGTTGTTTGTATCCTCTAAAGTGAAAACAAGTATTTGTTTAGTTCGTCTGCCATTTCCTTACTTTCTAGCTTTACTTCCCCAGAATAACTGTCTGGAGGATCAATAATCGCCTGACTTACACTTTTACACTTTTCCTTTTGAATACCTATTGACATTTTTATTATCTTTTTCAGCTTTTTTTTAGCTTTCTCTCATCTAATTTCTCCCTCCATTTTGTTCAATCAGTGTTGCTTTTTTTTAAATAATCTGTCAAATCTGCTAATCTGTAACTTACCTCCGTAAAATTCTATGTAATTTTTTTCAATTTAATTTCTTTAACATCCTTAGTTAAACATGGTCTCTCCTTCCCTGGAATGTTCCTTTGCTGAGTGTTATGAAAAATCTCCTTAAATGTCTTCCATTGTATTTCTCCATAACAAAACTTCCACATTCACTTTCACCAGTTATGCTTTCATGCCCTTATAATTGTCCTTTTTTATGTTTAAAGTACAAGACCTAGACCCACTCTTTTCTTTCTCAAACTGAAAGCAAAATTCAGTGATGTTGTGATCACTGCTACCAAGTGACACCTTTGCAATGAAATCATTCATTAATCCTGTCTCTTTTCACCTCACCAGATCTAGAATAGTCTGCTGTTTGGTTGTGGAAATGTGGAATTCAGAACACAAACAGATCAGCTCTTCTTGAATGTTGGAACAGGCTTGAAAGGCCAAATAGCCTGCTTCTGCTAATTGCATGTTCTAGAACATACTTCTCTATTAAACTGACCCTATATGATTTCATCTTTCAGACTACTTTGTGACGACAGTTTGTGAATCAAACGCCCTTTCAGGCATGAGGTCCAGATTGAAAGTATTTGTCCTCAACTCTCCTCTCAGCCGTCTACCTCTTATCTTAAATCAATACCCCTGGTTTATTGACCTTTCTACTAATGGGAAAAAGTGCCTTCCTATCCATCCTAATTTATGCCCCTCACAATCTTATACACCTCTATCAGGTCAACATATCAATCTATGCCATTTCAAGGAAAACACCTCTGCACATCCAAACTTTCCTCAAGCACAGAGCCTCCAGTCCAGACAGCATCCTGGTGAATTTCCTTTGAACCATCTCTAATGTATCACATCCTTCCTATAATGTAATGACCAGAACTACATACAGTACTCCGGTTGTGGTCTAACCAACATTTAATATAGTTCCAGAATAACCACCTTGCTCTTCTGTTCTGTGGCTTGTCTAACCTATTTTCCTGGCTAAATTTAGGGATCTGTGGACATGCATGCCAAGGTCCTTCTGATTCTCAATACTTGCCAGAGTCCTACCATTGCTAGTGTAATCCCTTGCCTTGTTAGCACTCCTTAAGTGCATTACCTCACACATTCCCATATTGAATTCAATTTTCCACTCTCTGCCCATCTGACTGGTATGTCGATAACCTCCTGCAGCTTATTACTACCTTTTTAAATTTTTGTCATCAATGAACATCTTGATCATACCTCTACATTGAAGTCCAATTCATTAATGTACACCACAAACAGCAAGGGGCCAGCAGAGTCCTACAGACCTCCTGTCACAGGAACATCCCTCTACCATCACCCTCAACTTCCTGCCTCTCAGCCAATTTGGATTCCACTGTGCTACTTTACTTTAGATCCCATGGGTTCTTGCTTTCTTGACTAGTGTGCCAAGAAGGACTTTATCAAAACCTTGCTAAAGTCCACGTAGACCATATCAAGTAGACCATACCTTCATGAACTCCCTTGGTACCTTCTCAAAAAAATTGATCAAATTTGTCAAACATGACCTTCCCCTAACAAATCAATACCGACTATCACTGATTAATTAATGTGTCTCTGAATGCGAATATACTCCATCACACTGAATTTGTTTGAATAAACTACACTTTCACAGAAGTTAGACTGACTGGTCTGTAATTTTCTGGTCTATCCCTTTTTTAAATAATGGGACAATATTAGAAGTCCTCCAATCCATTGGCACCTCACTTACAGCCAGACAGGATTTTAAAATTACTCCTAGGGTCTCTGATATCTCCTCCCTTGCTTCCCTCAACAGCCTGAGATATATTTCATGGATAATGACTATTTATCCATTTTTACGATTGCTAAATTGGATAGCATCTCCTTTCTCAATCTTGGTGGAGGGTCAAAATTACCGTTTCTTCTTGACAAATCTATTTTTATAACATTTTTATTTATCTATTTTATCATATTTTAAGAGAAAAAAATGGTGCTCAATAATCTGATTGTGTAGCAATTGTTGCATCTGTTAATTCTGATTGGACATCTGTTTTTGGATACATTACCAGTAACTAAGACCGGTTACAGATGACTTTGTGAATGATCCATGTTCATTTTGATTGGTCACAAGGTAGGGACATCTGTGAGTCAGCAAGGGTTTTTGACTACTTCAGGATGTTTTGGGGTCATCCCTGAAACATTTTGGTTGTGCTTCTGAGACGTTTTTGCCACACCTGAATTCTAAGTAAAGCAGTTGCTTTGCATGCTGACACCATGCTGTCACTAGTAGAGCTGGTTTTGAGGGTTTAGCACGTCAATGCTCAGTGTGCTGTCTTGGGAGGGACGCTGCTTTTGGACTAACTTTCTTACCACCAAAAATGGAGGGCCCTTGAAATGCATTATTGGTCACATTTTTCTGGTGACCAAGCACATTGAGAGATTTGGTCAAGAACATGCAAGAGCAATGTTGAGGCATCAGAGTGAACATGGAGACCTGTTCAGCAGTGGGAGTTGGGAGAGAGCATGAGGGCAGCCGGGAAGGTAAGTTTTCAGTTAAAAAGACTTGCCTCGTAAGACTGTGGCCTTCATTATTCAGCGGCGGGACTCAGGAGAGAGCGCGTGGGGACTGCTGGGTAAGTAAAAGCATATATTCTGGCAGTGGCTAGAAAAAACTAGGAAAGAGGACCTGTTCAGAGATTATCAGGAGCTAGGAACCAAATTAAAGAACAAGTCCTCAAGGGTTATAATCTCCGGATTACTGCCTGAGCCACGTGCTAATTGGCATAGGGACATGAGAATAAGGGAAGTAAACATGTGGCGAAAAGAGTGGTGCGGGAAAGAGGGGTTCCTTTTCATGGGGCACTGGCATCAGTATTGGAACAGGAGGGATCTGTACCGTTGGGACAGTGTCCACCTGAATCGAGCTGGGAGCAATGTTCGAGCGAAAAGTGTAAATAGGCTGGTCAACAGGACTTTAAACAAGGAAGTGGGGCGGAAGGGAATGGTGAAACTTGCCCCAGTGGGAAACAAAGCAGCAGGTTAACACCTGTAGTGCTGGATTCAACCACGTGGAAAAATATAAAAGAAATGACAGGGAAGGAGAACTCAGGAGAGGTTATTAAAGTCTCCAGCACCGACACAGACAGGACAGAGTGTTTGGACAGGGCTAGCAATCAAACTTCAAGCATACTGGATAAACGAATGACAATGAGAAGAGGGACGGATAATACAGGATGGAAGGTGTTACGTCTGAATGTACGCAGTAAAAGGAATAAGGTAAATGAGCTTGTTGCGCAGATCGAAATTGGCAGGTATGACACGGTGGGCATCGCTGAGACATGGCTGCAAGGGGATCAGGATTGGGAACTGACTATCCAAGGATATACAGCCTATTGTAAAGGTAGGGAGGTGGGCCGAGGCGGCTGGGGTTGCCTTATTAGTAAGCAATTAAATTAAACCAATAGGAAGAAATGAAGTAGGGTCAGATGGTGCAGAATCTGTGTGGGTAGAATTGAGGAACCACAAAGGTAAAAGAACCATAGTTGGAGTTGTGTACAGGCCTCCAAACAGTAGTCAGGAGCTGAGGCGCAAGATACGACAGGAGACAGAAAAGGTGTGTAAGAAAGGCAAAGTCACAGTGATTATGGGGGATTTCAATATGCAGGTGGACTGGGAAAATCATGTTGGTAGTGGATTGCAAGAAAAGGAGTTTGTGGAATGTCTACGAGATGGCTTTTTGGAGCAGCTCGTGGTGGAGCCCACGAGGGAACAGGCAATACTGGATTTAATATTGTGCAATGATGCAGTCTTGATAAGGGAGCTTAAGGTGAAGGAACCCTTAGGAGGCAGTGATCATAAGATGATAGAATTAACTCTGCAATTTAAGAGGGAAAAGATAGAATCAGAGGTAATGGTATTACAGCTGAATAAAGGCAACTACAGAGGTATGAGGGAGGAGCTAGGCAGAATTGACTGGAAGAGGAGCCGAGCAGGAAAGACAGTGGAACAGCAATGGCAGGAGTTTCTGGAGTAATTCAGGAGACACAGCAAAAATTCATCTCTAGGAAAAAGAAGCATGGTACAGGGAGAATGAGGCAACCATGGCTGACTAAGGGAGTCACGGATAGTGTAAAAGCAAAAGAGAAAGCATATAATGTGGCGAAGGGCAGTGGGAAACCAGAGGATTGGGAAGCTTACAAAGACCAACAGAGGGCAACAAAAAAAAATAAGGAGGGAGAAGACTAAATGTGAGGGTAAGCCAGCCAGTAATATAAATGAAGACTGTAAGAGTTTCTTTAGATATATAAAGGGCAAAAGAGAGGCAAAAGTGGACATTGGACCACTGGAAAATGACACTGGAGAGATAGTAGTGGGGAACAAGGAAATGGCTGAGGAACTGAATAACTACTTTGCGTCAGTCTTCACGGTGGAAAACACGAGTAATCTCCCAAAAATTCAAAAGAGTCAGGGGACAGAGCTGAGTATGGTGGCCAACACCACTGATTGGCCTGAAGGTAGATAAATCACCTAGACCAGATGGACTACACCCCAGAGTTCTAAAGGATATAGCTGAAGAAATAGTGGAAGCATTAGTGGTGATCTTTCAGGAATCGCTAGAGTCAGGGAGGGTCCCAGAGGACTGGAAATTCGCTAACATGACACCCCTGTTTAAAAAGGGAGTAAGGCAAGAGATGGAAAATTACAGGCCGATTAGCCTAATCTCGGTCATGGGTAAGACTTTACAGTCCATTGTGAAGGATGAGATTTCTAAATATTTGGAAGTGTATGGTAAAATAGGGCAAAGTCAGCATGGTTTCATCAAGGGGAGGTCATGCCTGACAAATCTGCTAGAATTCTTTGAGGAAGTAACAAGCAGGGTAGATCAAGGAGAGGCAATGGATGTTATCTACCTGCAAGAAGGCCTTTGACAAAGTGCCGCACAGGATGCTGCTGAGTAAGATAAGGGCCCATGGTGTTAGAGGCAAGGTGCTAGCATGGATAGACGATTAGCTGTGTGGCAGAAAGCAGAGAGTAAGGATAAAAGGGTCTTTCTCAAGATGGCAGCCGGTGACAAGTGGTGTTCTTCAAGGGTCAGTGTTGGGACCACAACTTTTCACTCTCTACATTAATCTTCTAGATGAAGGAACTGTGGGCATTCTGGCTAAGTTTGCAGATGATACAAAGATAGGTGGAGGGACAGGTAGTATTGAGGAGGTGGGGAAGCTGTAGAAGGATTTGGACAGGTTAGGAGCGTGAGCAAAGAAGTGGCAGATGGAGTACAACGTGGAAAAGTGTGAAGTCATGCACTTTGGTAAGAAGAATAAAAGCATGGACTATTTTCTAAATGGGGAGAAAATTCAGAAGTCTGAAGTGCAAAGAGACTTGGGAGTTCTCGTCCAGGATTCTCTCAAGGTAAACTTGTAGGTTGAGTCAGTAGTCAGGAAGGCAAATGCAATGTTGGCATTTATTTTGAGAGGACTTGAATATAAAAGCAGGGATGTACTACTGAGGCTTTATAAAGCCCTAGTCAGGCCGCATTTGGAGTATTGTGTGCAGTTTTAGGCCCTATATTTCAGGAAGGATGTGGTTCACGAGAATTGTCCCAGGAATGAAAAGCTTAACATGTGAGGAATGTTTGAGGACTCTGGGATACTCATTGGAGTTTAGAAGGATGAGGGAAGATCTAATTGAAACTTAGAGAATACTGAATGGCCTGGACAGAGTGGATGTTGGGAAGATGCTTTCATTGGTTGGAGAGACTAGGACCCGAGGGCACAGCCTTAGAGTAAAGGGAAGATCTTTTTTGAACGGAGATAAGGACAAACTTCTTCAGCAAGAGCATGGTGAATCTATGGAATTCACTGCCACAGAAGGCTGTGGAGGCCAGGTCATTGAGTACATTTAAGACTGAGATAGATGGGTTGTTGATTATCAAGGGGATCAAGGGTTACAGAGAGAAAGCGGGAGAATGGGGTTGAGGAATTTATTAGCCATTTCTGAATAGCGGCACAGACTCAATGGGCCGAATGGCCTAATTTCTGCTCCTTTGTCTTACGGCCTTATGGTCTTACCTCCCAAAACACTCACCTCTCTGGCCTTCACAAGCACTCCTTGCCTGGCATTTAGTAGAGATTCATAATTCTCGATCCTGAGCAAGTGTCTAAAGATAATTGTTGGATTTTGGTATTGGATAACTGTTCTAAGAAAAAATTATCTTGATACCTTCTGAAGAAACCCTGGGAATCATTTTGTTCAGTGCTTAACCCATTCACCTTAATGTTAACATAGTTACCATGAAGTTTTAAAAAGGTAGAAGTTGTGTTTAATGGATTTTTCCTATTTCTGTGCTGATGACTGACATTATGAAAGCTGAGGAACTGTCTAAAATGTTGTTTATTACTTCATTCTGTGAATGCAAAAGGTGGATCTATTGCCTTGTTCACAAAGAGCCATTTCACTTTGAGTCACAAATACTGTTGCGGACCCTCAAAGAATTGATTCTGTTCCTTTTGCCTAGAGGAATTTGTCTTCTGTTGATGCAGTTGCTCATTGCAGCATGTCATTGATTTCTTCAGGTATGAGGGGATCCACTCCTCTCGATGTTGCAGCTGCTTCGTGCATTGACAATAATGAACTTGCCTTGGCTTTGCGGGAACCTGATCTGGAAAAGGTAATAAAGCTGTAACGTTTTCATATATTTGCAAACAATATTGTTAAATCCAGGACATGACCGGCAGACAGAATGAAAAAGAGTGCCTTGTTGTGTTCCATCTGTCTTTGGAAAATGATTTATTACATTAAATAATTTATTCTGTTTTGCTTGGAGTGTGTGAAGTTGTTCACAAAAGCTGGGAAAATGAAATTTCTGAACGGTGGCTCAGTGGTTAGCACTGCTACCTCACAGCGCCAAGGACCTGGGTTCAATTCCACCCTCGAGCGACTGTCTGTGTGGAGTTTGTACATTCTCCCCATTTCTGCATGGGTTTCCTCCGGGTGCTCTGATTTCCTCCCACAGTCCAAAGATGTGAAGTTAGGTGGATTGGCCATGCTAAATTGCCCGTAGTGTTCAGGGATGTGTAGATTGGATGGGTCTGGGTGGGATGCTCTGTGGATCAGTGCGGACTTGTTGGGCTGAAGGGCCTGTTTCCACACTGTAGGGATTCTATGAATGATGGTATTGTGAGAAAACAGACTAAATAGCAACAACTATGACCTCCCAATCTGGCATAATTTTTCTCGGGTGCATAAGGAACACGATAAAGATTAGTTGGCAAGACATTTGTTTCTAACATAATAAAGCAAAAAAAGTTGCTTTTGAAATAAATGAGTTTTGATTACTTACGTGATGTGAAACATTGAGCAAAATGGACCAAGTATTCACACATGCACTATTTTGTTTAAATTTACTTTTTCTTGCTGTATGGGTATTGTTGGCAAAGCCAACATTTATTGCCATCCTTAAATACCCTTGAGCTGAGTGGTTTGCTAGGTCAATCCACAGGGCGGTTAAGTATCAATCACATTGCTATGAGTCTGGAGGCATATGAAGGCCAAACAAGGCAAAGATTTCCTGATCTAAACAACATAAGTGAACTGGAGGGTTTTTATGGACAATCCTGAATAATTTCGTTGTCACCATTACTGAACCAGTTTGCAGTTCCAAATTTATCAATTAAATTTACATTTGGCCAACTGCTGTGGTAGGCTTTGAACCCGTGTCATCAGATATTAGCCTGGGCCTCTGGATGACCAGCCCAATGACATTGCAACTACACCACTGTCTCCCTCATAATTAAAAGAGCTAGTTAGAAAATTCTATAATTTTATGCTCCGCAATATCAAAGAAATTCTGAAAAAATGCATTGAATTTCCAAAATGATTTTCTTACTGCCAAGTCCTTTTTGGGAGTGTAAATATGTGAAATTTCGCTCGAGATAAACAAATAAAGGCTCTAGGTTGCACTGAGGATCAGATGGGTTGAGGTTTTTTGTAGGAATTGAGTACAGTAAAAATAATTAAGGGTTCCATGCATGCAGTAATTACAGTAAGAATAATTAAAGGTTCCATGCGTGCAAACACATTGCTTAAGTTCAAGAAATACTCAGGTTTGGCAACATCTGTGGAACAGAGTTAATGTTTTTGGACCAATATTACTCTTTAGTTCTGCAGAAAATGCTGCCAGATTTAGTACTTCCAGAAGTTTGTCTTTTATGCCTGATTTCCAGCATCCACAGTATTTTGCTTTTATTTGTGGATGAATGTGTAAAAGTAACAAAAAAAAACTGGAAAATGAGTCCTCAACTCTGAAATGTTATGCAATGAAGGGTTGACAATTTGTGATTTTTACATTCTTTATATTGCATAGTGTGCAAATTTCAGCAAAGCTGACATATTGTCAACGTCACCATTAGGTTGCGCAATGACTATGCATGCGCAGAAACACAGCAGTGCAGTGCTACATCACAGCAAAATGATGGAACTGGAACTGCTTGTCACAAAGATAGTCCTGTCCATGAAATTACAGCATAGGGCAACCAAGATCACTTAGTTATACCTGCACTTGTAGCAGGCACTGTAAATTAAAATTCATGCGGTGTCCCACTGGTACAAAAGGTCATAATGCAGTCTTTTCTCAAATGTGGTTTTCCATGTTTTTTTCTTTCACTCTTTAAAGCCATGATAGTGATAGTCTGGTTGGGATGCTCTTTGGAAGGGTGGTGTGGACTTGTTGGGCCGCATGGCCTGTTTCCACTCATTTAGACTATTATGGAACATGCCCATTTTTAATAAATGTAAGATTTTAAAAAGGCAAAAGCTTTGATAAGTTGCTGCATCGACAGGCTAGAATTAATTGCAGCAAATATCCAAGTTTAGTGCTGGGCATTTTTTAGAAATTGGCAAGTCACACATTTTCAATACAAAACAGAAATGTAATCTTGCTGGGCATTTGAACATCACTCTATTTCTGAACTAGTCAAACCACATGAGTGCTGAGGTTATCTGGGTGCACTGAGACACACATTGGTGACTGACATGCAGTCATGGCTGGCTGATATCATGAGGGCCACCTGGATGTGTGTGTGTTCTGTGCCATCTTTGATATCGCAAGCACAAGCTTCACTTCAAATGACAGCCTTTCTTTTAACGTAGTAATTTTTAAAAATCGTTCTCTTTTGCCATTTATTTCCAATTTCAGGTGGTGACATACCTGGCAGGGTGTGGACTACAAAGCTGCCCTATGCTTCTGGCAAAAGGGTATCCAGACATTGGATGGAACCCTGTTGGAGGAGAGCGTTATCTGGACTTTTTGCGGTTTGCTGTATTCGTTAATGGTAAATAGACCAATTGAGCAAACGTTAGTGAAAGAGAATTAAATGCCCTTTTTCACTATATTTCTAGAGTCAGGCATCATATATTTTATACTGAATTTCACAAAATTGACACTAGCACAGATTGTATAGACATACGGGTGCAGTCAACCAAGAATGTTTCCAGTCATAAGAAATGTAAGTCGTCGATTGGAGAAGTGGGACTTTTCTCCCTGGAGCAGAGGAGCCTAAAAGGAGATTTGATAGAAGTTTTTAACATCATGAGGAATTGGACAGAGTAGATAGGGAGAAACCATTCTTATTCAGAAGAGGATTGAGGCCGAGAGGGCTGAGTTTGAAGAAGAATCCCTACAGTGTGGAAACAGGCCCTTTGGCCCAACAAGTCCACACTGAACCTCCAGAGCATCCCACCCAGACCCATCCCCCTAATCTACAAACCCTGAACACTACAGGCAATTTAGCATGGCCATCTTTGGACTATGGGACGAAACCGGAGCACCCAGAGGAAACCCATGCAGACACGGGGAGAATGTGCAAACTTGACACAGACAGTCGCCTGAGGGTGGAAGCAAACCCAGGTCCCTGGTGCTGTGAGGCAGCAGTGCTAACCACTGAGCCACCGTGCTGCCCAGTTTGAAAACAGTTTGCAGAAGAAGCAAATGTGACATGCAAGAAATCTTTCTCACATAATTCATAGTTTTTAGTCTGGAATGCATTGCCTAGAGGTGTGATGGAGGGAGTTTCAATTGAGGCATTCAAGAGGGCGTTAAATGATTATTTGACTAGAAACAATATGTAGGGGTACAAGGAAAAGGCAGGAGATTGATACCAGGTCATAATGCTTACTCAGCAGGAATAGTTTTTCTCCTATCAACTCTTTTTGAACCCCTCATTATTGTGGAATACCTCTATCTGAACTGTACAGATTTGTTATGGTATATTAATTATTGTAGAAGTGTTCTCTATTACAAAGGAAAACGGTAGAAAATATATGGCTACAATTAACGAGAAATATTTCGTGATGTTAAAATAAATTTTGCAGTAGTGGAGTGCAACTACTAGATGTTGTTAAGGCATCACAAAATGATTAAAAGGTTGAGTTAGATACTTCCTTTTTTTAAATAAGCCACCCACCTGCCTGTACAATATTTTCTGTACGATTGCAGGAGAAAGTGTAGAAGAAAACGCCAATGTTGTTGTGCGTTTATTGATCCGTCGCCCTGAATGCTTTGGACCAGCCCTAAGGGGTGAAGGTGGGAGTGGCTTGCTAGGAGCCATTGAGGATGCCATCAAGATTTCTGAGGACCCTGCCCGTGATGGACCAACAGTCAAGAAAGATCGTAGACGGGAACTGTAAGGAAATAAATACAATCAATATGATATAAATGTTAGTTCTGTCTCTTACAAGACTCCCAAGTCCAAAAATATTCTGTCCAAAAAAACTGGGAGCATAATTTCTGCGTGAAATTAGAGCAGGAGTTGGAAATTTGTCTCCTCAAGCTTTTCCGACATTCACACTTGCGACGTGATGTGCGAGAAAACTTTCTCACATTGCTAGTAGTTTTAGTCTGGAATGCAGCCCTCTCACTGGCAATTATCTAAGGCCAAACCAAACCTATTCACAATCTCAGTGTTGCGTTTGACCCTGTAATTTGATTGAGAGATAGAAGATTAAAATTGGAGAAAAGCTGTTCCCATGTGCTGATGGTACAGGAACAACAGGAAACAGGTATTGCTTAAGGATTTCCGGGGAATACGAGGGAGAATGTTTTAACACAGTGAGTGATAATGACCTGGAACACGCTGCCAGTGAGCGTGGTGGAAGTGGAGATGGTGAATGACTTCAAAAGGCAATTAGATGGGTAGTTGAGGAAACATAATTAGATGGCTACAGGGATTGAGTGGAGGAGTGTGATTGACTGGATCACTCCATGGATGACCGGCATAAGATGAGTGGCTGAATGGGCTCCTTCTGTGTCATAAAGGACTATGTCATCTATCTGCAGCTCTATGCTTTCCTGTTTAGACCATTAAAAAAATGCCACTTCTGGTTGATGTCACAGACTAATTGCTTGTTCATGCATTGATGACTGCCTGTGTGGAACATATTGTACAGGAGTAACTCAATTCAACTGTGTAATTGAAAGGCAACCCGAAATTTGGGTTGTACCCCCTGGTGACCCCTCTGTTGCTCTTTCCCTCCCACCTCTGGCCTGTTTCTTTCCTGAGAAATGCCCAGCATTTGGTGCCCCTCCCTAATTGTATTTGACAGCAGTTAAAAGTCAACCACATTCCTGTATGTTTGTAATCAGATCAATTAAGGACAGCAGATTTCCTTCCATAGAGAGCATTTGTAAACCATTGAAGTTTTTTTTTAGATGACAATCAATGGCAGTTTCATGATCACCATTACTAGCAGAAGCTCTCAATTCCAGATATTTAAAATTCCATCCATTGCCCTGGTGGAATTTGAACCCGTATCCCCAAAGCATTAGTCTGGGCTTCTGGATTACTTGTTCCCACCACTACCATCTTCCCTTCATGGTTTTGAGCACATAGAAATGGGAATGGCGTATGGAATTGTTTGGAGACATGATAGTTGCAGTGTCATTCAGAGTGAAATTGACCTATTAGATGTTAGTGCAAACTAAAACAATTTGCAAACATCTGTTTTGCACTACTGCTCAAGTCTAATTTCACTTGCATTATATTCAGTTCAACCAGATATTTGATGAGATTTGTTTTTAAAAGAAGAAGCTACTGCCATTTCATATCAAACACAATTTATCCTCCTTGACAATCAGCCTGACTGTGAAACAATCCGGTAAAGAGTAATGATAATGTTGCTGAATCAGGGAGAGCAATATGGATGTGACATCAGCTTTGTAATACAGTAAATCCTACAGGTGAGCAAGGCAAAACTGTAATTAAATAATGCTATTGTAGACCATGATTTTTTTTGTTTAATCTCTTGTAGGTTTAGTGAAGAGGTCCATGAAGAGAATCGCGTCCATCTGGGTAATGCCATCATGTCTTTCTACTCTGCACTGATTGACCTGTTGGGCCGATGTGCTCCAGAGATGCATGTAAGTGATCACCCAGTGCAGATGAATGAATCAACTACTGAGCTACTACGAGCATGTTGTGATAGTTATGTTCCAAATCTGTTTTTTATAAACATTTTGCAAACATCTGTCATAGTTCAAAGTGAGAGTCTACTTTGAAAGGGATATTATTATAACACTCAGGTTCCTGAGCAATATTAACATGGTGGATGTCGCAAAGTGGTTTCCCCTTTTGGAGAGGATTAAGAGGCACAGTTTAAAAATAAGAAATTTCACATTTAAAACCAAGTTGAAGAGAATTTCTTTTCTCTCAGAAGGTTGTTTGTCTGTGGAATTCTGTTCTCCGAGAGCAGTGGAGGCTGGATCGTTGTATATTCAAAGCTGAGTTAGACTAACTGCCTGAATAGACAATTGACTGAATTATTGCTAATATTATATTATTCATTATCTATATCCAAATTTACTTATCCCTGAATGCGTCTGTGCCAATGCAGAATCTATGTTTGACGAAGCAAATGCAGCCCCTCTGCACCAGTACTGCATGGAAGATTAATTTTAAAAAGTTAAAGCAAGTCTTCACTCTTCTAATTCACTCTTTCCCCACCCCATACCAACCTCTACCTACCAACCCTTCATGACCCCTCATTCTCAATATACCGCCCTTTTCCCATTTCACCATCCTGCCATGGCCTCTCAAACCCCCTATACCAACTTGTGGCTGTGTACACTATACCCTGGCCCTTTATAACCCCTTGTGCCATCTTAATGCAAATCCTTGCTCCCATACTTTTCTCTGTTTCATGCCACCCCCCACCCCTACCCTGTATCAATTTGCCTAGTACAGGCACTTCTGATATAACGCGATAGTTCTGTTCTTGCGATCTTGCATTTTAAGAAAATAGCGCAATAGCAATGGGCCCGGAATTGTGATATTGCCAATACAGGTGAGGAAAGTTTTTGTGTTCTACAAATAATGGTCTAAATTCTTCTTCAATTGTGTTAAACCCAATTCACGTTGAAGAAATACACATTGTAGCAGGACTGACTGTTATCTACTATGGGCAAACCTCACGCTATGCTGGCATGATTATTTGTCGTTTGATTACATGACTACTTAAAAAAGAAACTCATTCATTCAAAAAAATTAAATCCACTGAAATTCTGTTAGCTAATCTCTTATGAAAACAAATGTTTCTATTGTAAGTTCTTTGACAGTTTTGATATGCCCTATGCACCATTTAGGCACACTCTTCTATCACTTTGCAAACTAAAACCTACCTGATTCTCCTCCCCCCTGCATCCTGGGACCATATCTACAGGAATCCTTTGCCTGTCAAAAATGGTATCCTGGCTATCCAAAATAAATTCACTGAGACAGACCTGCTGTGTGGCCTCTGGATTACAGATAATTTGGAACCCAAAATATGATTCAAATGCAGGAATCTGGCATTTAAATGGTCTGCTGCTTCCTGAACCTGTGACATCTACAAACCCACCTCCTGCGAAAATCAGAAATGAGGCAGGACCTCTGATTTGCAGGAACTTTTTGTTGCATCTCAGAGGCTCTCAATTCCAATGAAAATCTGGGCTTATGTCATAATAAAATGTTTGACATATAGCAACTCATCATTTTTCATAAAACTCAGAATTTCTGACGTTACCTAAGAGCAAAAGTGCCTTTCCACACATGCTTTTAAGGTTGCCTATCTTCATGCAAGCTGCTATTATATCTTTTAGGATATTACTGTTTTACCAAAGAAAACAAGCTGCTGTTTCTCCTTTAAACTACACATTGAGACAATGGAGCCAATTGTTAGATCTTGCAATTGTACCAACTTGGTAAATTTGAGACACATAATATAGTGAAAGAGTAAATGCTGATATTAATATTAGTTCAGCTATGCTGTTGACTTATTGAGAAATATCAAAATTAACATATAAATTTTTTTTTTAGACTTTTGGCTAATGTTACAACCAATCCCTGGATGAAGTATCCTAAGTTCTTACGGTTCTGAATGAGATACACCAAACTGTTATTCTTCTGGGTCAGGAGGAATCAACGGCACTACTTCTTTATTTACCTGCACTTCTGGTTAGCCACAACTAGATTAATTAAAAAGGATCCCTTTTGTGGTGGACACCTTTCTCCCAGACCATATGAGCTTATGTTCTGAAAGGACCCAATTTAACCAGTCTTTCTTGACTTAATAGCATAGCACCCATCAGATTAGAAATGAGAGGCAAGTCCAAAAAGATTTTTTTTTAAAAGATCAATCTCATGATTCGGTGAATAGCAGATAAGAGCCAGAAGTCACATGACACCAGATTATAGTCCAGCAGGTTTATTTGAAATCACAATTTTTCGGAGCATAGCCCCTTCATTAGTCCAACACCAGCACCTCCACGTCATAGTACATAACATAATATTGTGGCTGTTATGTTGAGTGACAGTGGTAGAATTGATACATTGAGTAGTTGATTTCGAGATTCTTGGCTTTTCACGTTAGGTGGACTTCTTTATTTCCTTTCAATTGTAGTTGGCCTACAGCACTCCTTGCGAGAGAAAGTACCTTTTCCTTCATAGGTGCAGTGCAGGGATGCTATCTTCAAGCTTTAACCCTCACAGGATACTAATGCACATCCTAATATGTCAGGGTACTAACATGCACATGTATTGGTAGCAGTGGTTTTTAAACCCTGTTTTTATACGTTCCTAGAAAGATAAAATATAAGCATATCTTTAAATTCAGATCCACAGACTGCAATATAATACACTGAATATGTTTTCCTGCTGAGGGGAGATAATTAGATTCCTTTTCAACTCCGCCCTTTGTAGTTTCTTCTTTGAAGTGTCCTTAGTTCTCTACAAGGTGTGACAGTCCAGCAGTTACACAGGAAATCTGAGATAGTTGGAACTGCAGATGCTGGTGAATCCGAGACAACAAGGTGCAGGGCTGGATGAACACAGCAGGCCAAGCAGCATCGTAGGAGCAGAGAGGCTGACGTTTCGGGCCTAGACCCTTCATCAGAAAAGGGGGAGGGGAAGGGGGTTCTGAAATAAATAGGGAGAGAGTGGGAGGCGGATAGAAGATGGATAGAGGAGAGGATAGGTGGAGAGGAAACAAACAGGTCGAAGAGGCGGGATGGGGCCAGTAAAGGTGAGTGTAGGTGGGGAGTTAGGGAGGGGATTGGTCAGTCCAGGGAGCACGGACAGGTCAAGGGGGTGGGATGAGGTTAGTCGGTAGGAGATGGAGGTGCGGCTTGAGGTGGGAGGAGGGGATAGGTGGGAGGAAGAACAGGTTAGGGAGGCAGGGACGAGCTGGACTGGTTTTGGGATGCGGTAGGGGGAGGGGAGATTTTGAAACTTGTGAAATCCACATTGATACCATTGGGCTGCAGGGTTCCCAAGCGGAATATGAGTTGCTGTTCCTGCAACCTTCGGGTGGCATCGTTGTGGCACTGCAGGAGGCCCAGGATGGACATGTCGTCTGAGGAATGGGAGAGGGAGTTGAAATGGTTCGCGACTGGGAGGTGCAGTTGTTTATTGCAAACCGAGCGTAGGTGTTCTGCAAAGTGGTCCCCGAGTCTCCGCTTGGTTTCCCCGATGTAGAGGAAGCCACAGCGGATGCAGTATACCACATTGGCAGATGTGCAGGTGAACGTCTGCTTGATGTGGAAAGTCTTCTTGGGGCCTGGGATGGGGGTGAGGGAGGAGGTATGGGGGCAGGTGTAGCACTTCCTGCAGTTGCAGGGAAAAGTGCCGGGTGTGGTGGAGCTGGAGGGGAGTGTGGAGCGGACAAGGGAGTCATGGAGAGAGTGGTCCCTCCGGAAAGCAGATAAGGGTGGGGAGGGAAAGATGTCTTTGGTGGTGGGGTCGGATTGCAGATGGCGGAAGTGTCGGAGGATGATGCGTTGGATCCGGAGGTTGGTGGGGTGGTACGTGAGGACGAGGGGGATTCTTTTTTGGTTCTTATTGCGTGGACAGGGTGTGAGGGATGAGTTGTGGGAGATGTGGGAGACACGGTTGAGGGCGTTCTCGACCACTGAGTGGGGGAAGTTACGGTCCTTGAAAAACGAGGACAGCTGAGATGTACGGGAGTGGAATGCCTCATCCTGGGAGCAGATGCGGTGGAGGCGAAGGAATTGGGAATAGGGGATGGCATTTTTGCAGGAAGGTGGGTGGGAGGAGGAGTATTCTAGGTAGCTGTGGGAGTCAGTGGGCTTGAAATGAATATCGGTTTCTAGGTGGTTGCCCGATATGGAGACCGAGAGGTCCAGGAAGGGGAGAGAGGTGTTAGAGATGGTCCAGGTAAACTTAAGGTTGGGGTGGAAGGTGTTAGTGAAGTGGATGAACTGTTCGAGCTCCTCGTGGGAGCACGAGGCGGCGCCGATACAGTCATCGATGTAACGGAGGAAGAGGTGGGGTTTAGGGCCGGTGTAGGTACGGAAGAGGGATTGTTCCATGTAACCTACAAAGAGGCAGGCGTAGCTTGGGCCCATGCGGGTACACAGGAAATCTTTTGGCTGTGAGTGAGTTCCATTCTTAGAAGTTGAGGCTTGACTTGCAGACTTTGTTTCCAAAAAAAAACTTTTGTCTTAACCAGAAGTTTAATCTGACCATGAATATTACGGGGTTGTCATGACATAAGATGGTATCAAATATCGTTCGTGAGATAACGTAAAGAAGGATTTTTCAAAGAATGAGTGAAATCAACATTTAGTTCAAATAAACAACATTAATTTAATACATGTTCTTACATGTTGGCTTCCTGTGCAACATTGCATTATATAGAAAACCAATTTGTACAACTATTGTTTATCTTATTTTTGCAACAGCTGATCCAGGCTGGAAAAGGTGAAGCATTGCGAATCCGAGCAATCCTGCGATCCCTGGTTCCCATTGAAGATTTGGTTGGTGTTATTAGTTTGCCTCTACAAATACCTGCTTTTGGAAAAGGTAAAGTTAAATAGCCAACACTGGTGCTAATAGAAGTCTTAGCTATGATCTGGATTGCATGTCCCAATCATATTGTAGCAGAATGGGCGATACGTATGTTTGGTACTATTGGAAAACTGCGGTGCTCAAGGCAGCTTTTTGACGTGATAAGCAAACTGAAGAAATGAATTAACAGCCAACAGGATATATTCTAGTTTGAAAAGTCTCTGAGCTGAAAGCAGTCAGTCATCCATGAGAGGTATTTTGTACATGCTAACTTTTCTACAGAGAAGCCTCAAGTTTTTTTGTGTATGGTCCAGTCACTATGCTGGCAGTGTGGTCACCCTAGATGAATAAGGTTGTGGATTCCAGACCATTCACTGGCTGGAGAAATGGTCCGCAATGACAAGCCCAGAGGATTTCCTTTTGGCATCTTACCAGCCACTTCCCCACCATTTCCACCTCCCTTGCACCATAGTGTTTGTGGCTATGGTGAAGGACAAACTGTTTTCTCTCAATTTTACTTACAAACCTGCCTTCTTCTGATCAAATACGATAACACCAGTGGAGATGAGTTGCTTATCCTGGAGACTGAAGAACTATACTTGATAAGAGTTCTTTTCAGAATATAACAACACAATTCTTTTTAGACTCAGTACAAATCTAACATCACATGAAAAAGATGTAACACATAATTATTTTTTATTATTATGGAGGATGGAGCTCTTCTCTTGCTGACTGAGCCTCTGTTCTTGATTATTCACTTCATTTTATTGTTGTAATTTCCAGATGGTAACCTTGTTGAACCTAAAATGTCAGCCAGCTTTGTTCCTGATCATAAGGCTCCCATGGTGCTGTTCCTGGATCGAGTCTATGGGATAGAAAATCAGGATTTTCTCCTTCATGTACTGGAGGTTGGCTTCTTACCTGATATGAGAGCTGCTGCATCCTTGGATACTGTAAGTAATATAATTTTAAAGTCTTATTTTTAAGAAAGTTCACTAAAAATTATGCTCAAGTCAAACTGCTGTTCCAGGCGAATGTATCATATAATTGCCACATTCAGTTATGCAACTTATTTTCATATTGGAACAAAAATGTGTTAGCACTTGCACTAGTGCAAATCCATATGAAAAGTTTATTACAGCTAAATAAGATGGTGGATGGTTTGTTGAAAGTCAGAATATTTTAATTAAGAGCAAGAAACTGTGGTTGCTGAAATCTGAAATATAAACAGAAAGTGCTAGAGAAACTCAGTAGATCTGACAGCATCTATGGAGAGAGAAATAGTTAACTTGGAGTTGACACATTAACTCTGTTTCTCTCTCCAAAAATGCGTCAGACCTGTTGAGTTTCTGCAGCACTTTCTGTTTTTATTTTAATAGAATGATACAGTTGTTCCTGGAAGTTTTTCATAGAGTTATGTAATCAGTGGATTATTATGGTCTGGAACTCTGATGATTTCCAGGGTAATCAGACAGAGCTTCCAAATGGTAGAATCTTTTGAAGCTTTTAAATATGTGTCTCTTAACTTCCGATGTCCACGGGGCCTTCATTTAGTTGGGGAGATGGAGTGATCTTGACTGTAAATCTGCCACTATTGAATACTAATTTATCAGCGTGAGTAGTCATAGAATCCCTACAGTGTGGAAACAGGCCCTTCAGCCCAACAAGTCCACACCGACCCTTGGAGCATCCCACCCAGACCCATCCTCTTATAACCCACCTAATCTACACATCCCTACACACTACATGGCCAATCCACCTAGCCTGCACATCTTTGGATTGTGGGAGGAAACCGGAACACCCAGGCAGACATGGGGAGAATGTGCAAACTCCATACAGACAGTTGCCCGAGGGTGGAATCGAACCTAGGTCCCTGGCGCTGTGAGGCTGCAGTGCTATCCACTGAGCCACCATGCCGCCCAATTAAAAGCCACCAACTCTCAAGCTTGCCTTCTGAGGTATTGTGCAGAACTGGATGGGTACCTCCTCTAGATGTTTTCCGGAGATGGCCCTGTGTAAGATTTCATGCCAAGTTTCTCAGGCACAAAGAGCTGGACCTACTTTGAACACCCACAGATGATTTGATCAAGATATATAAAGAATGAAGGAGGTTGCAGACTTTTTGGTAGAGTATTTCAGCTTGACAGATCAGGGAGAGGTGGAAATATGCTTTTAAATGACGCAGCAATGGGATAGGCTAGCTACTTGGCAGTTCTTCTTTTCCCAAGGAAACAGTGAACCTCCAGAATGCATTGTGTGTGTGTGCTGACTCACTGCAAGCCTTCAAAAAGAGTTCTTATTTGGGGCAGAGTTCTAATCACATAAACATTACCACACAGACTCGTATGTAAGATAAATTTTTGAGAACACCTTTTTCCGAAAAGTAAGGGGTCACCTTTTTGATACAAATATCCCCTTTGAAGTAAAACAAAGAACTGCAGATGCTGGAGTTCAGAAACAAAAACAGAACTTACTGGCAAAACTCAGCAGGTCTGGTAGCATCTGTGGGAAGAAAGTAGAGTTAATGTTTCAAGTCTGGTGGTTCTTCATCAGAAATTACTTTTGGAGGATTGAAATCATTCCTAGTTTTTGGAACTGTTGATTTCCTGATATTGACACTGACATTGATTGATGGCTATGATTGAATTCAGCAGTGACCAGCTGTCCCAAACTTACCTACCCATATTTCTGACATGTAAATGATAAAAGAACAATTGTGAAAAAGATTCACTGAACTGATTCTACCAACCCTCCTCCCAAAGCCAACATAAGGTATAAGAAAAATGAAGGATTTGTGGACCAAAAGTCAGGGATGTCTTATGAAAGCAATATATGAAAACTAAGGAATTTTGGGCCGAAAGTTGAAGGTTGATTTCTAAACAGGATCACCTGTTACTTGAGTATATAAGGTAAGTAGTTTGACAATTAAAGCATCATGGTTAGAGTTAGTGCAATGTCCTCAACTGATTTCAGTTGCCTCAGGAGGTAATAGAGGAATTTTCTGGGTTTTTTTTTGTTTTTGTTTACACCTAGGCATTTTTTCTGCTGTTTGAGGCCCTCCCAGGATAGTATGTGCTGGTGCTGAGTAGGAAGGTCCGTGCATCATGAGGCTGAGAGGCTTGGTGGACTACCTGGATTTTTCTTTTCCCATCTTTTTGGTTGGATTATATCTTTCAGTTAGATTAGGATGATATTTACATGTTGAGCTGTGAATCGTGTTAATCGGCCAACAAATCACACTTGCCATGATCCCGCTGTATACATCAAGGAGTTTGATTTCTATATAGTATATATGATGCCTTTCTCCAATTCCTTTCCCAGGTTGCTTTCAGTACCACTGAGATGGCGCTCGCTTTGAATCGCTACCTCTGTACTGCAGTCCTCCCTCTGATAACTAAATGTGCGCCACTGTTTGCTGGAACGGAGCATCGAGCCATTATGATTGATTCCATGCTGCACACCATTTACCGACTGTCCAGGGGCCGTTCCCTAACTAAGGCACAGAGAGACGTGATTGAAGCGTGCCTCATGGCATTGTGCAGGTAAGTGTACCATTGTGAAATCCGTATAAAAACAGTAAAGGGGTAGAGTTTTCACTTTGGGCACAGTTTGGGATCCAGGCGCAAATTGCCCCCAAAACTGAATCATTCATATCCCCTCCAGTTTCTATTCACAATTTGCAGATCACCAAATACAAAATCTACCATGAGCCAGTGTAATGAGCAGCATTTTACAATGTCATCTAATTTAAACACATTTGCTTTAGGTATAGACAATGGCCTAGTAGTATTATCACTAGATTATTAAAATAAAGACTCGGGTAACGTTCTGGGGATCTGGGTTTGAACCCTGCCACAGCAGATGGTGGAATTTGAATTCAGTAATAATCTGGAACTAAGAGTCTGTTGATGACCATGAAACCATTGCTGATTGTCAGGTAAAACCTATCTGGTTCACTCATGCCCTTTAGGGAAGGAAACTACTGTCCTTACCTGGTCTGGCTTACATGTGACTCCACAGCAATGCGGTTGACTCTTAACTGCCCTTAGGGATGGACAATAACTGCTGGCCTGGCCAGTGATGCCCACATCCTGTGAATGAATTTTTTAAAAATTGCTTGGTTATTCCATGTATGCTGTTCATTCAACCCACTGTTTGTGGTCTGAAATGGCGTTATGTTGTATTAAACGTCCACCCTCCATCTGTAAAGGAAAGTGGTCTACTGCTAATTCTAATGTGTCCTGAGTGGGAGAGAAGTTTCTTCCCCACCATATTGGTCATCTATTACTATATTTCCTAGCTGGGCACCAGTGAATACCTTCAATGCTTAGAAGAAATGGTTCAATAAAATTGTGTGCTTAGCTGATTTGTAGGGGACTTGTAAATTCTAGCAACTCGCATAGACCACAATGACCAAGTTGTTTGACTGTTCTAATCCATCTTTTGTAGAAGTACCTATCCAGTTAAAGCTGACAGTTTTCTCCTGTTGTTATAGCTACCTCCGCCCATCAATGCTGCAACACTTACTCCGTCGACTGGTGTTTGATGTACCAATATTAAATGAATATGCCAGGATGCCATTAAAGGTTAGATTGCGCTTGTATAATGTCTCTGATTTTATTGAATATGCTAATGGAGATGTGTTGGCAAATTCAGGATTTGACTTATTAAAATATCATTTAAAATTTGGTTTATAGAAAATCGCTGTTTTTGTTTAATAAAACTGATAAGTCCTAAAAGTTCTGTCTCTGTATAGATTTGCTTTGTTTGTTATCTAAATGCCAGGTAAGAAGGAATGCAGATTTTATAGCAGATGTTTAGCATCTAACAATAATTTTATGACCTTGTGGTCCTGGTGGGGAGCCTTATCTGCAAGGAGAACCTGTCGAAATTTAAGGCATTGTTGTGCCTGATTTACTAACCATTAATTTCTGTAAAAGCATAAACAGCAAGGCTCCCTACATCAAAGCACAAAGCCAGATAATTAATTACCTGTTAATGAAAACAGGCTCCTGCAATAATTTACATTTTTATATGCTGAGTAGGTGTAGTGTTATCACTCGCATAGAAAATGGCTCCATGCGTGATGTACAATTCTGTTTCCTCTCTGCAGATACCACAAATCTGTAGGGAGGCAGAAGTGGAATGAGGCAATACTAACTAAAGTAAAACACTTAAATTTTAATTAATCTTTTTGTGAAAAAAGTCTTGTGAAATAGATTTCTGATCACTGGGTTCTCATATCTGTGGAGATTGACATATGGGTTCTCAAACTGGAGCCCACGAACCCCTGGATGCCTGCAGACACCTTCCAAGGCATCTGTAATGTCGGGACAGCCTTGTTTGGCAACCATCCAGGTGCTATGGTCAAAAGTAAGTGAGTGAATGATGGCTAGAGATGTACTCTGCCTATAAGCTTCAGGCCTTTCCTTTTCCCTTTAGGGATCTGTTTTTGCTCCTGTTCCTGATATCAGGTTCCCACAGTGCTGCCTCTCGTGCTCTCTGTGGGCTTCTGCTTTATCTGTGCTGTGCTCTCCCCATGCCCCTGTGATGCCTGCTGTGTTTCACAGGACACCCTCTGACCCTGTGCTCCCTTACCATTTTCCCCATGTGCTCCAGTTCCTGGGCTCTTGTTCCCATTGTATTCCTGCCAAGGATAGATCAAATCCACAGTGAGGAGAAGATACGCGCTCCTTCACCTCTTCCTGTTATCTTTGAGAGCTTTATTAAAGCATACTTTACATTAGACAATTATTACAGACTATTAAAATTTTGTTGGAGGCCCATGATTACTAGTTTGTAAAGAGATCCTCCAACTGAAAATTTTAGCAGCCATTGTATAGCTCAACTGTAATTCATTACCACTGCCTGTAATTAATGGCAATTGTCTCTTCATTTTGGTAAGTAAAGACTATCTTGTGTTTATCCCAATCTAGTTGCTAACAAATCATTATGACAGATGTTGGAAATACTACTGTCTTCCATCCGGATGGGCGAATTATGGTGTGACATCTGAGGAAGAACTCCATCTAACTCGTAAACTGTTCTGGGGAATCTTTGAGTCAGTTTCACAGAAGGTATACTGGGAAGTCCAATACATGCCAAAATCTTAATATAAAAGGTTGAAATATCCGTATAGATATTTAAACCAAGGGTAAAATGTTTGTACATCAGGATGAAAAATGCAACGTGAATCATATTTATTGTAGAGGAGCAAAACACTCTGTTCCTCAGATTTCAGTTTGAATGCCAAAGCCTCATTCATTGTTTTAGCGGAATCAGATCATTCAGTAGGCTATGGATTGAAAAGAGCTAAATGGGGAGGTGGCGTACTGGTAATATTACTAGACTAGAAAGCCAGAATATTATCCAGGGGAACTCTGATCCAAATACCTCTGGCAGCTGGTGAAATTTAAATTCAATTAATAATATCTGGAATTAAATCAGGATTCAGTTACGTGACTTGTATAATAAGCAGCCGTGGCTCAGGTGGTAATAACATAGTCACCTCTGAATCACATGGTTCCCGTTTCAAGGAATTAAGCATAAAACTCATGACTGACCATCCAGTGCAGTACTGAGGGAGCATTGATGTTAAATCGAGACCCCGTCTCTCTCTTTGAGTGGATATACAAGATCCTACAGCACTAATTTTGAAGGCAAGTAGGGATGTTCTCCCCAACATCCTGGCCAATATTTATCCCTCAATCACTATCCTTAAAAAAAGGCATGATTGCAGTGCTGTTTATGGGTGTTTTGAGGGCAAATTAGCTGCCATGATTCCTACCAAACAATGATGAGTAAATTGCAAAAAAAAATGCCTGTTACAAAAAATTGGCTGTTAAGTGTTTGAAGTGTCCAGTGGTCTTGAAAAGAGTTACATAGAAGTGATAATAAAATCTGAATCTAAAGAAATGCAAGTCTTTTTTGTTTCTATTTGAGGAATTTATTGCATGAGTAAAAATAAGGTAGAAATATAGATTTAATGAAATTTCCTGTGTTTTGCAGAAATATGATACTGATTTATTCAAGGCCGTGATGCAGTGTCTGTGTGCAATAGCTGGTGCGCTGCCACCAGATTATGTTGATGCCAGCTATTCCTCCAAGGTCGAGAAAAAAGCTTCAGTGGATGCAGAAGGCAACTTTGACCCTAAACCCGTCGACACAATGAAGTATGAATTGTTTTAACTTTTTTCTGAGCTGAATTTTCAATCTTGGTGAACTGCTAGTTTTTGTGATGCCTTTGATATTAATCTGTGTTTCAAATCGTATAAAAATAGGTATCTGTAATTAATTTAGGTCTTGTGGCACAGTGGTTAGCACTACTATCTCCTGGTTCAAATCCCACTTGTTGAATATACAACGTTTGTTCACGGTATGGCTAAACAGGTGGCTCATCAGCCTGTAAATCCTTCCAACAGGTCTGATGGCAGATAGGAGAGTTTTTTTCTGATCAGCCATCCTATAAAATACAACAGAAAATTACTGCAGTACTTGGCCAAGCCTAATGATGGACCAATCCAACAATGTCCATGGCCACTAGTGCCATGGTGCATGTTGAGAAAAAAAAAGTTATTAATTCTCCTACCTTGTTTAAGATCATTTTTCTTCCCTTCAGAAGTCATTTTCTGTTTGTCATGTTTATTTTCCCCCAGAAAGAAATCTGGTTGTGCAGGCTGGATCCATTTGCAGCCTCAGTATGTCGAGACATTCAGTACTGGGGATGAAGTGTGTTAACCATCTCAGTCGCTGTCTCTCAGTCGCTGTCTCGCACTCTCTGGCTTCTGCTCTCTCGCTATCTCTTCTTTCGCTTTGCTCTTGCTCTTTCGCTTCGCTCTCACTCTCTTCTGTTGCTTCTCTTGCTTCTCTCTCGCTCTTGCTGTCTTTTTTCTCTCAATGACCACTACCTAATAGACCAGTCACGTACATCACATAGATTTAATTTGTGGGCAGAGAGATTGAAGGTTTGGAGGGATTGTACCTCTGGAGGAGGTTACAGAGATGTGTTGTGGCAAGCTGTCATAAAGGAATTTTCACACTAATAATGTTTGATACATTAGGGAACTTGTCGCGAGGATAGATTAGCACGAGCAAGAGACAATGTAAACAACACTTGGAATGTTGTGCTTGGTTGGCTCGCCGAGCTGATTCGTTGTTGTTCCGCAGACGTTTCATTACCCTGCTGGGTAACATCATCAGTGCAGCCTCCAATGAAGCGCCGTTGTGTTTTCCTGCCTGGTTTTTAAACTCTGGAGTCCGTTGAGCTGGACTACCTCACTTCCGGTTTTCCTTCGCAATGGAGTGTATATGGGGTCGAGTTCTATGTGTTTGTTGATGGCTTTCTTCGTGGAGTACCAGGCTTCTAGGAACTCCCGTGCCTGTCTCTGCTTTGCTTGCCCAGGATCTTGGTGACAGTGATCTTGAAAACTTAAGATTTGTTGTAACATGTAGGAAAATGTGAAAGCTAATTTACCTATGGCACATCTCACATACAGCAATGCAATACTAAACAACCATTCTGATTTAGTGATATTGGCCGGTAGATGAATAATATACAGATGTTTCTAGAAATAAGAAAGGAAGGGGAGCAAAGATGCTACCAGGTAAAACAGGAGTTGTGGATCTTTTACCAGAGACAGCCCAACAGTATTAGCCATCATCTCGTCAGTAGGGGTAGAAATCTGTTAATTTTTTTTATTGGAAAATGAAAGGGTGCAAAAGATGACTGAATAAATCAACATCGGCAAATTTGGGAAGCTGAATACAAGGCAGCAAGCAAGCAATTAGTAGCTTGAAAATGCAATTCCTCCAAAGGATAGATGTAGGAGGATGTCTGGTAGCAAAAGGATCTACAAAATAGGTGTAAAGGAATGCAAGGAAATAGTCATAGTCGTGCAGAGGTAACCAGTCATACATCATGGAAACAATCCTTCGGTCCAACTCATCCATACCAACCAGATATCCTAGACTCATCTAGTCCAATTTGCCAGCATTTAGCCTATGTCCCTCTGAACCTTTCTTATTCATGTACCCATCCAGATGCCTTTTTTAAATATTGTAATTGTACCCATCTCCACCACTTCCTCTGGCACCTCATTCCATAAACGCACTACCACTTGTGTGAAAAAGTTTCCCCTCAGGTCCATTTTAAATCTTTCCCCTCTCACCTTAAACCTATGCCCCCTAGTTTTGGACTCCCTTATCTTTGTAAAAAGACCTTGGCTATTCACCCTATCCATGCCTGCCATGATTTTATAAACCTGTACATGGGCACCCCTCAGACTCCAACACTCCAGGGAAAATAGCCCCAGCCTTTTCAGCTTCTCCCTATAGCTCAAACCTTCCAATCCCAACACAACTTTGTAAATCTTTTCTGAACCCTTTCAAGTTTCACAACATCCTTCCTGTAGCAGGGAGACCAGAATCGAACCTCAAATGAATCTGTGAAGATAGCAAAATCAGGTTTCACCATCACTACAGAGCGACAGAACCAACTGATTTTTCAAAACTTTTTTTTGTGAGTCAAACTATTTGATATTTGATTAATTTTACAGTGTAATAATTCCTGAAAAGCTGGACCCTATTATCAACAAGTATGCGGAGTATACACACGATAAATGGGCTTTTGAGAAGGTATGATATTTCTACTGCTTTCAATTTTTTCATTTAAATATGCTGTATTTCACTGTGATAAAGATCTTCAACCACATTTTTGAACTGTAAAATCTCTAATCCATGCAGAATAAGAGTTTAGATGAATTATATTGTAACATTGTTAAATCCCTTCATTTGGCTGCCTGCCCTTTGCAAATTTACCTATACAAGCAAAACCTAACTGTACAACTTTCCATCCAGTGTGAGTCTGATTTTCACTTAACTGCAATTTAAAAGAAAACATTAAAAAAAAACTTGCTTCCCAGAAAATGCGCATATGTCTCACCCTTAGAATGCATAGCCTGCCATGATTGCCGTTTGCCAAAATCACAAGTTTTTCTGGGAATGTATCCCCTTCAAATGGCCTGATTTCACTATGCTGTAATCAAAGCGTTATAGAGCAGTCTTAATTTTTCTTCCAGTCTTTTTTGATTGATGCTTATAATTCAGGCTTTCTTCTAATACTTCCAAAGCATGCACAGCAATAAGTACAATGCAGATCAAAGTTCCTTTGAATTATAATTTGCTCCTTGACGTCTGCCTTCTGCGAGAGTTAAGTCAAGCGAGAAATCATTGTTCTTTACGTGTGGTTCACAGCATCAAAGAGCTTGTAGAATGTCTACACTGTTCTTCTCTCTTCTCCAGTAGATAACAATGACCAAATTGCCAGGCTATTATTTTCAATCATAATTGTCCTACAGAAGTAATAGACTTACACAGAAGCAGAAAGACCCAAGGTGTTTCTGAGGGGACATACATTCACTTAAGACGCATGCAGTCCAGGAGGCCAAAATACCTCGAACAGGTTTTAAACTGTTTGATAATGAGCAAGATTTTTTTTTGGAACAAATAGTCTTTCATACACCTACTCATCATGATGTTTGAAAATAGATGAGGTGATATTCTTGCCCCAAGTAAGACTCCCATAGATCAATTGAATAAATTAACACAGATCTTGAAACTAAATTTGAACCAGACATTTAGCCCTAAACTAAAATAGAATAAGCATAGATGGTTTTGTGCCAAAATAAAAATTCATGCTGCAACCATTAGCACATTAGGCAATTCCGCAGAAAGGTTCTCTGATGTCCCCTGTTACTGATTGCATATATCAAATTATGATTGTGCATGGAATATAATTAGGAAGTGAGAAAAATTGTTGCATTTTTGAGTGAATGCACAATTCAGTTGCAATATTGTACAGGCCCTACAGTGAGTTTAACATGTTTCAATAGGAGGCATACAATGATCATTGTCTTGTCTGTCATCTGCTGGATTCCTACACCTGGGCTGACCTAGCGTGATTTTTTGCGTTGGAAACAGGAAAAAACAGTAGCATTTTGTGTCAGAAATCCTCCCAGAGAGAACCTGACTAAATTCCAGATTTTCTGAGGGAATGAATGCATAATTAGGCTTGAGGCAGTTTCAGACAGTCCTGACAGCCATAACAAGGTGTTGAGAATTTATGTTAAAGCCTGCAATTGCACCACAGGCATCCAAGATGGAATTGGGAACCAAAGACTCGGTGCCTATAAGGGGAACAGGGAGATCCTGTTCCTGGAGGGTACCAGGATGAGACTACTTATCACGTAGCAGTAGCACCTATCTTTTAACTGACACCTTCCTCTGCTGCATGTATTGCAGGACACCACCTAACAATTCCAGGTTGTCCCTGTGAAATGACAATACCATATAAGTTGTGAAACTGATTTGTTGACAACAGTGGTAAAGTTGGTCACCTGGGTGTACATTGGTGTGCAACCACCTATGACATGCCACAAAAGTAGACACTAGTAAGGGCACTGATGTCTGTGACCACCTGATGAGAAAGTTGCAGTCACCTTTAGCACTGGTTCTCAGTCATCCTCTAGTCCTTTTGCCTCTACCTGTAAATCCTGTGCTCAGAATGGAGTCTCCTCCATACACCACCTCTGCCTTCATGATGGTGTGGTGCTCTGCCCAACCAATATAGACTGCCATTGCTCACCTCCAAATACCTTGTTTTCTGAAGATGCAGGGCTTGTTTCCAGCAATTCCTTCTTGGTACTCAGCTTGAGTAATGCCCAATGCCCACGTGATGCCACAAGATTGAGGACCCATGTACTGGCAAAGTTCTGAATTCTGACTTCTTCTCTCACCTATATTGAAGCATTAGCTATAAAAGGACATGCCTTTCAAACTTGGAAAGCATTTTTTGCTTACCTTATGAAACTCTTCCCAATTCTGTGACATGAGTATACTTACAACGGAAATCAGGAGGGCTAAAAGGGGACATGATTTAGCTTTGGCAAATAGGGTTAAAGAGAATCCAAAGGAATTCTACAAATACAAAAAGGTAACTGGGGTGAGAATAGGACCGTTAAAGATCAGCAAGGCCACCTATGTGTGGAAACGCAGGAAATGGGGGAGATACTATTTTGCATCAGCGATTACTGGGAAGAAGGATATGGAAGATAGAGAATGTGGGGAAATAAATAGCGACATCTTGAAAAATGCCCATATTACAGAGGAGGCTGTGCTGGACGTCTTAAGATGCACAAAGGTAGATAAATCCCCAGGTGTACCCTAGAACTCTTGTGGAAAGCTAGGGAAGAGATTGCTGGGCCCCTTGCTGAGATATTTGTATTATCGATAGCCATAGGTGAAGTGCCGGAAGACTGGAGGTTGGCTAACATGGTGCCACTATTTAAGAAAAATGGTAAGGAAAAGCCAGCAGCTATAGACCGGTGAGCCTTTCATCGGTGGTGGGCACGTTATCAGAGGGAATCCTGAAGGACAGGGTTTACATGTATTTGGAAAGGCAAGGACCGATTAGGGATAGTCAACATGGCTTTGTGCGTGGGAAATAGTCTCTCTCAAACTTGATTTGAGTTTTTTGGAGAAGTAACAAAGAGGATTGATAAGGGCAGAGCGGCGGATGTATCTATATGGACTTCAGTAAGGCATTCAACAAGGTTCCTCATGGTAGACTGGTTAGCAAGGTTAGAACACATGGAGTAGAGGTAAAACTAACTATTTGGATACAGAACTGGCTTGAAGATAGAAGACAGAGCGTGGTGGTGGAGGGTTGCTTTTCAGACTAGAGGCCTTTGACCAGCTGTGTGCCACAAGGATCGATGCTGTTTCCACTGTTTTTCGTCATTTCTATAAATGATTTGGATGTGAACGTAGGAGGTATGGTTAGTAAGTTTGCAGATGACACCAAATTTGGAGGTGAAGTGGACAGCAAAGAAGGTTACCTCAGAGTACAATGGGACCTTGATCAGATGGGCCAGTGGGTTAAGGAGTGGCAGATGGAGTTTAATTTTGGATAAATGTGATGTGCTGCATTTTGGAAAGGCAAATCAGGGCAGGACTTGTAAACTTAATGGTAGTGTCCTGGGGAGGGTTGCTGAGCAAAGAGACCTTGGAGTGCAGGTTCATAGTTCCTTGAAAGTGGAGTCACAGGTAGATAAGATAGTGAAGAAGGCATTTGGTATGCTTGCCTTTATTGGTCAGGGCATTGAGTATAGGAGTTGGGAGGCCTTGTTGTGGATGTACAGGCCATTGGTTAGGCCACTATTGGAATACTGCGTGCAATTCTGGTCTCCTTGCTAAAGGACGGATGGTGTGAAACTTGAAAGGGTTCAGAAAATATTTACAAGGATGTTGCCAGGGTGGGAGGGTTTGAGCTATAGGGAGAAGCTGAATAGACTGGGGCTATTTTCCCTGCAGCGTCGAAGGCTGAGGGATGACTTTACAGAGGTTTCTAAAATCATGAGGGGCATGGATAGGGTAAATAGCCAAGGTCTTTGCCCCGGAGTTGGGGAGTCCAAAACTAGAGGGCATATGTTTAAGGTGAGAAGGGAAAGATTTAAAAGGGACCTAAGGGCAACTTTTTCACGTAGAGGGTGGTGCGTGTATGGAAGAGCTACCAGAGGAAGTGGTGGAGGCTGGTACAATTACAACATTTAAAAGGCATCTGGATGGGTTTATGAATGGAAGGATTTGGAGAGATATGGGCCAAATGCTGACATATAGGACTGGATTAATTTCGGATATCTGGTTGGCATGGACGAGTTGGACCGAAGGTTCTGTTTCCATGCTGTATATCTCTATGACTGTGTGAGCTTGGTTCCATGCACTTGGCCCAATTTAGACAGCTGCTGTTTGGCCACCTCACTGAAAATTTATTGAAACTTACTGGGGACAGGCTGTTAATGAATCTGCAAAGACATTAATTAGCTGCTTCTAAGGAGGGGGCCTGCTCCAACTTTCCCTTGCCTTTTGGAAAATAGGAGAGAATGGAAACAGGAGTCTGAGAAAGACCTTCCAGCAGCATGGTTGTCAGCCATTTCTTATCTGTCTTATTTCCATTCAGTTTCAACTAGGCCAAGAAAATCAAGCTCCTGAACTCTCTTCATCCTGGCACCTACATTAAAATGATATCATTGGGTTAAATTGTTGGTGAAATAAAGTCTCTAGTTACTAATTTACATGTGACTTCCATAAAGAGAAATTGTATTTGAGCATATCTTAATTCCTGTATTTAGTTTTGACTGCTAGACTAGTTAGGAGATTGGAGTAAAATTTGAGTGAGAATGCAGTTAAAAGACTGCATTTCCATTTTCTCATGGGTCTCTCATTACTCACTGTTCAGTAGCACAGTGCAGAAGGAAGGTGCTCAGTCCGTTATGTCTGTATTTGTTCTCAAAATGAATCATTTACTTCATTCTACTCTCCTACCTTCTCCTTGTAGCCCTTCACATTCTTCCTTTTTCAGATTACAGTCTAATTCATTATTGACAGGTTTAGTTGAAGCTGCCTCCCATCACACTATAAGGCAGCGTATTTCTGACCCTAACCGCTAGCTGTAGACAAGGAAATTCTTGTATTGGTTTGCTTCTGCCCAATATTTTAAATCCGTGTCCTCTCATTTTTGGTCTTTCCACAAGTAAGAACAGTTTCTCTTCATCTGCTCTGTCCAGACCCCTCACGATTTTGAATACCTTTATCAAATCTCCTTTCAGCTTTTTTTTTCTCCAAGGAAGACAGCCCTAACTTCTCCAAACTGTCTTCCTTACTGAAGTACTTCATCCCTGGAACAATTTTTGCTAATGCCTTCACATCAAAGTGCGGCACCCAGAACCTGTTGCAGAATTCCAGCTGAAGCTGAACTTTTAAAGTTCAACGTAACCTCCTTGCCACTAGTCTGCTGGGAAACAAGGCTTTGGCAGACATCTGCTGAAGCCTCATTGATAAATGCATCTTGGAATTCCATAGTGCAAATCCTAGAACTTCCTGTGGCTGTACCTGCACCAATAGGATTGCAAAGGTGCGAAAAGGTGGAGCACCAACACCTTCTAAAAGGACAAATTGGGGATGGGCAACAAATACTGCCCTTGTTAATGATGTCCACAAATGAGTACAAAATAGATGCAATCCCAATTGGATTTTAATCTGTTCCTGATTCTGGCAGTTAACCTTTGATTGAAACAGAAAGCTAGTGCAGCCACTGAACATGAACAAAAAAAAAATTTTCTTGCTGGGATGTTGAAAAGCAGGAGTGTTTGTTGAGGCCTCACAATGAAAGATAGTGCTCTGCTGGGTTGAATTCTACCACATCTAAACATCTTTCCGCCACTTCAAAACCTCACTCCACCATGTACTCATGATTGCCAATCATGCCCCCTCATCAGGATTAAGATGGTGTAGTGAGAATGTCACTGTACTTGGATTCAAATCCCACCATGACAGATTGTGGAATGTAAATGTAATTCATAAAATATGAATATGAAACTATAATCTCACTGATAGTGACTACGAGATTGTCACTGACTCATAAAGAAACATATTGTTCACTGCTATCCTGTAGGGAAGGAAATCTGCTGTCCTTGCACAATCTGGCTGACATGTAACTCCAGACAGCAATGCTGTTAACTCCTAATTCCCTTCTGAAACTGCTGAAGGAGTCATTCAGTTCAAGACAATGAGGCATAGACAACAACTGCTTGCCTTGCCAGCAATTCTGATATCCTACGAAAGAACAAAGAAAAGAATTCCCGCTGCCTACTGTCTTTTCTCGATCTTGCTGTTGCCAATTTCCAGTTACTGCCCAAATCAGTTGAACAGCTGATCAGCTATATGAAAATGAGAACCACCAGATGAAAGCTACCACATCTCCTGCTGACCTTTACAAGCAGACATGCTGTCTGATCTCACTTGCTTCCTGAGGACTTAAAACTTCTCCTATTGTCTTCTGGTGGAGCTGAGGAATTTAGAGGTAATCAAAAGAATGATACCCAAAATCAATAGTACAAATAATGACCACTACTCATTGTTCTCAAGTCAGTTAAAAGTACTAAGGAAATTGTGTCTCTACATAAGTAAGTCTTAAACTCCACAGTAATTTTTAAAATCCAACATTACTTGAAGTTTATTTTTCACTGCAGATACAAAATAACTGGACTTATGGTGAAACTATTGATGAAGAAGCCCAGACCCATCCATGGTTAAGACCATATAAAACATTCTCTGAAAAGGTATGAGCATAACTGTTTGAGTCTGTGTAAAATGCTTTATCAATGTACCCGTAGTTAATACCCACTACTATGTACAAGATTTAATTTAAAAACATTTTTTAGCTTACAGCTATTAACAATTAACATGGATGTTCCTAGGACAGGGAAATTTATAGATGGCCAATCAAAGAATCTCTCAAAGCTATGATTGCCTGGGAATGGACGATTGAAAAAGCAAGCGAGGGAGTGGAAAAGAGTGAGAAAGGAGAGAAAAAAACCCGTAAAATTTCCCAATCCACCCAGGTAAGTGGAGATTTCAGTAACCTGTTGGTGGAGTTTGTCCAGCTTAAATGGTTTCCATTCAACATCAAGAATGGCTGAACAAACATAGAATTTTCAATACAGAAACAGCCCTTAGTGTTCATGCTCCACATGAGCCTTCTACTTTGCTTTGCCTTACCCTATCAATATATCCTTTTAAATACTTTCTTTTCAATGTGCTAGTTCCCTGAAATGTTAGTCCCCTCAATCCTTAACACTTCCATGTAGTAGGGAGTAAAGAAGTTCCTCCAGAATTCCTTACTAGATTTATTTGTGAGTATTTTAAATTTGTGGCCCTCACTTTTGAACATTTTCTTTGCTTAGACTCTGTCAAACCCTTTATTACTCTAAATAACTCATGGATACCCTGTGATCATCTTCTAGGAAGGAAATGCCACAGCGTATTAAGTCGGTCCTGACTGATGATATCCTTCCTCTTTGCACATTTTCCAGAGCTTCTATGTTCTTATTATCAGACAATAATATATGTATGATAGGGAAACCTTTGGAGAAAATAGTGAAGGAAAAAAAATCTCCATTTAGAAAGGCAAGGTTCAATCAGAAATAGTCAGTTTGCCTTTGTCAAAGGGAGGTAATGCCTAATGAATTTGAATTTTTCATGGAGGTGACCAAGTGTTTGGATGAGGTTAGGGCAGTTGATATACTTTACGTAGATACTACAAAGTTCCACATGGGAAACTTATAAAGGAGGTAAAAGCTTGTTGAATCCTGGGTAGATCGACAAGCTGGATTAAAAATTGGCTAGTGGCAGGAGACAGTGGGTGGTGGTTCAAGGCTGTTGTGTGACTGAAGCCCAGTGTACAGTGGCATTTCTCAGATATCAGTGCTGGGTCCCTTTATTGTTTGTGATATTCATAACTTATATAGGTACGAATGTGGTGGGAATGATAAATAAATTTTCAGATGGCATAAAGATTGGCTGGGTGGTTAACAGTGAGGAGGAATCTTGGGTTTCAGGAGGATATAAACAGATGGGGAAGATGGAATTAAATTCCTATAAATGTCAGGTGATGCACTTTGGAAGAAGTAATAAGACAAAAAAGTACTCAATGGCAGGACACTGGGAAGCTCAGAGGAACAGAGGGATCTTGGGGGTGCTTATGTACAGATACATGAAGGTGACTGGACAGATCAGTAGGGTAGTAAGAAGCCATACAGGGTGCTTGCCGTTATCAGTCATGGCCTAGATTATAAGGGCAGGGAGGTTATGTTGGAGCTGTACAGAACTCTGGTTATACCATACCTGGTGTACTATAGGAAGGATGTGATTGCTCTGAAGGGAGCGCAGAGAAGATTCACCAGTATGTTGCCTGGGATGAGACATTTCAGCTATGAAGTGAGGCTGGATCAGGTTGTCTTCTTTGGAACAGAGACATTTGAGGGGGACTTGATTTGAGATGTATAAGTTCGAGGGCAAGGACAAGAGTGGATAAAAAGCCACTGTTCCCCTTAGTTAAAGGTAAAATTGCTGTAGTTGCGCCATGGGGCATTCTCTCATTAGAAGAGAGAGATGGCTAGTGGGGGTTTAACCTTAGGGTCACCATGCCTCAGGTGATGGGAGAGGTTGACAAGGAGAAACCTTCATGATAACCTCAGTTGGTGCAGGAATTGAACCCACACTGTTGGCATTAACTCTGCATTGCAAATCAGCTGTCCAGCCAACTAAGCTTATCTAACCCCTGTCAAAGGATCGAGAACAAGGAGGCACACTTTTAAAAAGATAGTCAGAAGCTTTGGAGGGGATTTGAGGAAAAAAATCTTTTCAACCAGAGGGTGGTGGGGTTCTGGAATGCACTGACTGGGAGGATAGTTGAGGCAGGTAACCCCACAAACTTTAAAACAATGCTTAGATGAATACTTGAAGTGCCATAACATCCAAGGCTGTGGGACTAGTGCGGAGAAGTGGAACTTGAGTAGGGAGTAGTGCAGTTCTTGCTGGTGCAGACTTAAAGGGCTTATTACTGTATGATTCTATGATAAGAAATATGTTGCCTAACAAGTTCAATACAAGTTTAACCGACAACTATTATTAAAAGAGATAATGCCGTTTTTACAAGCATACCCTTTCTGGCTAACACCTGAAGGAGCAAAGATCCAAAAGCTTGTGTTTTCAAATAAACCTGTTGGACTATAACCTAGTGACCTGTGATTTCTGACCTTGTCCACCCCAGTTCAACAAGGGCATCTCCACATTACTTTCTGGCTTAGTCATTGCTTGTTGAGAATTATGTAAATCATATAAACCTGTTGTGGAGAATTTTACATACATGCTGAAATCTTATCTACTTTTGAAATGACAAAGCAAGCAATTGCTTTACAATAACATTTTTTTTTACATTTTAACAAATGATTTCATTTTTGCCATAGTTCCATAATACTGTTTCATAACATTCATAATATGAATTTCTGGTGCAGGTTGTCTATGATCCTAGTCATGGATACAATCCACAACCCCCTGAGCTGCTGAACATGACATTGTCTCGTGAATTGCAGGTAGAGAATATATGTTGTTTTTGCTGAAACGATTTACAGCTCTGCAGGGTAATATTTCAGTGTGATTTCACATCTGCTTGGAAGCTGCTGTTTTCAGTGGTCACAGACAACTTATTCAAATCGTATTCCTTTGACAGTATATTGTACTTTGCAATTATAAGGTGAAGATGGAAATTCTTGGAATGTTGGACCATATCAAACCATTTGTCCTGTTGATTGCTTTGTTAATTCAGATGGATATTACTCAGTCTGACACACATTGTGAAGCTTCATTTTGTGAACAGAAGTACAAATACTAAGTCTCTAATGTTAGCAAAAAGGCTAATGACTCAATAGTATTAAAAGGAACCACCAGATACTTATGTTTAGCAACCGGGCAGATAGCCTTAATTTAATTCTGCGTCGATGAATATTAGTAGTGAGTTTAAAAACATATCCAGGTGTTTTTGTTGAAGTTCAGACATATAGATTATGTAATGGTCTGGGCTGACCATCTAGAACCTGAATACTGAATTCCAGGACAGAGCTGAAGAGAGTCTTGTGGTTAAGGGAAGATAGGACTTCGATCGCTTTCTCCAGAGTGATGGCAGAATCAAAACAATAATATCCCCTGCACAAACTACACCCTTCTCGATCATGTCCAGCTCTTCCTCATTTTATGAAGGTCTTAATGTTGATGGCAGAAACAGGAAACGTCCTCATTAATTCATTCAAATCTCAATGCAGTTTTCAAACACTTCCATAATTCATGTTCTCCATAACATTACAGACTTGACGTTGTGTGGCCAAACTATTGGTTCTTGAAAGAATCACTATAGGCTACTCAAAATAAAGTTCTTAAATGATCTTTGAGATTTAAGGGTGTATTAATATCTTAATTAACCTGTCCCAGCTTGGGACTAGCTCACCTGTTTCTTTGTAATCAGCAAACTGATCTAAAAGAGTGAGCAGCTCACCAGCAGGTTCTTAGTAATGGCTGTCTGTTAAAATGGTTGGTATCTCCAGTTGCTTCTGTTGGTGGATGGCGAGTTTGCTCCTCCTGACTGCTGGCTAATGGAAACACTTTGAAGATGCAAAGCATAATAGCACTGAGAAAAGTGAATGCTGGTATGGAGATTTTAGTATGGAAACTGCAGCTATTTCCTGGTTTCTTTCAGTGCAGCAACAGAAGACTGCCCTGGAAGTGCAGGGTGTACAAGAAGCACATGACTTTCAAAGCATATTTAGTGGAGTAGTTGATAAAGAGGCTGTGAATATATAAGAAGGTGACCTGGTTCATTCAGCTAGCCACTATGGATTACCATTGGCACTAAAGTTCACCAATTTCTTCGAATTTTATCAGAGGAATCAGAATCTTAGAATCATTATAGCACAGATAATGGCCATTCATCCCATTGTGTCCATGCTGACCGTCCTAAAGCATAATTAATGTACAGTCCCTACCTGCCCTCTCCCCAGTTCATGCGTATTCCTTCTCTTCAGAGGATAAGAATTTTTAGAAAATGTAGAAAAATGTATGCCTCTAAAGACGGTGGCTGTGCCCAGCATGCCTGAGCCAGCCAAGAAATGAACTATCCAGCCTAATCATGTCTTACAGCGCTTGGTCCATATCCGTGGAGGTTATGGGACTTAAGTGTGTATGCAGACACCTTTTTAAATGTGTTGAGGATTTCTGCCTCTATCATCTTTCAGACAGTGAGTTCCAGACCCTGATGACCCTCTGGATGAAATTTTGTTTTCTCATCTCCCCAACTCTGTCACCTAGAGTCACTTAGCACAGAAACAGGCCCTGCAGCCCATCATGTTTATGCTGACTAATAAACACCAAACTATGCTAATCTCATTTACCTACACTTAGTCCATAGCCTACTGTGTCCTAGGGTTTTAATTGCTCATCCAGATGTTTCTGAAATGTGAGAGTACTTGCCTTTGTCACCCTCTCAGGCAGCATGTTCCATATTTCTACTCCCCTCTGAGTGAAAAAAATTTTCTTCAGAGCCCCTCTAACCACTTATTCCTCACCTTAAACTTATGCCTTCTAGTCTTAGACATGTCTGCCATGGGGAAAAGATTTTCACAATCTGCCCTATCTCTGCCTCTCATAATTTTGTATACAGATAGTTCTCCTACAACACAGTAGTCACATTCTTGCATAACCTCGCGCTATAGAAAATCGGGTTATAGGGAAATAGCTATAGAAAATTGCTATAACTTGTACAGCAGAAAGTTCATGTTATCCAAACAGCGTCCACTATCCGTCAATCGAGTTACAGCCAACTCGTGTTAACGAAACATGCATTGTAGCAGAACTATCTGTAACGCAATCAGATGCCCCTTCGGCCTCCTCTGCGCTAGAGAAAACAATCTCAGCCTGTCCGGTCTCTCCTCATAACTGAGACTTTCCATTTCAAGCAACATCCTGGTGAATTCCCTCAACACCCTCTCCAGACAATCACTTTAAACATATTCCCCATGTCACTTCATCTCTGTGCTAAGGGAAATCGGTCATTCATATTCACTCAGTCCAGCCTACTCACAACCTTGTATATCTCAACGAAATCTCCCCTCAGCCTCTTTTCTGAGGAAAACAATTCTGCCTATCTAATCTTTCTTTTAAACTTACAAGTTTCCAGTTCTGACAGCATCCTCTCAAATCTCCTCTGGATTCTTTTGTGGACCAAAATGACACCCAGAAATTCAGCCACACTTCTTTGTCAGTAACTGAATCCCTGTTTTGTCACACATTCAACTAAAAGTGAGTACCAACTATAGAGGTGACTGGTTCAACCCCAAATAAGTCACTTTCCCAAGGTATGGGCTGGCATCCCAGTGCATCATCTGCTAAAATGCTAAGCATACCAGGAAAGTATTTAAGCAAATTAATTAGCAGCAATCACATTTCAATAGTGCCTTATGAGAGTAAAACATCCTGAGGTGTTTCATAGGAGCATCATCGGGCAGATTTGACATCGGCCCTCTTGAAGACAGACTAAGAATTTGTTCCAGTTGATAAGACAGAGGTTTCCTGAAGTGAGTTAGAGAGGGGAGAGAGATAGAGAGACACAGACAGACAGCCAGGTTTCAGAGCGTATCTAGTACCATATGTTCTAAGAACACATAAAGAGCATGGTCTAAGAAGTTGTACACAAAAGTGCATATTTCATTCCTATGAGTAAGTAAAAAATATCATTATTCTTGTTAAAATATTCATGTGATGTAGATTCTGAAGCTTTGAGTGTTCTCCTAGTTTTCAGATATACTTCTAACCTTTCTCAGCTAGGGTTTAATCTATTTTCTAGATTCAAGATGTTCCTTTTATCGCACAAATTGTGTAAAATTATCTGTTAACTATGTTTTCACGGCTTTTAGGTATTAAGAGCTTAAAAAGATTTTATTTTAAACAAAGATAATGTTGTGATCCAAACTTGCCTGAAAGATTTGCCTGATGAGACATTCTGTAATATTTCTGTACTTTAAACGCACATCCTGTATTTTGTAGTCGATGGCAGAGCAACTTGCAGAAAATTACCACAACACATGGGGTCGTAAGAAGAAGCTGGAATTGCAAGCTAAAGGTAAGATTACATTATTCATCATATGCCTTTGGGTATTAAAATAACTTGCCATATGTTTTATGCATTGTTTGTCACCATAATCTCATTTAATTACTACACCTTCTGTTTTAAGAAAAAATTTTCTTGCTCACACTCTCATGATTTTCAGTCCAGGCCATATTCGGACCTTCACTTATTCTGCTGATGACGCTAGTTGGCATACACAGAGGCTACATATAGGTTCACCTTCTTCTAAAGTGGGAGATCAAGGATGACCTGAAGTGCGATTGTGGCCATGAACCTCAGATGATGGAACACAGTACATTAACCTCCTCATGAAGATTCATTGCAGAATATATCTTATTTCTCCACACAGCATGTCAGGAGGCCATGATAGGATCGCCACACTAAACATCTCATTTATAAGCTTTTCCCATCATGTGAAAATAGTCTGGTGGAATCATGCTATATACAATTTTCCAGAACGATGTGGGCAGCCAGATTTCGGCAAAAAGGATGACTAATTCTTCAGGTGCATTGCATCATGTAGTGTAACATTTAGACATTGTGAAAATGAGATAGCTGTCGATATAGCTACATTTCTGTGAATTAGATTGAAGAGATCTTTCCTTATTTCCCACCATTCGTTTTATGATAGCCACTTTGTTGATATATCCAGTTGATTATGTCGATGTCCAGCTCGTGCTCCAGTGGTATGGACCAGTTGCGTTCCTGTCTGCATGCAGTGAATAAGCAATCATGTGCATTACTGAAACTTTACATGAAACCTGTGATCAGCATTACCTCGTTGTGAATTGCTTACTGATATATTCTGTGCCTTTTCTCATGTTTCCCTTTCTCTCCAGAGATAATACTTTACTTCGAATTGGTCTTCCCTTGAACATTCTGTTTAAAATCCTTTTGAGAAAAGTGTGAGGACAGTATTGACCATGTAAATTGGCACAATTCTGTCCTTCCTCTTCACTAAAAAGTAACACGCTATACATACTAGAATGGAATTGCCAGCTAACTGATTTTGACATAACTGCCATAAAACTGTTTCTTTTTAGTAAATTATTTAGTTTCCCTTTTTTGTGCTATTTGTGAGATAATTACATTCAGAACATTGCATTTCTGTGTTTGCTGCTGTGCTATATCATTTTGCAGTTTAGCAGCCTTGATTGCTCACTGCATCATTTTCTCAGAAGGTGTTAAGACTTCAGTTTGGTTGTCCCCATGACCAGCAAACATTTCATCATAATTTGAAAATAACACTGGTGTACTGTTTGTGCTTAACTACCTGTTCTCCTGTTACAAAAGAGTTGTAGTAAAAATGTACTTTTTTTTTGTAAAAGTGAGAACATTCAATAAGTCTAAATGATGAAATTGTTCCTTACACATGTAAATTTACTGGTGATTCATTAATCTAATTTATCACTGTGGCTTTCGTTCCTCAAGGATCCACCTGAAGCACGTTCCAAATGCTGATAATCAATTTTGCTGTATTAGCTGAACAGAAACAATGTTCAAATTTAATGTTACTCTTTTAAAATGTGACATTTTCCAATATTGTAGACTGATAGTTTAACCTGGCGAGGTCAATTCATCTTGTTGATGCAACTTACGTTTATCTCCTCACATTACTTTGTCATTAATTCAGATTTCACTCTCTCATTACCTGCTTCTGTTGTTTTTCCTTTTTCCCTGACTGAGTTTCTCTTCAGTCTATTCCTTAATCACTTCCCTTCTTTTCATGCTTGTTATTCTTCCCCTTTGTGTCTTTATTTCTGTTCCTCATTCTTAAGTTTATATTTATCTCCCCTATTCCTTTTCTTTGTCATGGTTTATCTTCACATTTTGATTTTCTTCAGTTATCACCCAGTTCTGGCTATTCTCTGATCACTTTTGTGCACACTTCATGTAGATATATGTGAATTTGTAGAACTCGATGAATTGCTCAGTGAAAGATTTCAAACGGAAGAATGCTCAGATAGCAAATTAGAGAATTCCCTAGGGGACTAGAAATTTGTCATGGGTAGTGGCACAAAATGTGCCATATTCAATCAGCTACCCACTATAGGCAGCACCTGATGGTCTGCAGTTCCATTGCATTGAATTAAGTATCAGATGCAGCTAATAATGAAAATTGTGTTTTGCCTGCTGCCTGATACAGCATTGTGGGACAACCGACAGCAGGAGGACTGCAGTGGTTCAAGAAAGCAGCTCACCGCCACCTTCTCAAGGGCATCTAGGGATGGGCAAGAAATGCTGGCCAGCCAGTAATGCCCACATCCCACAAATAACTAGAAAAAAAATTTATACAGCTCATTCCCTCATTGTACCTCCAATTAACTGATCAGTATAGTCAGATTGTTTCACCTGATAAGGCAGCGCAGAAAAAATATTTTCATCATCCAGATTCTACAGGATGGTGTTATATGTTTGTTTTCATGCTACATTGTTACCATTAGAAATGCATTCCCGATTCCTTCCATTTTTATGTGCCAGTCATCATGCATATGGTGCTTCCTTTTAGCACTGTAAATTGTCATTCCTATAATTCATTCATTTATAATGATTTTCTAACTTTTTCTCGAGTTCTTTACCTTTGCTCCATTCTGTTCAGCTTGCAATCCTAAATTCTAATGCATCTATTTTTCAACTCTAATTTTCTTCCTTTGTTTTTAATAAGGTGGTGGAACCCATCCACTTTTGGTTCCATATGACACACTAACTGCTAAAGAGAAAGCTCGAGACAGGGAGAAAGCTTACGAATTGCTCAAATTTTTGCAAATGCAAGGCTATGCTGTAACAAGGTAAGTTGTTTCGCAAAACATATTGAGTGCCTGGGCTTGAATGAGGCAACATAAATGTATCAATTAATTTGCAGTCAGATGATTTTCCAAAACTCAGCCATGCAAATGAAATTGATCTCATTACACCTTTTAATTCATAAAGAAGCTCCAATAAAATTTCTGTGACTAATCAAAGAATTTTGCAAAATAGAAGGATGCCATTCAGCTCTTTGCGTCTGTAGCGGCATCCAAAAGAGCTACCCAGCAAGTCCCATTTTCTAGTCCTATTTCCATAGCCTTCTAAATTCATCACTTTCAAATATATAACAAATTTGATGCTCTACCAATTGAGCTACTTGGGTTCCAGGCTAATGAATCAGTCCTTAGTACACCTAGTGAAATTATGGCAGTGACGAACAACTAGGCCTGGAATGAAAGCAGGTAATAATAGAACATCATTCTGCCAGCTGTTGTGCTGGTTCTCTGGCTCCATCACTCCCCAGAGCTATTTTCTCCCAGACATGATGGGATTGTGGCAGGACTGCCTTATTCCTTATTCTCAAGGGTTAACTGGAATTTTCAAGCCTCTAGGTTACTAGATCATAGAACCCCTACAGTGTGGAAACAGGCCTTTCAGCCCAACAGGTCCACACTGACCGTCAGAGAGACCCATCCCCCTATAACCCACCTAATTTACACATTCCTGAACACTGCAGACAATTTAGAATGGCCAATCCACCTCGCCTGCACATCTTTGGACTATTGGAGGAAACCGGAGCACCCAGAGGAAACCCATGCAGACACGGGGAGAACGTGCAAACTCCACACAGACAGTTGCCTGAGGGTGGAGTCGAACCCATGTCCCTGGCGCTGTGAGGCAACAGTGCTAACCACTGAGCCACTGTGCCACCCTCGAGATGTTAAGGAATAGGCAGCAGCCTTGTCAGTTCCACCTGGGAGCAGAGAGTGTATGTGTATGTATGGTTGGGGGGGGACAGGCAGGTAGAATTGTTGGGTGGCTAATATTCCAGGTCAATTTGGGATAAATCAGGTCACTATTTCTGGGCTTTCAAGCCCTATTTGAGCCTGGTAGTGTGGTCCTGAAGCTGACAGGAAGAATACCCCCACTAGGTGAATAATCAGACTTGGTAATATCTGTTTTTGACCACCACGAGTGCCCTTAGACCTTCAAATAGTTACAGTGCATATGCACACATGGCTTATTGTGCTGAATTCCTTATTGATGCAGATATTAGTGCACAATGAATGTCAGCTAGAAGGACATTCAGGGTATACATTGATGGATACCTGAGGTTAAAGGTTATGACACAGAATCCATACGTTTCTAGTGAGAGTTCATTCCAACCCTTATACCATAGAAATCCAACCTACTGAGTTAGGTTCCCATTTCTTATTATGATTCCCATTATGCGCACATATACAACCAGTCAAGTCTTTAATTAATATACAGTCATCACCTGTTTCCTTCTCCATTCATCCTCCAGCATCCCTGTCAGAGCCGACTAGATAGCAACAATTGTCACACTGCATTAATGCCACTTATGTCTTTTTGAGCTCAACACTCCAATCAATGTCTTTAACTTCACTCATCAACAGTAGGATCCCCAGTTGCATTATTTGAAAGGATGCCTGCTGGTTGCTTTCTTCTGGCTGCTCCTGCACATTTTTAGTATTGTCTACAGTTTGAAGTTGCAGACATCTATAAGAGTTGACATGGCATGTACTGAAGAAGCTTTTGCTGACCTCAGCATCTCTGTACAAACCATTGGTCTCAGAATCCGATAACCTAGTTAGAATTCTCCTTCAAATACAGAGTGGACTGGTGATGGTTTTAGCTTATCCATGACTTGATGTCTTACTGCCTACCAGCTCTTCAGAAATGATCCTTGAATAAATTACGGTTACAGATATGCAGGTGGAGAGCGTTCATTAAATGATTACCTTCCTGCCGCTTTGTTTGCCTGCAGTCCTGGTTTTAACCGTGTTCCTAAAGAGTTAATTAAGGGGGTCATGTGGTATGGTATAGTGATTGTCTTTCAGCAACTGGACCAGAAGATCTTTGTTCAAGCCCTACCTTGGGTTGTGATGGCCATAATACATTCAAACAAGCTGATTTTTTTTTTAAAAAATGAATGTATGGTTGGCCCGAAATGTTACTTTTTTATTTCAGACCCTCTTACATCTGTTACTTGAGAGCATGTCTGTGTTTTGGCTTATGAAAGCTGAAAGAATACACAGGAGTAAGGTGTCCCTTTAAGCAGCTGTCACTTTTTAAATTTATTCAATGTAAAAGATGGTTTAGTGGCATTATGATGGTGTTTCTACCTCTGAACCAGAAGGTTCAAGTTTAACCTGCCACACACGTGGTGTAACCTGTTTCAAAAAGTTGATTAAAAAATACAAGGGTCTCGTAGTGTGGTGGTAGTGTCCATTTCTGGACCAGAAAGTCTATGTTTAAGTCCCACCTCTGGAAGAGCTGGCCAGGAATATATGTCATAACAAATCCAGATAGGTCATAATATATTCCGGCTTTGAAACCCCGATCTTTGAAAATGTCTGATTATTCAAGATTTGGGGGTAGTATGGGAGGTGGTAGAATTGAGAATTGGCTGGACAACCCAGGAAGAACCTAAGAGGCTGCCTAACTTACCAAGGTGGCCTGGGCAGAAAACCTGCCTGGAGCTTTTGGCACTGTTCAAAGTTTAATTTCAAAGTCCTGTTCCCACACTTCATTCTCCATGCCCATCAATACAGTCTATACCCTTGTACCCATCCTCCAAGACCACTGATAGCCCTGTGCCAGTCTACCCATACCTTCTCATATATTTCATATATCCTGAATCATTAACATGTCCCTTAAGGCCCTTTGCCAACTCACTGTAACTCTGTGCCTCTTCCTCTCTATGCAGTCTCACCTATAATCCAGTGCGGGTATAATTTAGGAGGCATCATGGCAGAAAATTAAATTATCAGTCTATTACTGAAGTCAGTATTGAACAAAATAAACACTGATACAAAATAACAAAATACACAAAAAAACACAGAAATTACTTCAACCAATCCTTTATGAAAACAAATATTTTACCGAAGTATTCAATTTCTTGTATGATGATTCCAGCTGATATTATTATTGGACACCTCAGATCCCAGACTGAAATTGGACTTATTAGATCATATTTTGTCTTTTTTTTTGTGATTTTAATGAGGTGGTCTCTTACTGAAGTTTATTGCATAAAAGAAATTAAGATAGAATAAACCTAACTGTAAAGGTATTGAAACACATGGTAAAAATACAATTCTATTAGCATCCCATTTCTATCCCACTTAAGGTTTGACTTAGCTGTGACTTCAGCTCCCAGTTATAAGAATCTGGTAGACTCTTTCTTGATTAGTCACATAACTGAACTTAAAATCTCTCGGCTTTACCTAGCCTTTTCAGGGTTTTAACCAAGCACTTCTGGTCTGGAACTTTTAAACTAAACTCACTACATGGAGTTGACCTATTTTTAACAATTCTAAACTATCTTCTCCTTTTCTCAGGAGCAGCATTATACATCCAGTTTCAGCAAAGACCCCTACAGAGCTGCCCCAAAGTGAAATAGACTAAAACATTTTTCTTCAAATAATGGGTATTTCTTCCTGTATGCCAAAAATGCTGCCCAACAATAAATTTATATATAAATGGCACAGCATACATCAAAAAATTATACTTAAGTGCTTAATCCCTTATGTAAGCAAATATTTATAATCAGTAAGCAGTTGGAAGTATCTGTCCATGGGCACCCCTGCAATGGATTAACGTGAACACTTTGAATATAGCCTTTATAAGTCCACATTTTTTTGACAGCTTCTTGACAACATTGCCACTCCGAATTAATTTCCTTCATGTGGGACCAGGTCCAAGCCATTTTACTTCTTCAAAAATTGAGAAATACATAACATTCCTCCAGCCCTCACCCTTCACAATCCCCTGTTTCACGCCCTCTCACCTCCACAGACACTCCACACTGCACTTAAGCTAACCCATGCAACCTAATGCCCTGTTCCAAACTCCATGGCCACCCCTTACTCCAATATCAATCTTCCATCTACTTCGACCCATCACTGTTTCCCTTTCACCTACAATGCCGACTCATTGAGTATATATAAGTACCCAAACACAGAAAAAATGTGTATATTGTTCTGTTGCTTAAAGTTCTAAATTGCAATAGATTGTGGAAACCACTCATTCTTTTAAATACACATTTTACTACTTCTTAATAGGTGTTGACATTCCTTGACACTCCATTTGTTGAAAGTGGTTCGCAGCCATCTTGTCAAGGACTATTAGGCACAGGCAATAAATGCAGACCTTCTAGAAGTGAACGTATCATATGAAAAATTTGTATTAAAAATATAAGTTAAGCTAGTAGTAGAAAACAGCCATTGCCACATACATGGGAGATAGTCCATTGGACACAGCAAATAGATGAAATAAAGGAGGCAGCTCATGGATAATGCCTGGCGAAAATGATATCATTGCACTGGCTGGATAATTCATCTCAGGAGAAAAGATGGCTAGGTAAAAAACAGCTAGGAAGGAAATCCGTCTATGTCGGTCAGTGGAGGAATTTGGAATGATTGATTGTGTTAAAGATAATATAGAGATTGGGAAGGATAAGAATGAATAATGTTCAAGTTGCTAAGGGCATTTTTGGTGATGTGGGAGATGGGATATGTTTTAAACAGACAGAGGTGACTGGCAAATTGGATTGTTATGATTTATTCAAGGATATAGGGAGAAAAGGAAGGTCAAGAATAGGTAGTGGAGTAGTTTTATGATTTTGTTTTGAAGGAAGTATTGACTGTCAGAAGGTGTTGTGGTGCAGCAGGTAGCATTCCTGACTCTGAGCCAGAACTTCTGGGTTCAAGTCTCACTCCAGGTTCAGGCTGGATAGCAAAGGAAGGTACATTTGTAACACAGCCAAACATTTTGAGTAGCAACCTGCAAATCCTTCCACTACACACAGGTGATAGAAACAGGAGCTGTTCCTGATTAGCTATGTGATAAAAGCAATTGGAATCTCTTCTATCATTATCCGTTGCTGTAGACTACAATATGCATGTAAAATGTATGAGGGACAGCTGCAGAATATTCTGATCCAAGAGCTGAAGAAGTAGGTCTCCTGTTGGAGCAAGAAGGAGGGAGAGGCAGATGATTAAATAGTCTCACTTTTGATGCAAAGAAATCCATAATTTTGAAGTAATTTAATTGTGTGAACTGTTGATGTTTTTAATGTATCCAAAGTAACATGATTTTTAAACTCTTTTATAGAGGTTTGAAGGACATGGAACTGGACACATCCTCAATTGAGAAGAGATTCGCCTATGGTTTTCTGAAGAAATTGCTGCAATGGTTGGACATAGCTCAAGAGTTTGTTGCACATATAGGTATAACTGAAGTAACTGAGTTGATATTCGTGATTTAATGTGTTAAAAATATATTAACGTTAATACAAATGTACTCAGAAATCATAGGGGGAAAGCTTGCCTAATGGCAACTGTTGATTGTCATAAAACCCGCCTGATTCACTAATTCCCTAGAGAACAAAACCTGCCGTCCCTCTGTAGTCGGGCCTACATGTGACTCCAGGCCCTGAGCAGTGAGTCCCCTTAAGTGTCCTCTGGGCAATTACGGATGTGTAGTAAATGCTGGCAGAGCTTGTAACACCCATATCCAATGAACAAATTTTTAAAAAGTCAGAGATTTGGAGTCATTTTTCATTAGAGAAATAAAAGCTCATGTGGTTGAGTTGGATTTTTTTTGATATGGAGTACATATGATTGAGATTTGTGTTATGCAGGATAGATGGTTGAAAATGATATCTGGTTGGATAGATTATTTGAAGTAGACATAAATCTAGGAACACATATTGAAGTTTTGTTTCAGATATTTGTAACTATTCTGTTGTACGGAGTTGTTACCTTAAGTGTTGGAGATAATCATGGATTTGCTTTAGTAATATTTTAGATGAAGGCAAATAGAATACCCCCTCGGGGTATAGTACTGAGGATGCAAGATATTTGCATAGCAAGGACTAATAATTTGCTGCTTGAAGAAATGCAGCCAGCATGAATCAGAAACTTCACACAACTTAAAGGGAGGAAAAATTAAGGGAACCACGACTGGGAATACAAGAACCTAAAACTACTGGTAAATGGTCATTAGCAATATGAGGAGGAAATAGACTATAAAGATATAGGGTACAATAGGAAATTGGCATAGTTAATTAGAATCACTCAATTATTCAAGAATGATCGAGTCTGAGATTCAAGTGAAATAGTTCATCTCTTAATTACTGCACGTGACACTGGTAGGACAAAGGGATGCACATAGAATCCTCAGAAAAGTGAGAACAAAATGCTAAGGCCCTGTATTTTACACGTCATTAATAAGGATGTGTGTCAGAGAGGCTGTAGATTGACTAGTATCCATTTTTTAAATAAAAGAAATGGAGCAAAGCTGGTTGTTTACAGTCTAGATAGCTTGACAATGGTGGTAAGGAAATGCTTAAACTTCTTAATTAATGATAAAATGGTCACATTTTAACTGAAGAGAAAGTAGTGACCACACAATTTTAAACTGTGCAGTGATACTTGATAAAATCACCTGGAATTTTTTTTTGTAGAAGGTGACAGGTGATAAATGGAGGAAATGCAGCAACCATAGTCTACAGGAACTTTAAAAATTATACAGTAAGGCACTATACAGGATATTACCAGTGAAGATTAAGGGGCATTGGATTGGGGGAGAAACAAGTTGCTTTAAAATTGATTAGAAGAGAGTAAAGAATACAATAAAGACTCCAGAGTTTTTGGAAGTAGCCATGATATTGTTTAGGTTCCATTTAAGAACCACTTTTATTCAATTTATTGTTGATAAGGAAATCAAGAGTACAAGAGCAAACCCTCTTTGAGCAGAGAGTAGAGGTCATGGAATACAGTTGTAGAGCAATTGATTAATGGCAAAGGTATTTTAAAGTTAGAAATTCAATAAGATTGTTGGATGATGGAAAAAGCGATGAAGGGATAGGGGACAGGAAACAGTTGGGAATGTTTGCTTGTATGATACAAAGCTGGATGGGAGGGTGAGTTGTGAGAATGATGCTTCAGTGTGATTTGGACAAGTGGACTCAGTGGGCATAAGCATTGCAGGTACAGTGTAATGTGAATAAATGTGAGGTTGTCCACATTGGTTGCAAAAAACAAGGAGGCAGATTATTACCTGAATGGTTATAAATTGAAAGAGGGGCATGTGCAACAAGACCAGACTATCCTTGTATATTAGTCACTGGAGGTGAACATGCAGATGCAGCAGGTGGTAAAGAAGGCAAATGGTATATTGGCCTTCTATTGAGAGGATTTCAGTGCAGGAGCAGGGATGTTGCTTTGTAACTATGCACAGCCTTAGTGAGACCACACCTGGAATATTGTATGCAGTTTTGGATCCTTCGTCTGAGGAAGGATGCTCTTGTTATAGAGGTAGTGCCGCAAAGGTATACCAAAGTGATTCCTGAGATTGCCGTACTGATATATGAGGAGAGGTTAAATTAGTTTGGATTATATTTGCTAGGGTTCAGAAGAAGGAGGGGCGAATCTCCTAGAAACCTTTAAAATTCTAACAGAACTAGACAGGGTAGATGTAGAAAGAATTTTCCTGATTATGGGAGAATCCAGAACCAGAGTCAAAGTCTGTGAATAAGAGGTAAACCATTTAGGACTGAGATGAGAAGAAGTTCCTTCACCCAGAGAGTGGTGAACTTATGGAATTCACTACCACCGAAAGTAGACCAGTCGGAAACATTGAATGATTTCAAGAAAGAGTTGGATATAGCTGTTGGGGCAAAAAATATCCTGGAAAAACAAGAACAGGCTATTGAGTTGGATGATCATCCATGATCATATTGAATAGCGGAGCAGATGCAAAGGGCCAAATGGCCTACTGCTTCTATTTTCTCTGTTTCTATGTATAGAGGGTAAACACTGGCAAAGATTGATTAGAGTGAATGGCCGGTCTATATGGTGTAGCCCTTGTATATGTATTTATATATCACATGAGAAAAGATTGTTACAAATGGTTTTATGAAAACCAGATATAAAAGCTTGATGGCACTTGGTTAGTGACTTGAATTCAGTCTTCAGTATCATGCAGATGATGACATCGTTCAAAAATAATGACAACATAAAATGCCATCATATCTACTGCTCAACTTGAAATAAGTTGGAGCAAATGATATTTGAGCACTGAATGCATTTTTTGGGTGATAATTGTCAAAAGTACTTCCCTCCAATGTTATCTCTTTGTTCAACAATGCAGAGGCTGTTGTAAGCAGTGGAAGAGTTGAGAAATCACCCCATGAGCAGGAAATCAAGTTCTTTGCAAAGGTAAAAATATGAGCTTTGCTCAGCTAAGGAATAATTCCAGTGACAATAGAGCAGAATTCAGGAATACATTGTATTTGTGTAATAAGAAATAAACTGGATTATGTTATGGAATAAAAAGATATTTAATTAGCAATTGTTATACAGTTGGACAAGACAAACCGTTTCTAGTATTCAAAGCAGTCACACCAGATCAGGTTGATCCTATGCAATCATTCCCCTTAATTGGGATTTACCCACAAATTTCGGAGTGTGCGTAGACCTCAAAGTTATGACATAACCTTTAATAACTATAATTACTTTATGGGGGAGATTGTTGCGCTAGTGGTATTATCACTGGCAGTTAACTGTCAATCATTATTAACTGCTGCATTCTCGATGGCAACACCTCTACCAATTAGATTCCACTTGCCAACCAGTCTCATACAGCATAAGTGTTAATTCTCCCCCTATTCTTGAGAAAGAATTCTTGAAATATTCTTGAGAATTAGGAAGAAAGCATCTAACAAAATGCATTATTTTGCTGGGGTTTTTTTATGAAGAATAGCTGGGATGCACAGTCTTGCAAGAAAAGTGACCTGATCCAGTGTAATGAAGAATTGATTTTTGGTTTAGAAAAGCTAGGGATTGAGGGTTTATAGGATAGTTCAGAAGCTACCTGACTGGGTCAGCAGCAAATTTAGATTTCTCTCCCTACAAAAGTATAAGACAGAGGGGGGAAAACACAGTCATCTGGTAGAAAAGCTTAGTTTGTGAAACTGTCAGACAAGAATGTTTGGTTAGAAGCCTGCAGGCTTCAAAAGTTGACAAATTTCAGTAGTCATGTAAGAAGACTTTACAGTTCATTGGACAGAAACTGGGATCTGACTTGTCCAGTAGTACCATCAGCTGGGATCATAATACAGTTCCAGTTGATGTTTTAACACTCTAGCCTCCATGTTCCCTGACCTTGTCTGACCTGTCGTAAAGACTGCATGCTGCTGACCTAAAATGCCGTAGGTTTTCATGTTCATGTCTGACATATCAAATTGAGATGAAGCTATTTGATAAATCTATTCCCTACGATGAAGGATTCTGCAAACTTAGTTTCAGACAGAGAAATGAGACGCTGGATACCACCCAACTGTTATGTCCTTTCTTCAGAGTTTGCTGTGCACATTGCCATATGCATGGTTAGAATAGTGGCAGATCAAAAGCAGGAGAAAAATAGCTATGAGCAAGAAGAAGTACTTATGAAGTCTGATGTAATTTTGTAGCCAGATAGCTGATTCCATCCAAGGTGGAAACTTTAGACCAATACCAATAGATGTAACTTAGAATTTAATGATTAACACTGTTATTGTTTGCAAAATATTTTTGTCCAGACTTGTTATATGGCAAAACTCTTGAATCTCTAATGCGTTCACTTTTGTTCCTCAGATTTTACTCCCTTTGATAAATCAGTACTTCAAGAATCATTGCTTATACTTCCTTTCTACTCCAGCTCAACTCTTGGGCAGTGGAGGACATTCCTCAAACAAAGAGAAGGAAATGATAGCCAGGTATGTGCTCTGGGTTATAATATATATTAGACAAGAGTATGATTTTTTTTAAGTCAACTAGATAAACCATGAATATGGTGGCTTATTGTTTATTAAACTTCATTTCTGAATGCCTTTTCTTTACAGTCTCCTTCATTTATCAAAATGACTCAATAATATCGTTAATTCCTCTGAATGCTGCATTGCATTTCAACCATGACGCAGCATTAGCAAACAGAATCGGTCACTGGTAATGTTTGCTTTCACAAATGTGTATCTTTTAAACTGGCAAATACTTTCAATACTTTCAGTCTCCCCAGATAAAAGCATAAAATTCTGGAGAAATTGAGTAGATCTGGTGGAGAGACAGAGTTAATGTTTCAAGTCCAGAATGATTCTTCTTCAGAATCTCCCCAGATGTTTGTCATGTTGTTTCCAGAGTTTAGCAGCCCAGCATTTGAAAAATTGGGAGCAGAAGAAATGTTTTAATTGCAATGCTGCCAGATTTCCAAATAGAGTATTCAAGTATCAAGTTATACTAGACTCCAAATTCAAACCAAGTTTAATGCTGGTTCTTCATTTAACCCACTTTACATTGCTTCTGTGGTTACAAAATAGATGCAGCTTAAAATAAAATCATTGTGGCTGATTTAAAAAAAGTAAATTATTTAGTAGTTAATTTGACCCGTATGATAAACCCTATACTTTCACAATTTTAGATAGTAAGCTATATTCTCCTCAGCAAAACCTTCACGAATCACGGTCTACTTGTCATTGAACCAGCACCCTCTTTTAATCCTGTTTGAGACTTGGTATTCTTGCAATTCCATCCTGATGAGGACAAGATTAATAGCTTCAATAGCTTTTTAGTGAATCTTAAGCTACATATGTTGCCTTTATAAATGAGTATTGGTTACATGTTGGTCATTAGTCTTCTGGCGAGGATTGTATCATTCATATGAAATATTTGGAACATATGTTATCCACCATCATTTCCTCCTACCCCATTACTCAGGACAAAAAAGAATCCATTCACTTCAAACTTTTTGAGGTGGTAATTTCAAGAGATTCAGAATGTGATTATCAGTGGTGGAGGGTACTTTCATGGTATGACATCATTTGGACATGTTGCTCAGATTGCCGCCTGGTAATAATTCCCAGCTATCCATTATTCTCCACTTAATGAAAGATTTCTATGTGACCTTTTATTAACATGATGTTCCTCAGAATTAGAGGGGTGTGTTGCCATTTGACTCTATTCATGACAAATTTATATACACAGGACTTCTGTAGATAAATAACTAAATTCAAAATCATTCAGCTTTTAATGATGTACTTGGAAAACCAAGTTCTCGGTAGCTGTCATTTCAAACATTCCAACAAATCCAAACTATAGATTACATCTTATGGTATGTGCAGTGTCTGAGACACTGTAGAGTGCCAGTAATCCTGTCATATTTTCCGAGTTGCTTCACTTCTGCTTTATCTGTAGCTCTCTATACTGCAATTTGGATTTACCTTTGGTTAGCCTTCCAAGAGGGAACAGTTAAAAGTGAAATCAGGAACATGTTTGTAATTTCCTCACAAATAGCGCAGAAATTAGATCTTTCACCCAACCCCCATTCCATCCCTCCTCACCTTTCCTGCCACTATCATCCTAAATCTTTGAATCCCATTCCATCAATATTACAGTAATTTACACAATAAAAGTGCTTCATCCACAGCTTGCTTGAGGACTCCAAGTTAATCAATGAAGAAACCAGGCAGACCTGATGCTCAATGAAGCAAAGTCCTTCCTCTTAGTCTGGAGAAGTAACAAGTGTTAAGATGGTTGGCCTAACATGGAGTATGGGTTTCTGCTGGAATTTAAGTTTAGTGGGTATATGCCAAGGCTTTAGCATAAGTTCTGAGCTGTAGTTCAGAGAAAATTCAGAAAAGGTTTGCTCATCTGATTCTTGAGATGTAGAACTTAGTTTGTGAAAAAAGATTGAGAGGTTGAGTATAAACCCTTTGGAGTTGAGAAGAATGTGATTTTTTTTCAAATACAGAAGATCCTGAGGGATCTGACAAGCTGGATGCTGAGAGGTTGTCCTCTCTTGTGGAGGAGTCTAGAATTAGAAAACACTGTTCATAAATCAGGATTCTCTCATTTAAGACCAAGATGTGGACCAGAGAACAGTGATCAACAAGAGTGTCAAGCGTTATGAAGACCAGACAGGTGGATGCAGTTCAGATCACAATCTGATCAGCAAGCACGAGGGACCATTTGGCCTGTTCCTGCTCCAGCTTCTTGTATTGGTATCTTGGGAAGGAGAGAACTGATTCTGGATCATATTCCATTCAACTTTCTCACGGTGTATTTCTGCAGTCAAAAGATTTTCAAAGTAATGGTAGTCATCTTTTGAGCCCAATTGAATTCCACACAAAATCTGTAATTCAGTTTAAGAGCATGACAGGTAATATAGGAAGTACAAAATTGAAGGATATAATCACTTAGAAATCAGAAGAATACAAACTATAGACATGTAAAAGGAAACAAAAGTTAGATGCTGAAACATAAGAGAGAGACTTTTGCATAAAATGCTCAAGTCAACAGTTAAATAAGTTTGTTCTTGACCGTTTCAAATTCAAAGATCAGAGAAAGCAAGTTACTAACTTATTGACCTGCCAAAGAATTTCCTTCTTTTTACTTTAAAACCATAAAATTCTTGCAGTTCAGAGCTATTCTTTTTTCCAGTCTCATATCTATTCCAGTTCAATCTGTTCTCACCCTTACAATGTTAAACTACTTCACCAGACTAAATTGTGCTGCCTTCATGCTCACCAATGTTGGACAAAATGAGGTACATGTCTCCAAAGAGTACAGTTTCATTAGGGTTTTCACTTGTCCCTTATCCTTGATGTATTCCCCCAAGAGTAGGAAACCCAAAATTAGCCAAGCCGTTTCGTCAGTACTAAGTTCTTAAAAACCTCAGTTTGACTGTTGCAAGAGCTATAACCCACCATGTGGAAATGAATGACGGAGTAGATGTTTTGTTTAGCTCCACCTAAACAAAAGCATTGTTTGATGGACAGCCATTTCTTTAAGATTTATTTTTCCTTTGATCAGTTAACTTCTACAAGGTAAAGAGGGCTCAAATGCTTGCAGTTCAGCCGTTGATACTTATAACATCTGATTGATACATTTATAGAGCTGTAGTAAAAGCAATTTTCAAAAGAACATTCTGGATGTGTGACTTTTTAGCTTTTTCATAGATGTCATTGTTACTCTAGAGTTTGTTGATTTTGTACAGGGCATATATTAGGTATAAATGGAGAGACGATGGCCTAGTGGTATTATCGCTAGACTGTTAATCCACAGATCCAGATACATTCTGGGCACCTGGGTTTGAATCCCACCATGGCAGATGGTGAAATTTGAATTCAATAAAAAATATCTGGAATTAAGAATCTAATGATGACCATGAATCTGCTGTCGATTGTCAGAAAAACCCATCTGGTTCACTAATGTCCTTTAGGGAAGGAAACTGCCATCCTTACCTGGTCTGGCCTACATGTAACTTCAGGTCCTCAGCAATGTGGTTGACTCTTAACTGCCCTCTGAACAATTAGGGATGGGCAATAATTGCTGCCTAGCCAGCGATGCCCTCATCCCATTAATGAATTTTAAAAAATGGGCTTAGGTTGATATAGGCAAAATCTTTTTAATTTGCTTTTGAAATGGTTTCCTCATCCCAATACCTCAGAAGGACCATGAATCATGACTCCTTAAAAGGTTGGCCTAACGTCGTAAAAATTGCGTTACCTTTGCCATTATCTTGTGCTGATTTAAAACAAAATTGGGGTGTTGAAAATCCCAGGATCTAGGACCCAACCACAATCTCCAAAGGTCATCAGATTCTTCCTGGCTCATGAAAATTTGGCCCATTTGAAGCTTTGCATTTCAATTTCAAAATCCCTTAATATCTTTCTTTAAAGTTGGTCATCAAAGATTTCAATTTAATGTTTGTGAATTTTGCCACTTGAGCCAGCATTTTCTTGGTGCCATCAGGGCTTTCAGTACAAATGAAAAAGAACAGAAGAATTAGGAGCAGGAGTAGGCATTCGGCCCCAGAAGCCTACTGCCCCATTTGATGAGATTGCTGGGAGAGCTGTCAATGTAAGTTATTGTGTTCTAAAGTAATGCAAGAGGACAAGAAGCAAAAAATTCAAACCCTAAAAATTGTCAATGCTAAATAATATGAAACATTTGTGTAAAGGCTGAGTGATTTCTAGCATGACCTGGACTGATAAATAACATAGTTTTGGTGTTAAAGAAACAATTTTGCCCACTTACTAGTGATTTTGAAACTTACAAATGAAGGAAAAAGCACCTTTCTACTAGCTATACATACGGTGCACATTTTGGACCAACCCAGCCTAATCTGCTTCAGGCTTCTCTCATTGTTACTTCCTCTCTCAATAATTACTGCTGCCAGTTCTCATACCTTCTCATTCCTGTTCTTCCTGATTGTTTCCCTGTTTCTTTACTTCAGTATCTTCTGCAAACTCGCAGCCTTGATCAGACATAGAGTCTCCCTCTTTGGTAAGCAGCATGGAGTGTTGGAGCATAGTGTTTGTCACTTTCTGAAGCTTGTACTGTCAAGTCACGCTCTTGTTCTGTCTGTAGCTTGGATTTGTTTCCTTCCTATATAAAACTTTCCTCCAACAAAACACATTTTTTGCTGAAATAACCATTTGAAATCCAATATGTAGAATAAGTACTGTAGTTGTCCTTCACCTTTATTCATTCAGTTTTAGCTGATCTTATGTTGGTCTTTTAATTCAGCTTCTGGGAGGCCAACTTTCAACTTTTAAGCCGCGAAATTATAAAGGTAGCCCAAGAGCAAACTTTTTGACCCAATTTTATCAAATTTAAAGATCAACATAAAAAACAGCTTTTGTTTCATTCAAAAGCTCTCCAAAAGAAGGTGGTGGACTTCATCACAGTTTCTTGTGCCATATCTTTTTGTTTCTTGTGCTGTTTCAGGTGACTAGATAGAATTAATTTGTACAAATATCCTACCTTTAGTATATTTGTTTATCTGTGTGCTTATACTAGAGTATGCACATGCAAGTACTGTAGTGTGTCACTTGGCTGTTTTGGTGCTGTGTGCAGCTTAAAGTGTCACAACCTCTTGAAATGAAATGTGGCAAGCTTAACAATTTTTTGTTCTTCAATAAAAATGTTATTTCTAACACCAAGCAAATTATTATGCACAAACCAAAACAATTTCAGTAAATTAATAATTTCAAATTGCCTGTGAGTGCGTCTGTTTATAAGTATTTGTATGCTTAACTTTTTTAAAAAAAATTTTGAAGCTGGGAAGGCAATTCATGCTCCATGTATCCTTCTGGACTACATATTCAAACACGTTTTAACCTCGTTGGAAGAAAAATGGGTGATCCTTAAAAGCACTCAATTTGTTCTTCTAATTTCAACTAGAAAGTATAATCTGCATTTCATTATGTTGATTAGGAAGGAGCCTTATTTAATTATGACAATATACATAGCAGGTCATTTTAGCAGTAAATCTGTTTCTAAGTTTTGTTGGAATTTATGAATATTTCTAATGTGGTTATTAGAAAAAAAAATCATCTTTTGTTAGCTCAAGAACACAGCCTTTTTGATTCTTATAAGACAACTGAGGTTAATATCTTTGGCCGGTTGCTCAGAAATCTAGCACTAGTTCAATATAATTGATCGATTCGTGTTGGGAAGGTCAGCAGTCCTATCTGACAACAGTCCTATTTCATTTCTGAGTTTCAAGAGTAAGTTTGTCATCAGCAAGGTACACTTGTATGAATTTTCTCTCCTTCAGTTTACAGTCCAGATAGCGTAGCTTTCCATATTTGCTTTAGAATTGATCAATCAACCCAATTCACTGCATGGCCATTATGGGAAAACACTTAAGTGTCTCCAAAAAATTCGCATAACTTCCTAGGTTTTCCTTTTTTAGCCACATCATGCACCAGCTCCAAGATCTTCTTCCTTTTCTGCCCAACAGACAAACTGGCCTCTTCCTGAGAATTTTTTATTTCTTCTCCTCACACCGATTTTCTATGTTTTTCTTTCTGTTGTCAGATTTTCTTTGTCTGCATGTGTACTCTGATCATCTTCATTTTCCAGCTCCTCCACTTGCAGCTCTCCTTTCTGTATGCCTGCCACACGCTGCTTTCTTGATTGCTTTCCTGTTTGGCATGGCTTCCTGGTCAAGAGTTACAGAGTCACATGGACTAGTACTTCTCATTATCCAAGAATATTACAATTGATCTCTTTATAAGTGATGCAAACTCTTAAATGTCCTTTCAAACGTGTAACTTCTTTAAAAACACTTTTAAGGTAATTACAGTTACAAATTTCCCTTACTGTACTTAATTCTCAATTGAATTTTTTCTCTCTCTCATTACTAAGTTCAAGAGCAGTACCATATGTGCCTTTTTTTTTTAGAAAAGAGAATCAATTGTATTTATTTGGCCTGGAAGTATTGCCACCATTGTAACATAGGCAAACTTAACAGTAAACCCGTGCACAATGAGCTCCAATAAATAACAACACGATTATTGGTTTTGGTAATGTTTGTTGACAGTGAATATTATCAGAAAACTTACTTTTCATACAGAGCTTTGAGACATCTTCCATCTATGAGGAGACAGGAAGGGCCTTGCTTAACACTTTTTTTTTAGTGAGAGCAAAATTTGCTTGAAATTTCCAAATTCCCACTGCATGTGCAATTTTGATATAAAAGGTAGTGCTAAAACTGGAACAACTTCACAAATAACTGTCCAACTGTTCTCTTTTCTGAAACAGGTACTGATGCTCCTGCAGTTATAAACTGTTTGCATATCTTGGGAAGATCTTTAGATGCCAGGTGAGTGCATTTTTCAATCCTTGACACTCTAGATTTGAATTGTGCCTTGGGCATTCTTGACAAACCCCTTTATTTGGTCTGACAGCTCAGCTCTGTTTCTTTATTAGTCTGTCATTTTTATTTTCTTCCCACTTTCAAAGGCATTGATTCCTGGATAGGGATATGCCACTTTGGGAATTAGCATCCTTTCAATTACATTGATAAAAGCATTATTTCAGCATAGCCAATCATCAACAGGCATTTATATAGAATTTTTGTCTTATAAATTTTCAAGCTTTGACACATGTACATTTCCACTTGTTAACAGGACTGTAATGAAATCTGGTCCTGAAATTGTGAAAGCAGGTCTGCGGTCATTTTTTGAAGGAGCCTCCGAAGATATTGAGAAAACTGTGGAGAATCTGAAGCTTGGCAAAGTCTCTCAGAGTCGAACACAAGTGAAAGGAGTTGCTCAGAATGTCAATTACACCACAGTGGCTCTTTTGCCTGTACTAACCTCACTGTTTGATCACTTGGCACAGCATCAGTTCGGAGATGATATCATATGTAGGTATTAAAAAGTGTCAAAAGAAACAGCTTGTAGCTACGTACTATGTGTTTTGCACACTAATCAGTAATGAGGTTCTTTATAAATATGTTTAATATGTATTGTTGGCATATACTTTCAGCAAATTTTTAAACAATGAATTCTTGTATTCACATTTATAATGGAAAACTAACCTTTTAAACTTGTCATGCTGTAACTACACCTTCCTATCAGCAGTCATTAATGGCAAGAAAATTCATTACAAGCATTTCAGTTAGAAGCGGAAGTTTGGCCCTTCAAGCCTCTTTCATCATCCAATACCTGATCTGTTGGTGTTTTAAATTCAAAATTCTTACCTGCCCTTGTTAACATTTGGTTCTCCTTCGTGACAGGAATCTATCTACCTCAATCTTAAAAAAACTTCAATGCCCCATCTTCACCACCTTCTGATACAATGTCATCATCTGTGACCTGAAAGGCTGACCCCTAATTTCAAGATAGTGCTTGCTACTTTTGACTCGTTCATGAAAGAGAACATAGTTTTCACATCCATCTTGTCAAGACCATTCAGGATCTTAAATTTTAATCAAGTCACCCCTCACTCTTCTGAATTCTAGGTAAAAAAGCCTAACCTGTCCAATCTTTCCTTAAAAGACAACATGCTCACTCCAGGGATCAAACTAGTAAACCTGCACCGAAATGCCTCCAAAGCTTCCTTAAACAAGACCAAACCAGCAAGCAGTTATCATGATACGTATGACATGATACATTTACATTGGCAGTTTCTGTTATAAAAGGAAGGAGCAAAATTTGGAGAGGAAAAGTAAAAGGAAGGATAGAATGTATGACTATAAAATGAGGACTGCATGACATTGACAAGCTTAGCAGTTCTCTCCAGTCTCTAACCCTGCTTCACCTGGAAAACTACACCTGGATTTGACCTCCTCTTTAATGTCACAGTAGGTCACTAGTTGTGTGTATAAAATTGGTACTTGAGTCAATAGTTGCAAAACAGACAAAAGTTGCATTGCAACCAGAAATGTTTGTTCTTGTCTTGTGGTTTATAGTTAAATTTAAATACAAGTATACGTGTACTTTTCAAAGAAGCAATCCACATTTACAGATTTCTGTCAAATAAATATTAACCATGCTATCACAACTTAATTAGTATTGCATGTCTTCTGCTTTGTGTAATGCAGCTAAATTTGGTTTCCATTCACAGCACTGATGTTAACAATTAAACAGTAAAACCACAGAGATTGCCATAAATACATCCATAAGCTTGTTCCTGTAAACTGTGATTATTTCAAATTCAATCCCAAGTCTGTGCTTAAATTAGCTGACTGGCTGCAAGATTAATTTGTGTTGAGCTGGATCATGGAGGAGATAATTGGCTAGGAATCTGCTGCTGGTAGTTATTGATCCTTGTTTGTTTGCTGAGGACAGTATTGGACTTTGTAGTAATTCTTCCCTTTTCTTTCTCGCTTCCCATGTGATTGAAAAGCAGCATGATTTAAAACGAAAACACAAACATGAATGATAACTAAAACTGTGATTAATTTTAGACAGTGCTGCTAGCTGCTGTCATCAGTTGCTAGGTTTTAGCATTGGTGCCCTCAGTTTTCAGTGCAGCAAAGGAATGGTATTAACAAAAGGGCATTCTGCTGATCTCCATAAAGTGAGTGAAACACAAAATGGTTTCCTTTCAGAAGGAAGTTGTTCGGCCCATAAGTCAAAGATGGCTCCATGAAAGAGCACCTCACCTGGTCCGAATCACGTGCTTTCTCCGTAACCCTGCAGATATTTTTTCTAAACATTTATCTATTAGTCTTTGAAAGCTACAACTGAATTTTCTTCACCATCCAATCAAGTAGCAAATTTCAAATACCAACCAATTATAGGGTTGACGGTCAGAATTTTATTCCCAGAATTAAAATATCTAATACTAGGGTCATGCATTTAAGGTTAGAAGGGGCTCAATTCAAAGGAGATGAAGCAGTGGGAGAGAGAAGTTACTAGAGGATGGTGTGATGAGGAGTGAGATTTATATATATTAATGTCATTTTTGGATTAATATCAAGTATGAATTTTTAAATTGGGGCATACCAATGTTGTTTACTTTTCTGAAAGAGATTTTTTAAAAAGAAAGCTAGTCAGATTGTCCTTCCTGACCTAATCCATATGTGTCAGAGAATAAGAACCCCCAGAGTGTTAATGGGGTGGTTTACAACAGGTGGAATAAGTATTGAAGACAATTAGCTAGGCCCGAAACGTCAGCCTTCCTGCTCCTCTGATGCTGCTTGGCTTGCTGTGTTCATCCAGCTGTACACCTTGTTATCTCAGATTTTCCAGCATCTGCAGTTCCTACTATCTCTCATTGTATACTTGAGCTATTTATACTTATGCCCCAATAAAAGTTTTGTCCTAATGTTTTCCGATAATCTATCTTATTTTTCAGTGGACGACGTTCAAGTCTCTTGCTACCGAATCTTGTCTAGTATTTATTCTCTTGGAACCACAAAGAACACATATGTGGAAAGGTATTCAAATTGATATATCAAATCTGACTGCTACTTTATCAGGAAGGAACAGGGAAGAGCAGTTAGGTCAAGTCAGCTAGCTATTTTTAAGAGAACAACCAATGCCTAGTTCCTATAGTTTCTCAATTCCTTTTCCTCCGACTACACTGGTAGATTTGTAAGATGTCCACTTTATTGATCTCCTTTGGCTATACATACAAAAGTTATTTCCTTGTGAATGAAAAATAACTTGGTTTCACTAACTCATTCTTAGACTTTTAAATTTTAATTTGCCTCAATAAGAACTTTTAACCATTCTCCATCAGGTATAATTTGCCCCAAACAATGTTTAGCAGTTTCCTTAGCAGTATTGAAAATTTGGAATTTAGTTGTCTAACTTCCCTGATCTCTTCTTGGAACTTTAGACAGTAGACAGCCAGGTGTAGCAAGTATTTAGGAAGGCAAATGGTTCAATGACCCTCATTGCAAGGAGATTTGAAATCAAATATCTTACTTCAGTTTTATGGGGCATTGTTGAGACCATACCCGCAATAAAGAAAGGATTTACTTGCCGCAGAGGGAGCATAGTGAAGATTCCCTAGGTTAATATCGGGGATGGCAGGACTGTCCTTGGGGAGAGATTGGTTTGACTTGACTGTATTCATGAGTTAAGAAGGAATTGAAGGGATCTGATTGAAACATGTAAAATTCCTATAGGGCTGGACATACCAGATGCTGGGAGGATGTTTCCCTGGCTGGGGAGTCTAGAATCAGGGATTATAGTCTTAGGATACAGGATAAACCATTTAGGACTGAGCTGACCAAAGATTTCTTTCCTCAAAAGATAGAGAATTCCATAGGTTCACTATCACGGAAGGCTGTAGAGGCCAAGTCACTGAAAATGTTTAAGGAAGAGATAGGTTTTGTTTTAGATTTTAAGGCATCAAGAGGTATGTAGAGAAAGCAGGAATATGGCATTGAGATAGAGGATCAGCAATGATCATGTTGAATGGCAGACCAGGCTGAAAGGTGCAAATGGCCTGCTCCTGCTTCATGTTTCTGTGTTTCTAATTTGGATGCAAATACATGTAGGGCAGTTTTACAATTCATGCTTTTTTTTGGGGAGCCTTATCTTTTGGCTACACATAGCAGAAAATTATAGGTGCATTACCTCTTGTGCAGGTGCATTACCTCTTGTGCATTGCCACCAAACAAGTGGATTTTCCCACTGATTAGTCTGAATTATGATGGTTTGCAATTATTGAGATGTTTGATATCTGCGAGGTGTTGCAATCGTGTATCCAGCATATCTGGCAGTTACACTATCAACAAAACATTACTTAGCAGTCTGATGTTCTCTCTCGTTATTTTTGTCACAATTTGTGGCTGTAGTGTAAAGACATCCTTTAAAACTGTATTTTTCATTCAGTAAAAACTTTCAGATGTTTTTGTTTGACTTTTATTTAAATTGTACTTTTTTTTTCCCCCCACAGACAGCGTCCCTCCCTGGGCGAATGCCTTGCCCGACTTGCAGCTGCTATGCCAGTGGCCTTCCTTGAGCATCATCTAAATGATCATAATGTATGCTCAGTTTACAATACTAAGACAGCACGGGAGAGAGCCAGTAAGTACACAAGGAACTAAGCAGAGTTGTACTTAGCAAATGTTACAGCTCATTGGATTTGTTTGATGAAAGCTGTTAATGGAGGATTAAATATAAACAAATAAAGTGTGTATGTGATCTTGTTTCAAACTTGACTCAAACTGATGAGTGGACGTCCCTATATTTTTGCCTTGAAGCATTCGACATGGAAAGAATTTAGGCAATCTCAACAATGTTTGCAATGGACAAGGATTCACAGTACAAAGCTGTTGCTAATTCTGCACAGTTCAGCAATCTCACTCGAAAGTCCTTGGAAGATTGGTGTGTTGATGATGTGATCTTGGGTGCCCAACTGACATTAAGGCAGGAAAACATCCTTGAACTGGAATGGAGGGAATTATACTTCACATTTAGCAATGCCACTGCTGGTCATTTGATGTTTATTATTGTCACTTCGGTACCTGAATTGCAAAGAAGTCAATTTTTTCCAACCATACCAAATTTTACATCAGTATGTACGCTAAAATCCACCTGAATTTTGAATATGCAAAAGCATTCATTTAACAGATTCACCCGAGGTTCCTAAAAACTGATTCGTGCAGAAGTATCAAGTACCTTTGCATATTTTCTTTAATTGTGAATTTGCATAGATACCTTTCAAAATAAGTATTAGTATAGATTGTGTTTCATTAATTCATGTCCTCTGTTATAAAATTTCCTGGAAATTTAATAGATTTGTACTGATGTGTTCAAACAGAACCAAAACATCAGATCAGGTAGTTAAAATACTGTTTTTCTTCATAATTATAACTTTGTTGTGAATTTTCAGGGACTATTATAATCCGAAGTATAATTATAACTACTTACTTTATTTTATTACATTAGCTACATAGCTGATACAGAAGTTCATTTTTTACAACAGACCAAAGTTATTGCCTATTAAATGATATCTCCTTCTGAACTGTTTAAATTGCCCTAAATTCTAGAATCTTGTCTCTTAAGAGGTATGATTGCAGTAGCTACCAATACCTACAGTATAAGTCATTTTCTATTGAGAAATAAGCAGTCCTGATTGGGGAATTACAATTTCAAGGTGGTTATTATTTTTGGGGAAGAAAGCAGCAGAATAAATGATATTAATAAACTAATAGAATAGGCAAGTAAGTGGCAAATTAATTCCAGTAAACATAGGTGTGAATGGTACGTTTTTAAAGAAGAAATGAAGAGGAAAACAGGAGTCTAAATAGGCTAGTGATCCAGAGATTCTGATTTGCAAATTATTAGAAGTAACAACGCAGGATAACATAGCTATAAAATTGCAAGTAAAACATAGGTCTATTCATGGAAGAAGAAGATTGGAGACAAGTAATGTTAAACTTGTTTAAGACTTTTAGATTGCATTTAGAATACTGTGCCTGATTTTGATCTCTATATTGCAAGAACAATGAGCAGAAAAGGTGCAAAATAGACTTGCAAGAATTAAATACAAGAGTATAACTTATAACAGCAATCTGAGCCTGCCTGTACCTTTCCCTAAGAGGAGAAGACTGAGGGCTGACCTTATAGAAGTCTACAAAATTAGGAAGGGGTTTGAAAAGATAGATATATAGAAAGCATTTCTACTTGTTGGCAAGTCTAAATCTAAATGTTAACATCCAATAATCAATAAACCCAGTAAGGAATTCATGAGAATTGTTTTTATACAAAATGTACTTAGAATGTTGAACTTGCTTATGCATAGAATATTTGAGACCAAAGGCATAGGTGCATCTAACAGGAAGCTAGATAGTACATGAAAGGGAAAGGAATATAAGGACGTGATAATACTTGGATGAAGCAAAGTGACAGATCATTTGAACTTCGCGGACTATTTCTCCATTATAGATATTATATAATGCTGTGAAGTTGCTAAGTGGTTAGGTTCAAAGACACCTCAGAACTACTGGTAAATCAGGGAGCTTGACTTCTTATTGCCCATATTAATACTTCAGAATGGAATATAGCAGGAGCTTCCATCCACTCCCTGGTGCATTGTCTTTTCTTTGATGCCCCCTCATCCTGAACTACCTATCTTTTGAAATCCATGATAAAAATTTGATGATCTAACTTCAAAGCTTAGAGCCAACAGAATATACAAAACATAACTTCACTGAATGTGTAAGGTAACTCTGAATGTAGAATGCAACCTTTACAGTACATTTTCCGCAATTCTTTTAAAAAATGTCTTATTTTAATGAATTCATGAAAAAATGCATCACTTTCCCTTTCTGATGTTTACTGTGATATATCTTTTCTTTTCCCCTTCACTAATTTTCACCATTACTGTGACACAGACTCCTTGGTGGCCATCGCTATCTCACCCAAATGACTGTTGCTGAAGTGTGATAGGAAATATCAGAAATAATTGACTTCACAGGGTATTTGCAACCAAGCTTGGTTCTCCATTTACACACAACATCACTGGATAACAATTGTAGTGCAAACTTTGGATTTTTCCCTTCCTTTAACTCAAGTGTGTCCATTCTAGCACCTTGATCACTACCTGGTGACATCAGTTAACCCAGAACAGATAAACCTGGACCCTTCTATTTGGCTAGCTATCCTTGAAGTATTCAGTCGTTTGGAAGAGAGATAATTTGTTTCTTGTTACTGTACAGTTGTTGCATTTAAACACTGTAAAAGAACAAATGTGTACTGTTATGTTCAGAGAACTGGTTGGAAATAATTTTAATTTGGTTTTATTTCTTACAACAGTTTTGGGTTTGCCAAGCAGTGTTCATGAAATGTGTTCCGATATTCCTGACTTGGACTATCTCATGAAAGAAATTAATGATCTCGCAGAATCTGGTGCTCGTTACACTGAGATGCCACATGTTATTGAAATTACACTTCCTATGCTGTGTAACTACCTGCCACGGTGGTGGGAACGTGGATGTGAGAATATTACCGATGAAAACACAGTATGCTGCACTAGTGTGACCTCTGAGCATCTTAATGCCCTTCTGGGAAATATTCTGAAAATCATAGTTAACAACTTGGGCATTGATGAAGCATCCTGGATGAAAAGACTTGCAGGTACATGCTTTCCCAGTCATTGGTTTAACATGCTATATATTTAGAAGGATTCATATATTCAACTTACTGCAGTTTGCAGAAATTGTGTATATTTATTTTTTTTTATTCATTCATGGAATTCGGGCATCACTGGCTAGGCCAATATGTTTTTACACATCCTTAATTGACTAGAGGGCAGTTAGGAGTCAACCATATTGCTGTGGGTCTGGAGTCACAGGAAGGCTAGACGAGGTAAGGATGGCTGCTTCCTTCCCTAAAGGACATTAGTGAACCAGATGGGCTTTTCCTGACAACCAACAATGGATTCATGGTCATCATCAGACCTTTAATTCCAGACTTTTTTTAAGTGGATTCAAATTCCGCCATCTGCCGTGATGGGATTCGAACCTGGATCCCTAGAACATTACTTGGGTTTCTAGATTAACAGTTCTGTGATAATACCACTAGCCCATCATAGTTCAGTTAATTTCTAATGATTTTCCATAAATTCAAATCAAAACTGCCCGAGTATGTCCTACTCACAGTCAGGAAGATTCAGTCTGGTCAATTACTACTCCATCCACTCTTGATCATCAGTAAAGTGATCGAAAATGTCATCAATAGCATTTTCAAACATAACTTACACTACATTAACTCGTTCAGTGATGCGCAGTTTCAGTTTCTCCAGAGCCACTCAGCCCCTGACTTCGTTAAAGAATTGATACAAGTGTGGACAAAAATCTAGACTCGAGGTGAGATGACCTTATTGTCAAGGCAGCATTTGATTAAGTGCGGCAGCAAGGAGACTTAACAAAATTGAAGTCACTGGAAATGAGAAAAACCTTCATGGCTAGACTGATATCTAGCACAAAGGAAGAAGGTTGTAGTGGTTGGAGATCAATCATTCCATTTCCAGGATATTGTTGTATGAATTCCTTTGGGTATTTTCCCATCGATCTTCAGTACCTTTTCATGGATTTTCCATGAAAAGGTCAAAAGTGAGGAAGTTCTCTAATTTTACAGTTGTCAGTACCATTTGAAAATCCTCAGATCTCCCTCTGCAACAAGATCAGACACGGTTCGGGTTGGATTGACCAGTACCAAGTACACAGGCGGCCAGCAAAAGCCATCTCTAATAATTGAGAATCTAACCATTACCCTTTGACACTCAATAGCAATACTATATTTGAATCATCCATCAACATCATGAAGGATACTATTGTCTAGAAGCATAGCAGGAACAACTATATCAATTCTGTGGCTGTAAAAGCAGGTCAGAAAGTGAGAATTTTGTATGAGCACTTCCAGGCTTCCCAAAACCTATCCGCCAATCAGAAATGTGATGGGAACCATTCCACTTACCTGGATGACTGCAACCTGAGAATACTCCAAGCTTGACACTACCCTGGACAACGCACTCAGACATCATTTTAAACAATCACTCCCCGCCTCCAAACCACCGATTCACAGTGGCAATAGTATGTAATCATTTACAAGATGCATTGCTGCAACTTGCCAAGTCTCCTTTGTTTTAAAATTGCAACCTCTATTAGCTGGAAGGTTAAGGGGCAGCAGAAGTAAGAGAGCGCCATCACCTGCAAGTCCCTGCCAAGGCACGCACCATCCTGCCGTAGAACCAAGTTCATTGTTCCTTCATTGTCCCTGGGTCAAAACCTTTGAACTCACTGCCTGACAACACTTTGGGTGTACCAACACCACATGGACTGCAGCAGTTCACCCTCACCACCTCACGGGAAATTAAGGATGGGCAATAATTACTGGTCTTGCTAATGATGCCAACGTCCACTTTTTTTTAAAAAAAAAAGGATTGTTCATTCCATTATGTTGTATTTTTCTATCTAAATAATTTCCTCTCCTTTGCACCAAACTTAAATGTTTCAAAATACACAAGGTCAATATGTCAAGAAAGCCTGAAATTGTATTAATGTAGATTTTTGCTGCATCTTTACCCAACAATTATACGTATGTACGTGTATATTAAATGTTTGAAATGAATTTGTAAGGGGGAGAAAAAGTCAGAAGAGAGAATTTTAAAGTTTACACCATTTTACATACTATAAACTGATTCCTTTCTTCATATTTTGTTTCACTCCATCCAGTCTTTGCACAACCAATTATCAGCAAAGCCAAACCAGAGTTGCTGAAATCCCATTTTATCCCAACGATGGAAAAGTTAAAGAAGAGATCATCGAAGGTGGTAGCTGAAGAGGATCAACTGCGTATGGAGGGCAAGGGTGACATTGTGGAGAGCGAATTACTAATTCGAGATGAATTTTCTGTCCTCTGTCGAGATTTGTATGCATTGTATCCTCTGCTGATTCGCTATGTGGACAATAATAGGTGAATTTATTGTTTCATTTCAAACATGTTGGGTTAAATTTAACCCCCACAGGAAGGGTGGGAAGGAGTAAAGATTGTAAAGTCCAGAGACCATTCAGTTACTGTTTAAACAAATGAGTTGCTCATGCAACTAACTTGCTTCCCTGAAACAATCCAATTTTAATGTATCCATTTACCTTAAATTTTATTTTGGATGTTCATATCTGTTAGCTGGATTCCCTAGACTTCAAGAAACCCAGGAATTGAAGGAAGACAAGAAGGTTTGATCCATCAGAGAATTTCCTTGACAATATTATTTATAAGTTAGCAGGAGCGCTGCTGCTCCTCACTGGCCCAGCAACTTTAACTGCATCTTTTTCAACAATCAGGCACTCCCAATTATTCACTATCTTTCGCCCACGAGGTCTTATCCTATCCTTCCTCTTCCAGTTTTTGGCTAATGCCCAGCTCCCCCACCCCATCACCAGTATGTAATCACAGCTATCCAATGTCTTTTGCTGCCCCATATTTTTGTTAAAGCACCTCTCTGCTATTGATCCATTTATATCTTCACTGCTTTCCCCCTTCCCCTGAGTATGAGTTCACCCTCGATCCACCCTTTGTTGTCTCCACCTATGGCCTCTTGCAGAAAGCCTGCACACATGACAGCCAGTCAGCCTCTCGATCTGGTTGGTTGGCTGGTTGGCTGACAGACCGCTGGGAAACATCATCAAAACACTTAACAGAGGTCCTACCTTTGTATTTGAGGGGCCGTTTGGGAAATCTGTACTTCACACACCATACATAAATAATGGACTCTAAAAGAACTATACTCCACTATGACCTCTTCAAAACGATTATGTTTGAAGAACATGACCACAGTCACCCATCCTATGGCAAACCACTGTGGTGTGCATCTGTTTGGAGCATTAGCAAGCATTATAGAGACAACACTGAATCCTGCTTAATGCTATGACCAGATTGAGAGATGCAATATTATTGTATGAAAAAGAACCAAATTTTATTAAGCATGTTTAAATTGCTGAATATCAGAGTATGGAAAATCAAAGCTAAAGCAGAAAAATATTTTTAATGAAATTGGCTGCAAAGAAGTTGCTTGATAATCATTGGTCATCGGGTTCAAACTAATTCATATTTACCTAGTCATAACTTGCAGTTCGTTACTTAGAAATTAGTTCATTTTACAGGTTATTGCAGAGAACATTTGTGTTAATTGGTTTTGAAACAGTGCATTAATGTTATTTAATATGCTTTCCAACTCAGTTTGATAAGAACTTTCATTACGTCTAGTTTACTGTAATTTTTTGGGTCGTGTTAGCAAAGCACATTTTTCCTTTTCAGAAAAATATCTGACCTCCTTTATATTGTTACTTCTGGTTTTGTATATATTCACAGGGCACAATGGTTAACAGAACCAAACCCTGATGCTGAAGAGCTCTTCAGAATGGTGGGAGACATCTTCATATTGTGGTCAAAGTCGCATGTAGGTTATGTAATCTTCATCAAATCAAAATTATGAGACTCTACCCAATGCTAGCTTTCTTTATTAACTTATCTCTTTTATCTGTTTTTCACTTATAACTTAATTATGGTATACAAATGGTGTTTAGCATATACAGTGAAGAAATGCCTCTGAATATTGAGAAAGTAGTATTTTCAAAATTATCCCAGATCCTCTGCATGAAGTACTTAAAGCCCACTGTCAAACTCTTTCTGTAATTTTCAGCTTCTCTTCTTCGAACTGTTATTCCAACACCGTACTTCAGTATGATGATTTCTGTGCATATCCCAGAACATGATTTTCCCAAGTGTTCATTTGTCCAGACCATGAAAGAGTCACTGTTGGCAGTTCCGTTTAAATAAACAGTGTCCGGTGTTACCTGAAGTAAACGGAATAGCAGAAAACGTTTTGAAGCTGGGTTGAGAAATACAAATAGAAATTGGTGTACTATATTTTCCAATAATGCAGTTTCTAAGACAACTAATTGCATTTTCCATTAGGCTGCATTTGTTGCACACACTACTGCAGGGAGTGCGTTCACACATACCTTTCCTGTGATGTCACTGCTCATGCTGCCACAGTTTACCAGTTGTTTCAGTAATCTAGGGGTGGCCCAAACTACCACACCCTGATTGTTCAGCGAGTCAGTACACCACACAAAGAGATATTGTCAAGAAAATTTACATCTAGTGATTTTTAAAAAAAAACACATGCTTTTGGTTCCCCACTCCACATGGCATTGCTGAGACTGCTGCTTTCAACTGGAGCAGGGAGTAGAGTACCTATGGACAAAGTGAGTGATAATTTCCAATTCCTGGACAGAGTGGGCACCTTCAAATCCAGGCCTACATCAATAACATAAACAGTGCAGAACTCCTGTCCCAGTGCATTGGCACAAGACGTAACATTTCTAAAATAGATCTGTTAGGCCAATGTAGGAGCAAATTACTGCAGATGTTGGAATCTGTGCTGAAAACAAAACATGCTGGAGATCACAGCGGGTCAGGCAGCATGAATGGAGATATAGCAACCTATCCTTTCTGGAGCTGTCTGACTGCCATTTTGCAGTTTATTTCCATTTAGATACTTTTTCAAGACTTCAGATTATTAATGTCATAGATTCCTGATTATTGTGGTCAGGTTAATGAGTCTGTAATTGACAAGTTTGGATGTTTTCCATCTTGAATGTGGGAGCCACATTTAACTGTTTCTTAATGTTGAAACCATCGCTATTCATTAAGCCTTTGACATGACCACCAATGCTTTATCGATGATTTTCCATCAAAGTTTTCAGCTTGTTGTGTGATTTTTGACTGACTGAGGGATTCTTGGAACTTGGAAATAACTAGGGACACACCAGGATTTAACACTGCACAGACAAACAATATGGATCATTTATTAAATAATGCTGTTGCTTCATACAGCTTCATCCACTGCCTTTATTCTGTATGGAAACTTTGAGTGAACACTATATACAAATTGCTATCTCAAAATACTACAGCACTATGGTCGCAATCCACCTATCCTTAGAACTTATAGATTGTTACTCTGTACAGCTACACAAAAATTCTGCTTTACTAACACAGTTCTTCAATATGATAATTTGTATGCATAGCCCAGTAGACGATTTTCCCAAGTGTTTGTTTGTCCAGACCATGAAGCGCCCAATTTGTGTTTGCAATTAGTATGTTGTGAATTACAAAGCCTCCAAGAAAAAGTAATATTTCCTGTCTTCTGTTCATCCTCATTTTCAATCGCATTTGGATTCTTTATGGTTTTCAAAGTAGTTACTGTATTTCAGAGCAAAGTGCAAACAATAAACAAAAACAGAAATTGCTGGAAAAGCTCAGCAGGTCTGGCAGCATCTGTGCAGAGAAATCAGAGTTAACATTTCAGGTCTGTGACCTTTCCTCATAACCCAGTATCCAGCAATTTCTGTTTTTGTTTCTAATTTACAGCATCCACAATTCTTTCAGTTTTTAAAGAGCAAACTGACTGTCATTCAGCTACATAAATTTAATTGACTTCTGGTCGAAAACTAGAAGACTAAGACAGCATGTTGACCTGATGAGATAATTAGAGGCTATGGTCACAACACTTTTTTTTTCCTGAGTATGCAAGATTGGCTGCAGCTTTTAGATTGGAGCAGTCACAGTGTGCTGGCAAGACAGAGACAGATAATTAGACAGAATTTGTATACGTTTTATTAGCCAAATGGACGTGCAGTTTTATAGCTGAACATTTATGTTTCCTAACAAATTAGTACTAGTATTGGTATGTTGTAATTGCAGAATCCTTGTATGAAACCTCTATAAATTATCAGAGCTTGGATAACTGAAACTAATTGCTAGGTGTTGGAGGTCAGTTGTGTAAACTGCCTCTGCTCCTTAAATGATTTATTTTTTACTCTCAGAATTTCAAACGAGAAGAGCAGAACTTCGTGGTGCAAAATGAAATCAACAACATGTCATTTCTCACTGCAGACAGCAAAAGCAAGATGTCTAAGGTAAGACATCATGTTAAGCTGTAGGATTTTCGTCTAAGCATGTGAAGCAGTGATTTTTAGAAATGCTTTGGAGATACAATTTAATGTGTTATATTTAACCACCATGTTGAAGTGCAGTACAGTTTAATGCAAGTGACTAGGCGTAGCTGAGTGGGAAGGTGTTCATTTGATAAATTTTTAAATAAAATCCATCCACTTACTTTTGATGTTGAGAAATGTCAGTCACCTAGAGGCTAATGATTATACTGTACCTTTTTTCTTGCAGGCGTTAAAATAATATGATTTACTTTAAGGCCGCATTCAATCTTTTATTCAGATCAGTACAATACACTAAATCACATCCTCCTGTAAAATCTTCAATTTTGTTTTCTAGGTGTTAAGCTCAATGCAGTAAAATTAACTTTTCAGATGGTAGCAGTTGATGGAAATTCCAAACTGAGATGTTGAAATGCACACCAATGTTATAGTAATAAGACTGCTGTCAAATATCAAACATAGCTTTTATATGTAGCAATAATAAATACACTGAACTAAGTGAAAGATTCAAAACACAATCTGCATTTTTTTTTTATAATTCTCCTTCCCAGTCTGTCATTTCTCATTGCTCCATCTTTTATTTTATTTTTAGCCTTGAATTTTTTTAACCATAAGCTATTCTAAACATTTAACCAGCTACCAAATCCTCCTGGCTGCCACTTCCCATTTTAGAGAAGAAACCAAGTTTCCTTTTTCACAATTGGCCGACAGTCAGTTTTGAGGACTGTTTATTTCAGCAAGTTAAAAGTTATTTGACAAATTATTTTAGTCATAATTGATTGTCCCTTGGAACTCGTTTTTATGTATCAAAACAGAAAGGAATTCTGAAGTTCCAAGTCAGGTAAGTATATTTGTAGTGCTGGAGTAATAACAATTATAATCACATTCTAAATCTTGCTGAATTTTGAACATGGGACATGAGAAAGTCTAATGTGAGTTGAAGAATATGAATGATAAGTATGAAGTCAAATAATCACAGCAGGAGATTTCAGCTCTACATGTCCACACAGACTCTCTGCAAGAGCAACTCAGCTAATCCAAACCCCTCATCCTTTTCACTTATTCCAACAAGTTTTTTCTCTTCAGATAATCGTAGTCCAACAACAATACCACTGCACCCCTTCTCTCCAATCCCAATCATGCAATTATCAGTGCAGTTTGAGAAATATGTCAACAGTTTTAGTAAATGTTACCCTTTTCTCCTCCTAAGCCTTTGTTCCTGCTATGGTTAATAGCATCTGCCCCAAATTATGCTGCTGTTTTAAGATGATGCAAAATTCATCAATGATGCACTCACCACTGCTGTGCAAATTATCCACGAGTGTGAGGTTCAGAATCTTACTGGGATTGCTATATTAATGGATCACTTCAAATCGATTACTGAACTCTTTTACCCTTGGACAGTGTACTGTAACTTCCTATTGAAGAATTAAATACCTGACAATTCAACTGAAAGTCAATTATAAGAGATTAATTTGTGTTGAATTTGAAATCTGGGGTATTATTTTTGTTTACGTGTTGGGTATTTATGGAATTCAGTTCAAAAACTGGTATATCTTACAAGGTCTCAAGGCCAAAGCTGTTTTTCTAAATTTCCAGCTAAAGCTGCAAGTTAGATTTGTGTTGTGTATTTCATGTATTCTATATAGGTTTGATATGTTGCCATATTTTACAACACCAATGCTGTGGTTTGGAAACAAGTAAATTCACTAATAATCTGCTAATTTCGTATCTTTTTTCTGACATATTTCATATCTGCGGTCGTGTCTGCCTGAATAGGCTGGAGAGGATGGACAGGTCAGAGGGCATGATGATATAAATATGCATCCGCTGTGCAGCTAGCTTCGCACTGCTGATGGCATTCCCCCAGATTTCCTGCTAAGGCCCTCTGATTAGCCATGCTGTTTTAGTTTCTATCACCAGGCTCATGGAATTGGGAAGTGTTTTATTGATTTAAATGATATATCATTATATTTGTAACATTTAGACAGATCAAAGGCTGCTGGCATTTGTTGGTAAAATTTGCTCTGGGAAGCCAAAAATTGTTATTCAGAAGCCACTGTCTAATTAAGCAAATTTCAGACTGGTGACAGAATAGACTAAGTGTGACTTGCTATACAATGTTAGGCTTAGCTGTTAAATTAAGAGAGCCATCAGCCACTGGCAAGCAAATTTAAAAACAGCTCTATTAAGTCTTGAACAGTCCTCAGCATCAATATATTTACTCGATTGGAGGGGATATTAAACCTGTAATGATCTGCGAAAGCCACTGCAAGTGTTGATAAATGCTTTGGTTGTCAGCCCTAGCATGTTGCTTTCAATTGTTAGCAAAATTAGAATTGTTTTATGTCAGTTTTTGTTTTAAAATGTGTTCACCTTATAATGTCTGAGTTAGAAATTAATAACAAAAATAATTATTTGTAAATATACAAGTAACAAAATATAAAGTCTCTCATTCAGTAATCAAAGAATCAGGGAGTGAAGGAGTGCACCCAAGAACCAAAAGTTTCACTTTTAGTTTAAAATAAAAATGCTGGAAATACTCAGAAGCCAGGCAGCATCTGTGAAAAAACAAAGAGTTAATGTTTCAACTTGATTACCTTTCAACAGAACTTTTGAATTTATAGATAATTAAACAACGTAAGCTGTTCAATATATTTGCAGTGTTTGTTAACATGTTTACGAGCAAAACTTGAAATTTATTTGGACTAAGTAACACATAAGGATAGCTGATTTTGTTTTATTCATGGGACGTGGGTGTCACTGGCTAGGCCAACAATAATTGCCCATCCGTAAATGCCCAAGGGGCAGTTAAGAGTCAGCCACATTGCTGTGGATCTAGAGTCACATGTAGGCCAGACCAGGTAAGGACAGCACAATCCTGCCCTAAAGGCCATTAGTGAACTAGATGGGTTTTTTCCAATGATTGACATTGGTTTCATGGTCATCATTAGACCTCTAATTCCAGATTTTTAATTGAATCCAGAATCTCCAAAGGAAGGTGATGACCTAATGGTTTTATCTCTGAACTATTAATCCAGAGACCCCAGGTAATGTTCTGGGGAGCTGAGATTGAATCCTGTGTGGCAGTTAGTGGAATTTAAATTCAATAAAAATCAGGAATTAAAAGTCTAATGATGACCATGAATATATGGTTGATTGTCAGAAAAACCCATCTGGTTCACTAATGTCCTTCAGGGAAGGAAACTGCCATCCTTACCTGGTCTGGCCTACACGTGACTCCAGACCCACAGCAATGTGGCTGACTCTTAACTGCCCTCTGGGCAAATAGGAATGGGCAATAAATGCTGGTCTAGCTAGCGATGCCCACATCCTGAATAAATAACAAAAAAGAATGACTTTATGAAACTCAGGGTTCATTTCAGGTATAAGCTCCTGACAAGGAACTATTTTACAAACCCAAGGACCAATCCCATAATCACATTATTGAATAAGCAAAGTAATATTTTAACCCAGCATAATTGCTTAAACCCCCAGTTTATGTCATATAGGCCACTATTTGGTCAATGACAAAAAAAGGCAGCTATAACTGTCATATTATGATGTCCATACAGAATGGGCATAAATTACTCTGTGATCTACCAGCATTCAGCACTTTTCATTGAGCTTCATATTTCTACTCCCATTTCTCTTTGTTTTACTCATCCATGAGATATGGGTTTCGCTGGCTCGGTCAACATTTACTGTTTATCCATCTTTGCATTTAGAAAGGTCGTGTAGAGCTGCCACCTTGAATTTGGTGTAGGAACACCAGCAGTCATGCAGGATGACCCAGGAATTTGATCCAGCAGCACTGAATTATCGGTAATATATTTCCAAGTCAGGATGATGAGTGGCTCAGGTGGTGGTCTCTCATCAAAGCAATTCCAAGTAACTACATTAGTTCAACAGCAGCTCTTTCTATGTGCAGAAGAACATTGAGATGGGCTGATCGAGTTAAGAGATGGATCAGTCACAACCTCATTGACTAGTGATGGAACAGACACAAAGTTGAAAAGGCCAAACTTTTAGTGCTTTTAAATCTATTTAAGATCTAAGTTAATTGAATATACTGGCTTCTATTTTACTATTTTAAATTATGTTTAATCCTTATGATTAAATTTTACAAATTACAGATTACACCATAGCATGCTATATTGATATTCCTGGCAATGAACATACTTTCTGAATGCCATTCGTCAGAATAGTAGGCTGCAATAATGATGTAAAAAGGCACAAAAAGTATTGAGTTAGGAATCCATAATTAGTACTCAAAGTAGGACTAAGTGCATTTAACTACAGAGAAAGAACAAGATTTTAAAAATCTCTATTACTGTAGTTAACATACAGTACAGTAATAGAGATTTTTAAAATCTTGTTCTTCACATGCCTAGATCGCACAAAATGAGTAATAGGAATTTGACAGCAATTCAAGCTTGACTTGTCCTTTAAGTAATTAATTACTTGATTTTTTAATACCTTCTTGGAGTATTAACTTTTTTTGAATAAAACATTGCAAATTCTCTGCATAAACAGTAATGTCCTCAATTTGGTTTAAAACCAAAATGCAGAACATAATGTAAACAATATTAAAGTTTTTTCCAACTGAAGAGTGCAAGCCTGAACTGTTCATTGCTCCTTAATGACAAATTCTTAACATTTCATGACATTGGGGATTGCTGCATTGTTTAATTTCTGTTTCCAAACAAATTAATTAAATGTTATTGTCACAGTTGCACATTTAATCATCTAAGGTGCTTCAGGAATTATGTATACAATATGAAGTAATGCAGTTGACTCCCAGTTTAGCTACCATGGTTTGACTGAATAAAGTTATGCCTGTTGCTAGAGTAAATGTTTTGGATGTTGTAGAGCTTGATCTGACATATACATAGAGATATTTGAAGAGTGCTACCTGGCCTTTACAGTTAAGTTCGTTTTCAAAGAGTCAGCACTACTTTACCTTAAATCTACAATATAACACACAAAAGACTTGTGGATCACGAAACCAAACTTAATCAATTCAGTACTATCAATTTTTACAGATACATTTATCAAGAAAATGTGAACTGAGCAAACTTTAAATGAATTACATGCTTGAACTTTCAGCTCTCAATTTAGCTCCATTATATGTAATTACTTTCAATTGCAATTCTAAAGTACACAGGGTGAAATTGATGTGTGTCTGTTGCAACACAACAGCTCTAATAAACCAGCAGCCTGCTTTTTTTCTGTTACATGGAATATATGGCACAGAGAAAGGCCATGTGGCCCGACCAATCCATGGGCAGTGCAGGTGTCCTTGAAGAGATAAGGGTCTGAAAACAGGGTCTCAAACAAGATGCTGATCTCTAATCTCCTGTTCTGCACTGCCATTAGACACTAATTCATCCCCATCGTTCATCAACCAAAATATTTGGTTTTCAAACCAAGTAACAACTTTAATACTGTCATTGTTCTTTTCCAAATTTTGATGGATGTGCAGACATACTCTTATTTAGCCAAAACTTTAATCTTAATAGCAACATTTTCAATAACTATGTAATTGTTGCACAACCACTGTTTTATCCTAATTGCATCCATATTTGTGCATGGAAATTGTTTTTTAAAATGAAATATAAAACCACAGTTCAATTATACTATAAAAGACAGTGATAAAAATGCAAGTCTGTCAGCATCTGAAAGGGGAAGTTGGGTAGCTGACCTCCTGACCATTTTCTTTGTTTTCTGTTTCACCTTCACATTTCCAGCATTTGTGTTTCCATAACATGATAATTACAGAGCATTTGGGGAGTTGTAATAGAGGGTAGAATATGTAACAACCTATTGGTACTGCAGTCCAACCACCCAATATTTTAACCTGGGTCTTGGGACGGGAGCATTTGGTCAGGTAGCATTATTCAGATCCCCATTATTTTAATTCCAAGATTTGTCTACAATGACAATCAAGCTGGGAAACCTGGTATCAAGACAATTCAGGGCTGGTTGAAGCTGAGCAAAATAAACTCTGGTACATTTTAAGTGGTTTATTTGCAGGGCAGAGAGGGGCTGCAGTGTTTCCACTGTGCCCAACAAGAAAAGCTTGAGCCCATGCCCTGACCCCAGTATCTTCCCATTTTGTGGTTAAATGACCTGTCACTAACAGGTCAGTGCCACCAGGTCCAGGCAGGCAACTCTCCTGAAAAATAGCAATTAGGCCCAGGCACCTAAAGTTGTCAGCATGCCTGTACACTTCTGGCATATTTTGCACCCTTTGTGCTGTATTTTGCTCCAAGATAAAATTAGCCCAACTGATGTGAGAATTATAGATAAATAAGATCATTTTCTCCAGAGGGAAAGCTAGTTTTAAAAAAAATGGTACTTTGAAATGGTCATACTTTTTTTACTGCTCCTCCATTTTGAAGTTTACAAGATGAGTTAGACCAGTCCATGTCATTCAGCAGTTTTATTGGGTTTTTTTCCTTCTCGATTTTATACATCAACCTCAGCCCTAACTCCGCACACGTTTTGGGTAGCAAGGTGAGTTGGAAACATCTGCAGAAATTATGCCTAGGCTATTTGAATTCCTTAAGGCTATAAGCATCGAGACATAAGACTTTGGTTAGCCCGCTTCTAGAGTGTTGCTTTCAGTTCTGGTTGCCACATTACAGGAAGAATGTGGAGGCTTTGGAGAGGGTGCAGCAGAGGTTTTACCAGGATTATGCCTAGATTAGAGGGTATGAGCTATAAAGAGAGGCTAGAAAAACTCGGGTTGTTTTCTCTTGAGCGGTACAGGCTGAGGGGAGACATGATAGAAGCCTATAAAATTATGAGATGCATAGATAAGGTTAACGGTCAGAATCTTGTTCCCAGAGTTGAAATGTCTAATAATAGGGGGCATGCTTTTAAGATTAGAGGGGAAAATTTCAAAGGAGACGTGAGAGGCAAGTTTTTACACAATGAGTGATAGGAGTCTGGAGTGCACTGCCAGGGTTGGTAGTGGAGGCAAATACAATGGGAGCATTTAAAGGACTTTTAGATAAGCACATGAATATGCAAGGAATGGAGGGACATTGACCAATGGCAGACGGAAGGGATTAGTTTTGTTTGGCATCATGTTCGGCATAACATCATAGATAGAAGGGCCCGTTCCTGTGTTGTACACCTCTATGTTCTAAAGTTATTGAACTCTGAACTGTGATTGGCTAACTGAACATATCTAGAAGTAAATTATACCCAAGTGAGAAATCTGCAGCACCTTTCCTACAGTTCCACTCATGTAGAAGTAGATCATCTCCAGGAGACCACAAAAGGTAAATTTCTTTTCTGGGACCAGGAGAAGCAAAACTCCTCCTAGATCCACAAGGAGCTATCTTTAGTAAAGTAACCAGGAAATAAGCACTGGGAGGCGACTGCTTACCAGTGGAAAGTCAGTCAGGCCATAACTACATGTTGACCTATTGGTTGAAGCTGAGAGGACACGTTACAGTGGTCTTGTGTTCAGGAATGGAAGGGCAGGGAATGAGACTTCATCTTTCCTTGTGGAGCTTGAAGGAGCTTAGCTTGTTGTGGCCCCAGAAAGGAAATTTACCTCTTGTCGTCCATTCTGCAGCTGCTTCTCTTCTGATCTGAATTGAAGGTTCCCCACTGATGTCTAATTTATTTCTAATTCTGTTCAGTTAGCCGATTTCAGCCCAGGTTCAATAATTATGTCTTGATGCTCATGCCTTGAGGAATTAAGAGTTGTTGCTCCAATTAATTTTCACTAAACTCCACTGGAGAGTATATTTGTCAAATGAGAACTGGTTCAGGCTCAAGTATTGTACACCTATGGCTAAATAACCCATTGACACTCATTTCAGAGATTCACTTGGATGAAGGAATGGAGAGAAGTTGGTGCCCATGGGGATGTGGCACTATAACCTATACATTGAATAGATTAAGGGGAAAGCAACAGAGGAAAAACATTACAGATAGTAGGAACTGCAGATGCTGGAGAATCTGAGATAACAAGGTGTAGAGCTGGATGAACACAGCAGGCCAAGCAGCATCAGAGGAGCAGGAAGGCTGACGTTTCAGGCCTAGACCCTTCTTCAGAAATGGGGGAGGGGAAGGGGGTTCTGAA